AAATACAAGCAATGCTTTAACTTTCTTTTTTTTTACTGCTTTGGTTTTAAAATAAATATTAGAAAAAATATACTTTGTATTGGGTATACATGTTTATATAGCTTTTGAGAAGTATTGATAAAAATTCAAAATGTTAAAACAAAAATGCATTTTCCTTAAAAATAAATAAAAGTAAGCTGCTGATATACCACCACACTCAAACATGCCTGAGAAGACAGAATGGACTATATGCAATATGGAACAATCTAGATTTTTAAAAGCTGAGGTCAACCATATAGCAGGGATTAGTTTTAGACCCCAGCCCAATTGTTAGGTTCCAAATACCATAAGACCTAGAACATGGGTAGGCAAACTAAGGCCCGACGGCCGAATCCGGCCCAATCGCCTTCTAAATCCGGCCCACGGATGGTCCGTGAATCAGCGTGTTTTTACATGAGTAGAATGTGTGCTTTTATTTAAAATGCATCTTTGGATTATTTGTGGGGCATAGGAATTTGTTCATTTCCCCCCCTTCAAAATATAGTCCAGCCCCCCCCCCAAGGTCTGAGGGACAGTGGACCGGCCCCCTGCTGAAAAAGTTTGCTAACCCCTGACCTAGAGCAAGAGGGACCTAGCTTTAAAATTATTATTATTAATAATTCCCCACCCAACAGCCCCAAAGCCCAGGAAGAGACCTTGAGCCAGCCATTATTTCTCAGCATAGTCCAGTTGAGAAAAGCAGAGACATCACCTTACCAACAAAGGTCCGTATAGTTAAAGCCATGGTCTTCCCAGTAGTGATGTATGGAAGTGAGAGCTGGACCATAAAGAAGGCTGATCGCCGAAGAATTGATGCTTTTGAGTTATGGTGCTGGAGGAGACTCTTGAGAGTCCCATGGACTTCAAGAAGATCAAACGTATCCATTCTTAAGGAAATCAGCCCTGAGTGCTCACTGGAAGGACAAATCGTGAAGCTGAGGCTCCAATACTTTGGCCATCTCATGAGAAGAGAAGACTCCCTGGAAAAGACCCTAAAGCTGGGAAAGATGGAGGGCACAAGGAGAAGGGGACGACAGAGGACGAGAAGGTTGGACAGTGTTCTCAAAGCTACAAACATGAGTCTGACCAAACTGCGGGAGGCAGTGGAAGACAGGAGTGCCTGGTGCGCTCTGGTCCATGGGGTCACGAAGAGTCGGACACGACTAAACGACTAAACAACAACAACATAGTCCAGCTGATCTCACAGGGTTGTTGTGATGCTAAAAGCTCACAGACCAGATCCAGGTGCTCTTGGAGGAAACAGATTTTCTGGATCCATTTCCACTGGGATTTCGGTGCGGTTCTGGCGCAGAAACTCCTTTGGTTTCCATGTATGATGACCTTTGTCAGGAGAGAGGTGGGGAAATGTGCCCCTGTTAATTCTCCTCAACCTCTCAACAGCTTTTGATACCGTCAACCATGGTATCCTTCTGGAGCGGCTGTCCAAGTTAGGGGTGTGTGTGGCACCACTTTGCGGTGGTTCCAGTCCTACTTGGGTGGACATTTCCAGAGGTTAATGTGGGGGGGGGTTGACCCTGTGGAGCCTTCAATGTGGGGTTCCTCAGAGTTCAATTTTATCCGCTATGCTGTGTAACATCTGCATGAAGCCACTGAACAGGGTCATTTTGGAGTACATTGTCAGCAATATGCTGATGACACACATCTCTACTTCTCCTTTACATCTGCAGGCGAGGCAGTGGATGCGGTGGACCACTGCCTTGCCTCGATAATGGACTGGATTACAGCCAATAAACTGAAGCTCAATCCAGATAAGACTCAGACACTGTTAGTGGGTGGCTGCCTAGACCGGATGGCTGGGAGATCACCTGCTCTTGATAGGGTTACACTTCCTCTGAAGGAGCAGGTTCATAGCTTGGGGTACTCCTGGATCCTTTGCTGTCGCTTGAGGCTCGGGTGGCCTCAGTGGCCCAGATCGCTTTCCATCAGCTTCAGCTGGTGGCCCAGCTACGCCCCTATCTGGACAGGGACAACCTTAACTACTGTTGTCTATGCTCTGGTAACCTCGAGGTTAGATTACTGCAATGCATTATACGTAGGGCTGCCTCTGAAGTTGGTTCGGAAACGCCGGCAGGTGCAGAATTCGGCGTCCAGGTTGCTCACCGGGGCAAGACGGTTTGAGCATAGGACACTGATCCTGGCTCTGGAAACTAAGCCTCCTGGTGTATATTTTGCTCTAGGAGGCAGTCTGAGAGAAAATGATTTCCCTAAGCTTTGTTGAGATGAAACCAAGCTGAGATCTAAAGCCAGGCTCTGCCAGCTCCACATCGCAAGCCTTTCATACTAGCCTATGTGAATCCACAAGCCACTTCATGTTTACCATTAAAGTGTGAGTTAAACCCTACATTTTGTGTATAAGGGAAGAAAACGAAGACACCACCAAACTTGCATCCTGCATACGTTTCCTCATGGAAAGAAATCATATATTTATTTATTTACGTTCTCTCCAATGTAAGACAGGAGGTTGTCTTGTGTAGAAGCCTTTTAAAACTGCAGAACAACATGGTTAATGGCTGTGCCAATCAATAATAAGTGTCAATCCATAAAAATGTCCCTCTCCGTTGTAAAAAGAAGAAAGAAATGGGAGCTGGCATGCTGACTAAAATCAATGGTTTGAAGTGGAGGCTTTCATCTTGTTGATTAAAATTACCTCGGACAGGATGTTTTGTTCGAAAGCCCTCCGAAATGCTGAGGCTTCCCTGTAATCAGATTTTGGACATTCTCCCATGACACAATCCTAAGTCACACAGATCATTTCATGGCAGACTGTGTATGTGTTGCATCGAGCCCTGGCTAGCAGCGAGGTTTTAACAGGCCGCTTCTGTGAAGTCTCCAGACACCGACTAACTGAGCCCAAGCGCTTGCACTGAATATCCACAAACACTCCAGCTGCTCAAAGAACAAAGCTCTAGGAATGTTTCCCGTTTCTGTGGGAGAAGGAAAAATATGTTTGGCAAGGTCCCTACTGACAGGAACAACTTCCTGAGGCTAGCCAAAGGCTAAGTAAAGAACCTTGGGAAGAGATTTGTGACAGAGTGGCCAGAGAAAAGATGCTGAGTAAGTCTGGAAACTAGGATTTTGAGGGATGGATGCCTGGAGGAGGAAGAAGTGAATTGGAAGGAGGGGCAGGGAAGACAAGGAGCTGAGGCAAAGAGAAATAATGGGAGGGGAATCTGTAGAAATATTCCTATGCCAAAGGTCAGAGAGACATATCACAGGGTCAAGGGGAAACAGGAGTGTGAAGGAACTGGGCAAATGGGTTCAAGAACAAGGGCTGGTGAACAGAGTGCTGAAGAGAAGACTGTAACTCCAATCAGCACCAGCTGGTTTGGCCAATGGTCAGGGATGATGGGAGTTGAAGTCCAAAATGTCTGGGAGTCATTATGCAGGGAAATGCTGGTATATTTTATGTTGGGCATATTGTCCGGCTGCCACACACAGAACAGCAGCTTTAAAACCACAACTACAGTGGTACCTTGGGTTAAGTACTTAATTCATTCCGGAGGTCCATACTTAACCTGAAACTGTTCTTAACCTGAAGCACCACTTTAGCTAATGAGGCCTCCTGCTGCTGCGGCGCCGCCAGAGCACGATTTCTGTTCTCATCCTGAAGCAAAGTTCTTAACCTGAAGCACTATTTCTGGGTTAGCAGTCTGTAACCTGAAGCGTATGTAACCTAAAGCGTATGTAACCCGAGGTACCACTGTATATTTGATTCTGTTTTGCCTTCATCAGAAAAACCAAAACATCAATTTATTTCAATACACTTTGTATGAGAACTTTCATGTGATCATATATATATATATATATATATATATATATATATATATATATATATATATATATATATAAAAACTTAGAGGTTTCCTGCACAGGGATGTAATTAGTCTCTTTTTGATTAGCATTGCAACCCTGTATATGTCAATTGAAAAGTAATTCTCCACTGAGGATCAATCAGATAATCGCCAGAAGTATTACTCAAAGCTCAACCTTCTAATTTCTAGAATCTAATGTACGAGTGGGGGTAAAAAAAAATACCCAGCAATGCATTACAACTGAACATTTGCTGTCCTTGAAATCAGCTGCCCGAGGTGCAATCCTTTCTCTGGCCTGCCTAAGAGCAGGGCCGGCTCCATCTGAAATGCCTGTAATGTGTTCGTACCAATTTCCTCTCCCTTTCTTCTTATTTTTAAACACATTTTGTTACAATTGTTCTATGGATCAGAGAAAAGGGGTACACTCTGCAGTTAATTTCTGTATGATGAAACGATTCGGATTTTCAATGATTGTGCATTATTTAATCTCCCCCTAGGAAGATGTTTGAAACGCGTTAAAAAAATCCGAAATACCATTTTGTCAATAAAGTTTTGTGCATCCTTCGCCTTTGCTTTCTTGGCTTCATTTCACAAGCTGCTGTTTCAAGCAAGCAGGGCTTAAAGGTAACGGACCCCTGACAGTTAAGTCCAGTCGCAGACGACTCTGGGGTTGCGGCGCTCATCTCGCTTTACAGGTAGAGGGAGCCGGCGTTTGTCCGCAGACAGTTTTTCTGGGTCATGTGGCCAGCATGACTAAGCTGCTTCTGGCGGAACGAACACCAAAACCAGAGCAGCACACGGAAACTCCGTTTACCTTCCCGCCAGAGCGGTACCTATTTATCTATTTGCACTTTTTGGCGTGCTTTTGAACTGCTAGGTTGGCAGGAGCAGGGACTGAGCAACTGGAGCTCACTCCGTCGTGGGGATTCAAACCGCTGACCTTCTGATCGGCAAGCCCAAGAGACTCAGTGGTTTACACCACAGCGCCACCTGCGTCCCAAGCAGGGCTTAGGGAAGGAAATATGATGGATCATGTGTGCTGATGTTTGCAGGTGTCCACACATGGGGTTCCCCCGCCCCACCACGGACGTGTACCAAGCTGCCCCCACCATTAGCACAAAGTAATAATTCTCTCCCATCACTCACATAAAAGAATCAAGTATTTTCACGTTTATTTGTCTTTTGGGGTTGCCACTAAAGTCTCCAGTTTTTGGCTTCTATAGAAATTTCTCCAAAAAGAAAAAGAAAAAAACTTTTCTTAAAGAATGAAACAAAAATTAAAAAAAGACAGACAAGACGTCATGGGGAGGGGCCCCCACAGACCAAATCCTCGCTCCCCACTCTCTTCTGCTTCCAGGGTCCTGTGCGGTTCACTCCCCCCCCCCCAAAAGCTGGGTTGGTCCGTTACCTCTGTCGGGGTCTTTATCTTCCCACTTGCCCCCTTTTTTTAGTTCTTGGTCCTGTATTACTTCAGGTTGGTTTGTTAAAAGCGTGGAACCCGGTAGGCCCCACGACTCCTCAGAAGGCGGCTTAGTTGACCCTGAGTTCAGTCTCCATCGCCAGTGTACAGTTTGCTTGCACGCAACCCACCTCCTTGCCCGCCTTGCGGCGGGTTTACGTTTCCACGCCGCTAACTGGACCTTCCGGCAGGGGTCCCGGCCTTCCCCCCACCCCCACCCCGGAAAAAGAAGGTGAACTGTCCCTTTGCCCCGCAAATAGCTGGAGGTATTCATTTCCCAGCAGGCACGTGGCGGGGGCAGTGTGGGATCCCGAACCCCTTTTGGCACCTCTGCTTAAGCAAACTCCCTCCACGGGGCAAAGGCATGGGGGGAACAGCACAAAAAGGGGGGCTGTGGTTGCAGCTGCACTGTGGAAGGGGTAGGAGGAGCTGGAGGGGGGCAAGGCCGACAGGGGTGGGGTGGGATCTGTGTCTGCGGATATTGGTTTTCATATCCCTTTCCCTCATAGTAAGAGGCTCAGGAAACTGTCTTTCTGCGGCGTCAGAAACAAGCTGCCACAGATCTAATCACCACAACGGCGAGGTTCAACTGGGGCGGGGGGGGGGGGCATGTATGTCTCTTTCCCACGAGAAGTGGGGATTAGAAAAGGACTCTCTCTCCCCCTTGGATTTTGAGAAGAGCTGTGGCCTTCTTTTTTGGCGGGGAGGCAGGAGGGCCGCAAAGATATCCACACACTACCCCTAGGGCAAGGGATTATGCGCCAGGGTGTGCGCGGGGAAGTCCCCTCAGGTCTGGGTCCCCCAAATCAGGGCATACGCATAGCGTACATGTCTTAAGAGCAGGCGCCTCCGCACGAGAGCGAAGGCAGGGCCGAGGTGGGGAAGGGGGCCAGTAAGCACGTGGGGCGGGCATCACTCCTGCCCGCTGAGTTCGCGGGGGGCTCCCCGGCGCGGAGTGCCCTCCTCAGAAGGCGGGGGCCCCCGAGGCGGCGGGGGGGCTCCCCGAAGAGTCTGGATGCGCCGGCACTCATGGCAGATGCGGACGTGGGTGCAAGGCCGGGGGGTCTCCTCCAGGAGGCGCTGTGGCCCCGGCTCAGACACCAGAGTCCCCGAGTAGAGTTTGCCGTTGCTGAGGCGCATCTCTCGGACGGAGCGCAGCGACAGGGCGCCTCGGGTGGTGTAGTGGCGCCGGCGCCGGCGGGAGCGGGTCGGCTTGCGACAAGAAACGGCGTGGCGCAGCTCTCGCAGCATCTCCTGGCACACCGAGATCTGTCACGAAGGAAGGAGCAAGCAGTGAGGAGGTGGGCGCCACCCTAAGCATACCTCCAACATTCCTCCGGTGAAAATAGGGGGGGAAACCCATTTTTCTGCATGCCCCTGTTTCCCCGGCCATATATACTTGTGTGGTGGCAGTGGCCGAGACTGAGAAGTCAATATCCATGTTAAACTTTGTGCAATACCACAGAGAGCACCCAGTGTAATGTTGCTACATTAGGCGGCTTGGGGCATTGTGGGTAATTTAACACAGCGGGCAGCATTTCAGGACCAGCCCCTGCCCACTTTTGGGGCACCAATGGAGGAAGGCATGCTTCTCTGGCCCTTCTGGCATCTCATTTCTCGGCTACCCTGCCCCTCTACTTGCACCCTGACCAGGGTTTCCAAGCAGCAAGTATTTTATTGATCCAGCCCATCAGTAAACCGGGCCTAAAAAGTTGATAAACTTTGTATTTTGCCCTATGAGATTCTACCTCAACCCTATTCTTCAGTTTTCAGATGCTTGCAGGTTCCGCTGCGACTTGATCGTCCTACGCTTACCCAGAAAAAAACAGTATTTTTGAAATGAAAGTGTTGCTGGCAAACCCAGCCTCCAAATCATTGAGGTACAATCCTCTTGGATTCTCACAACACAAACAAGAATATGAGCACAGACTACCTTAAAATCACAAGAGGTTTTTTTAATTTAAAAAAGTCAATGCTCAAAGAGAGAACAAAGATCCACCTTTGCACTTAGAATGCCCCAGAGAAACTTACAGGGCATGGTATTGACCTCTGACCCCTGTGGGATTCCCCAGCATCTAGTAACCATAGATAGACTGCCTCTGAGCACAGGGGTTTGTCTTTGAACTATGATGAATAGAGATGTGGGGAAATTTCAGCGGGAACAGAAGTGGCTACAGTTCATTTATTTGTCTTGTGTTTAGAATGGAACTCAATCCACCAAATAGATCAGTATTCACTTGTTGCTGCTGCTTTCAGTCTCAAAATGATACCTAATTCATTGTCCACCGCAACTTCCTTTGCAGTGACATGAAAGGGATGGAAAAATGAAGCGACAACATAATTTACGTAATTAATTACCTAAGTTACGTAGTTCCATCACAGCAGACAGAGAGACAAATAACATAGTTTTCAAGGCGAACTGCAGCGGAATGGAAGCAATGTTTATGCGAGGAACAGAGGGCAATACAGAAAATTATGCCTTCTGATTAATAACGTTTGATAGACCTAGTCTGGGTTCATTTAATCCTTTAAAGATATAATTTCTTCAGAAACTGGGTAGTGTTTTCCCTAAGTACTACTGCTTGAATAAATCCAACCTGTCCTGCTGGAATAAATTCTTCTGAGCCTACGACCAGTTGGTTTCAATGAAACATAATCACTTAGTGCTATTCCAGACATAGCAGCCATCTTGTGATGTTACAACACGGCAGCCATTTTGGAGATGGTCCTTACTTGGGGGAAATTCTCAAAAGGTGGAGCAACAGAGAAGTCTTTAAAACAAAACAAAAAATGGAGGCTAGCATACTAAATACTTCTGAAGGGTCCTCCCCTTCCCCTGTTGCTGACCCAGAGGGAAAAGAGGGATAGAGTGGGAGGGAGTTTCTGTAAGAAAAGGCCTTGGTAGCTGAGGTTGGGGGGAGTTGGGTATGTTTAGCCTGGATAAGAGGAGACTGAGAGGAGATACGATAACCATCTTCAAGTATCTGTCACACGGAAGATGGAGCAAGCTTGTTTGCTCCTGCTCCGGAGGGTGGGACTCGAACCAATGGCTTCAAGTTTCAAGAAAGGAGATTCTGACTAAACATCAGGAAGAACTTTCTGAAATTAAGAGCTGTTTGATAGTGGAAGAGACACTCCCAGAAGTTGGCAGACTCTCTCCTTCATGGCAAGTTATTAGGTAGAGGTTGGGTGGCCATAGCTGCTTTAGCTAAGACTCCTGCACTGCAGGGGGTCGGAATAGATGACCCTCGGGGTCCCTTCTGACTCTACAATTCTAGGAGTCAAGGACACCAGAGGGCCTTGTTCCAGTTAGTCACACACACTCTCTGGGCCAAAACTACCCCACTGCCCTGAATGTCTTAGAAAATGAGATATAAACAGCAATTAATAGAACTGATAATGATAACTAAATGATTATTGGTGTATTTAAAGCAGAGTGGATTTGTGACCTTCCAGAAGTTCCTGGGCTGAAACTCCCATCATTCCAGGTCATGCTGGCTGGAGCTGATGGGAACTGCGCACTGACAATATCAAGAGGGCCACAGGTTTCCCCTCCCGAATTTAAGAAGTATTTATATGGGGGAACAAGAATCAAGGACATGTAAGGTGAGAATAACCCTTCAGCTCTTGTTAGAAACAAGAGGGTTTTTTCCCCCATGTATGCAAAAAACACACACAAAAACTTCAACAGCTGATGAACAAAATAATAAAACAATTCATTTTGAACAGCAGGGCAGCATCCTCTGTGATCTTCATTGTTTATGTGACTACAAAGCTTCCTGCGGCTGTTAGGGCGGTTGTTTTGTTCTGTTTTACGGCAGAATATATTTAAATTTATGTTCTAAATATGTTGCAAGTTGCTTGGAGACCTTTGGGTAGCAAGCAACAAACAAGTCAAAACAAACAAGCAAGCAAATAAATAATATGTGCTCGCAACCAATAAATTACCGCAAAATGAAGCCAATGTCAGCTCATGAACAATAGGGAAATTATGCTTTTCTGTTACAGGGAAACCTCAAACAGCAAGCCCCCAGAAGAGGATGTAGCTCAGCAGTAAAATGCCTGCTTTGCATGCAGAAGGTCCCAGGTTCAATGCCCGGCGTCCTCAGGTAAAGAGAGACCCCCCCCCTTCCTGAAATCCAGAAGAACTGTTGCCAGTCATTGTAGGTAATACTAAGTGCCAAGGTAGTTTGGTGGCTGGCACACTTGGTAGGCAATACAGGCAGATGGCTGCCAACATGGCTGGGCAGCATTAATACTGAAGAAGGAGCAGGTAAGGCCCAGCCACCACCCACAAACAAGCAGGACAATATCATTGCTCCTGCTCTGAAAACAGCAGATTTCTGTCTGCTCTCTGCACACATGCACACCATACTTGTAAAGCAATGTCACACCACATGGAATAGTCGTGGTTTCACCCAAAGAATTCTGGAAGCTATAGTTCGATACAGATGCTGAGAGTTGTCAGGAGACCCCTCCCATAACTACAATTCCCAGAGGTCCCTGTGAAGAGGGATTGGTTGTTAAATCACTCTGAGAATTGCATCTCTGGGAGGGAAATAGGGGCATCGTAACACTCTTAACAGACTATAGTTCCCAGAATTCTTTGGGGAAGCCAGGACTGTCTAAAGGGGCATGGTACTTTAAAATGTATGGTGTGAACTTCTCGTTTCCTCGTCCGTCCCAGTGTCCCTATTTTCTAGGGACAGTCCCGGATTTACTGAAGCCGTCCACGTTTCTGATTTGATCCCAGAATGTCCCGCTTTTCCTTAGGAAGTCCCTATTTTCATCCGAGAGATGTTGAAGTGTATAGAGTTATCCGACTCCCCGAGCCATCTGAATGCAGCCCTGTATAGAAAAGCTTTTTAAAAATGTTTAATGCTTTATTATGCTTTTATATACCGTATTTTTTGCTCTATAAGACTCACTTTTTCCCTCCTAAAAAGTAAGGGGAAATGTGTGTGCGTCTTATGGAGCGAATGCAGGCTGTGCAGCTATCACAGAAGCCAGAACAGCAAGAGGGATTGCTGCTTTCACTGCGCAGCGATATCTCTTGCTGTTCTGGCTTCTGAGATTCAGAATATTTTTTTTCTTGTTTTCCTCCTCCAAAAACTAGGTGCGTCTTGTGGTCTGGTGCGTCTTATAGAGCGAAAAATACGGTATGTTGTAAGCAGCCCAGAGTGGCTGGGGCAATACATAATAAAATGGGTGGGGTATAACTAATAAAATCAGATGGGCAGGGTATAAAATAAAATAATAATAATAATAATAATAATAATAATAATAATAATAGAATAGGACGATCCTGTCGTCGTTGGAGAAATGTTGGATGTGTGCACTGTCTCTCTGTCTTTCTGTCTTTCTCACAAACACACACACACACACACACACACACACACCTGGAAGTCTGCCTCCAGTCTGCACATGAGACCCTCTGATTCACTCCTCAGTCTCCTTATGGGTCCTTGACCAGTTTAACGCCCTTCTTAAAACCACCCACTCATACCTCTTCAGGGGCTGGTGGCAATAGTCTTCCCTTTAGACCCAGCCACTGTCCCTCGTTCCTTCCTCCATGCAACCAGAGAACCAGCCCCACCCCACCTCACCTCTTCATGTTCAGCCGAGCGACGCGTGGCCCATACAAATTCCATGACAGCGACGAAGACTGCAATGATGAGCCCACAGATGAGCACCACAAAGATGCCTCCAATGTTCTCCATACCCAGCCCTGTTGGGGGGGGGGAGAGAGGAAGAAAAAATAATAATGGGAGCCAGCAAGGACAGGATGGACACAGCTCTAAGCTGCCTCACCCTGGCCACTTTCAGGAAGTCAGAGAGCATTCCTAACACCTTGGATTTCACATCTCTCTCATACACACACCTATAATGTTGTCTCCTTGCCCAGTGTGCCTAGAGCAGCTCTGAATGTTCGCTTCCAAATATTTTCAGTGCAATTTTCAGCGCTTTGGAAGATCCCCAAATCTCATCCAAGAAAAACTTAAATGTATGCTTTTGAAAGTTTGGATGTTTGCAGACACCATGTTTCCCTTTCCCTGCTGTTCCCTGGCTACTATTTTTCAGCTTTTCCTTCCCCAGAATCCAGCCAATCCAGAATCCCTTAGTAAATGGGCTGACACATTTCGCTGATTTTTCGATAAGTGGGATCTTTAAAAATCAATAGGACACAGGCTGAAAATAAACCCTTTGCGTCCAAACCAACAGAAGCTACTGACTTGCTCAACTGTTAGTCGGACACAATATTGGATCTGTTTCTGCTATGGTGAGGCATGTATTACTGCGTCTACAGCTGCAGCTCATTGGATTTTCCTCCACCAACCCATCTTTTTCGACCGGCAGTCTTCTCTCTTGCCACCAGAGGTTGCTCTACACAGCCTATTAGCAATCTCTACAAAACTTACATCTGATTTCAGCAGGTGGGAATGCCTGTGAGCCACACATGTAATCTAAGTTCCAAAAACTGAGGCCAAAACAGCCCCAAAGACAGGGCCTCACAACCATATACTGTGGGCCTTCATTTAGGCAGAGAACCATGCTCAATGCCAGGGTTTCACCTGCTGGCTTCTTCCTCCAGGTATTATTCTCTCCCCCCGCCCCCAGCTTGCCATATTTAATTGTTTATATGGAAGAGAGGTGTGAGGAACATTGTGACATACGTTCAAAGCACATTTCTTTCCGCAGGGCCTGTAAGACAGAGTTGTTCCGCCTGGCCTTTGGTTTGGAATCAACTTGATCCCCCTTCCCATCTATCCTTTTTTCTTTCTCCTTCTGTGATGGAACTCCTATTTGGGGGGACTTCCCTGGATTTTTTCTGGCCCACGTAGGACCAGTCTGGATAGTTGGCCTTGCTTAAGATTTGACGTTTTCATCCCCCAAAAGTTTTTGATTTGAGTTTCTACTGAAATGAGGCTGCATTTTCATGTTGTATTTTAATCTTGTTTTTAAGTTGTATTTTAATCAATTGTTTTTATACCTGGTGTTAGCTGCCCTGAGCCCGGTCTTGGCTGGGGAGGGCAGGGTATAAATAAAATTTACGATTATGTTTACTATTTAGATCACATGCCTCTGTCCCCAATTAATCCTGAGAACTGCAGTTTGTTGGGAACTGGGAATCTGTGAAGGGTAAATGGCAGTTCCCAGAATCCTTTGGGGGAAGAGGTTATGTACAGTGGTACCTCTGGTTACGTACATAATTCGTTCCGGTGGTCTGTTCTTAACCTGAAACTGTTCTTAACCTGAAGCACCACTTTAGCTAATGGGGCTTCCTGCTGCCGCTGCGCCGCCAGAGCATCCTGAAGCAAAGTTCTTAACCTGAAGCACTACTTCTGGGTTAGTGGAGTCTTTAACCTGAAGCGTATGTAACCTGAAGCATATGTAACCCGAGGTACCACTGTACTTGAGGTGCCTGGTGTGGGTTTAACCCATATTTATCAAAAACCTTGGCCCGCAATTCCAGTTGGGTTCTACTCAGTGTTAACCCAACCATGGCATCCATTGGCAACCTCAGGTTGGCGGCACCCGTCATAGGCGCCCCTCTAACCCTCAGAACCTCACCTTTGGCCCGGTGGTCCTCTTCTTTGGGACACTTGCTTCCCTCCCACCACTTCCGTTTCAAGATCTCCAGGCGGTTGTTCTCCTGAAGCTGCAAGATGGCGAGGGTGATCTCATCCCGGAATGGGGAGCCTGCAGGATTGTCAAGGAGGCAGATATGACACAGGGCTGTCGATGATGATTAATCCACCCCTTCTCAGGCCATCACTCAGTCGAGCTTCAGAGCAGGGGCCGGCATGTCGGCTCCAGCATTATGAAAGTCGTCTAATATAGCTCCCTGCTGACTTTGAATCTCATTTACCAGTTGGCTTATTGGTCACACAAGGCTTGTCAGCATTTAAGGTAAGCGGGGGGAAGGCGAATGGGGCCTCAGCTGCTGCCATCAGCTGCAGCTCCTTGCAAGAGCAAGCCTATATCACTTTTTTGAAAATCTCCCTCAGTATTGATCTCTGGGTGATTGGCCGACCTTACTGCCGAAGTTCATCCAAAGTGAAAGGGGAATCTAAGAGATCCATGTTGGAGGAGTTTGGATTTGATATCCTGCTTTATCACTACCCAAAGGAGTCTCAAAGCAGCTAACATTCTCCTTTCCCTTCCTCTCCCACAACAAACACTCTGTGAGGTGAGTGAGGCTGAGAGACTTCAGAGAAGTGTGACTGGCCCAAGGTCACCCAGCAGCTGCATGTGGAGGAGCGGGGAAGCGAACCCGGTTCACCAGATTACGAGTCTACCACTCTTAACCACTACACCACACTGTTTCGAACATCCCCAAAGACAGGCTATACCTGCCTATGTAGGGGTGTGTGTGTGTTTTTGTGTGTGTGGTGCATGCACGTGAGAGAGAGAGAGAGAGAGAGAGAGAGAGAGAGAGAGAGAGAGAGAAGGAGCTGGTATAAGCAAGCACGTCGGCATGAGAAATCAATGTGGTTTTTTGCAAGATTCATGCAAGGTGTCTTTTTGTTGCTGTAGTGTTCACCAGTGCTTTTTTTCTTTTAAAAAAATGCTTAGGGGTACTCTCATTTTGACTCAAGAAAATCACCATTTTATAGTTCAAATCGGGGGAAATAAATACAGTAAATGGACAAAAGTACAAAGATTCACAAAATGTTTAGGGATATGCGTACCCCTGCATCCCCCCAGAAACAAAAGCACTGGCGTTCACACAATGTCATTGACAGCAGAACACTAACCTGTATACCCCCCCTTTAGTTTATTCTGGATTTACCCTTTCCAAGGGACATTTTATGTAAAAAAAATTAAAAAATTGTCGACAACCCATTTACAATATCTCAAATTACACCCTCTCCACAAAGCACACCTTCTACCTTTCTGGTAGAAAAAAATTTAAACGGTCAATTTTGGCCTTCAAAAAGAATTCCTTCTGATTAGTTCAGAGTGTCCTGAACTCCAAATGCATTTGACAACCTGCCACCTGGCGGAACCCCCAGTTATTTGCAATTATCTGTTTCCAATACCCATTCCAACCCCAGGCTGAGCCAATTAACAGGGCACCTGGCTCAACCTCACAAAGGTTTTCTGTGGTGGTACTTCTCCACGAACCCCCATGCTGACTACTTTCAGATTATAAATCTACAAAATAGGGCCTTGTCTTGATATCTTTGGACAATAAAGAGGCTCACGTACATATAAACGGTATCTATTTCATACCAATATAGAAGATCAACAATACAGATGTCACACAAACACATACAGAATCCTGAAGGCAGCCCTGTATAGGTGAGTTTTTAACATTTGATGTTTTATAATGTTTTTCTATTTTGCTGGAAGCCGCTCAGAGTGGCTGGGGCAACCCAGTCAGATGGGCAGCCTCTAAATAATAAAATCACATTATTATTATTATTATTATTATTATTATTATTATTACTACTATTACTATTAATTAATTAAACAGTGAAGACTATAAACTACTAACTACGGATTGCTAGTAAAGAGTTGGCCATTCATAGCACTCATTGTTATTTGGGATTTTTTTATGTGCTTGTAAAATGTTTGTACTGTTGATCTTTCATGTCAGTATAATATAGACACGATTCATAACTTCTTCTTTTTTGTTTTTGTGCAACATCTAGCACCAGGAATTCCTAGTGCCAGGTGCAGTACAGAAGAATCAAGGTAGGTGTCTTACAGCAACCTCCACAATAAGTAGAAGTGACTCAGGTATATATAAATAGCATCTATTATTATCAGCATTGTAATTATTATTAGGCCCACGCTTCTGTGTCCCTGTGCCTTTGACATTTTCCATTGTTCTGCTCTTGGCACCAATGCCAGCTGATGATTGGCTCCAGCTACTGCCACTCACCCAGTGGCATGCCGATGCCATAGCCCTTGGTATCCAACAGCCCCCCAATTTGCGTCAGGTTGCAGTTGAGCCTCCGGTGATACTCGTTCATCGTGCTCTCGAGCAGGAAGGCATACTTCGAATTCAGCACCCGGGCGATCCCCTCCTCTGTGCTCTTGACAAAGACACTAGGTTGCTTTGAATGCATGTAATTCCACATCCGCTGGTACGTCTGGTACCGAGAATTCTGGTTGGAGAAAAAGAGAGGTAGAGAATGAATGAGGGAGAGGATGCTGAGACTTTGCAAGGCGATCATATGGCTTGCTTTGAGAGGTTAGTTTCTTCCACAAATGAAATTTTATCGTGATAAGCGTCGTCATCAAGCGAAGGAAGGACCTGTACATTGGTTTATTACATTTTTATCCAAAAGATATCAGGGCAGCCTGCAAGTTTCTCTCACTCTCCCCATTTTATCTTCCCAACAACCCTGTTGGGTAGGCTAGGCTGAAAGATAGCAATTGACCCAAGGTCACTCAGAAAGCTTTGTGGCTGAGCGGGAATTTTAAATTTAGGCCTCACTTGTATTAATTTCAATATTCCAAGCACACAGTTCACTGACACGCTGCAGAGGATGGAAGTCTTGCTAGAATGAAATAATGAATGAATGAAATAGAATAAACTCAACTTGCTAGAAGGAAATAGAATAAACTCAAACAAAAAGGCAGCCAGTCCCTGGTTGGGGCCCCCGCCCAGCTTTATATATATATATATATATATATATATATATATATATATATATTCAAATTACTGCTTTCAGCAACAAGTAGTGGAAATAAAAAGACTAGGTTGTTCTCAGGCGACGAGCAGACAGAAGCAAGCGGTGTGGCGAGAGATGGTGGCGAACATTAAAAAATAAATAAATCAGAAACTGCCCAGGCAATGCACTTGAGCAAGTCACAATTTTATGTTGAATTATTGGATGCTTTGCTTCCAAACTGATAACGCAGTGGGCTGCCCAAGTTTAGCACTACAAAGGGAATTATCTGGGTAGCCTGCCATTTTTGTGTATGTCTGGGGGGTTACAGCCCTTGCACACCTAGTACATTATTGTGGTCAGGTTTCTCCTGCAAGTTGCAAAGATCTCAGAAGCCTCTTCTGCAGTAACCTGGAGAAGGGCTGTCCCTGTTCTACAGAACGGCATTCCTGCCAAGATGACAGGCGGTCACTTATCTGCACTTTCCGGAAACAGTCAAAAACATTTTTGTTCCGATAAGCTTTCTCAGATGAATCAATGGGTCTTTGCCACAAGTGTGCACTCGCTGGGGTTTTAGCCTTGCTTTAAATGCGTTATTCTTTGTCGTCAACTATCGCCAGTGCAAATCGTCACGAGAGACGGTGTTCTTAGAAGGCGACTAACGAATCAACTTCAACTATAAGAAAAACCTGAGGTCATAGAAACATAGGAAGGCGGAACTGGATTCCACACTAAAAACTATTTTGCCATGTGATTGTGAAGTGGCAGGATGCAGTGAGCTGGTCCTCAGACCTGACAAGGGCAACACATGAGGAGGAGACAGCTTTGGGACTCAGGATGGAAAGGAATTTGCAGGGCCCTGGCTGAAAGGCAAAACTGTAGGTTTTCCTTTCCGCCATCCGGCCTGCCACCTTGTTTGTTGATTGATTTCCCTTCATTAATGTCTCCCGGAGCAGAGACTGCTGTTACTGTGGAGACAGGTTGCCAGAGCAACCAAGAGAAGGATAGAATTAGACCCCCCCCCCAAAAATGACAATAGACTGGTCACTGCCGCCTTGGCTACTGTTGCCATGGGAACCTCCAGCCTTGACCTTCTCTCTCTCCCCCCTCTAATACCCCAATACTATGATTAGTAGTGAGGGGGGCACTCGGACTGATATGTCAGATCCTGTGCCCCCGCTGGCCCTGAGGGACATCAGCTTTGAATATATTTTCAGAGGGAACAGTTCTTCAGCCCAGCGCAATATCAGAGAAAAAGCTAGCCAGGGCTAGGACACTGCCCAAGTCCCAAGAGACAGAAGTCTGGGCTTGATGTTGGGCGTTTATATGTATGAGAACATTTGGGATAGTTAAAGAGACAGCTGAAGGTCATCTCAGCTATCCACCCAGTAATTAAAGTGGTTTTGTGGAGATCTTTTCCTCCCCACCACTCGGAAGAATTTCAAGAAGGTATTTTAAAAGGTACTCAGGAAGTCGGGAGAATGAAAAGAAATGAAGGCCACTCTTCACATAATGTTTTCAGGTGCGAGAGAGAACAGGGCCCTATATTGGTTCAGAAAGGGGTATTTTGAAAGGGAACAGCTTGTGTTGCGTGGCAAGGGGAAGCTGCACTAGTAGACAAAACAAAACAAAAATCATTTTACACAAATTTATCATTATTATTACTACTACTATTACTATTAATTACCGTATTTTTCGCCCTATAGGATGCACTTTTCTCCCGCCAAAAATGAAGGAGAAATGCGTGTGCGTCCTCTGGGGCGAATACAGGCTTTTGCTGAAGCCTGGAGAGCGAGAGGGGTCGGTGCGCACCAACCCCTCTCGCTCTCCAGGCTTCAGGAAGCTCTGTGCAACCCTCAGGAGCCCGCGCCACTTCGCGCCCGCCTCCCGATGGCTGCGCAGAGCTGCCTGCACTCCCGGGCTTCGCGCAGCTCCACGCAACCCTCCAGAGTCCGGGGCGGCTTTGCGCCGGGCTCCAGAGGGTTGCGCAGAGCTGCCTGCACTCCCGGGCTTCGCACAGCTCCGCGCAACCCTCCAGAACCTCCCGAAGGTTGCGCAGAGCTGCCTGCATTCCCGGGCTTGGCGCAGCTCCGCGCAACCCTCCAGAGCCCGACACAAAGTCGCGCCGGGCTCCCAAAGGTTGCGCAGAGCTGCCTGCATTCCGAAGCCTGGGGCTTGCTGAAGAGCGTGCCCGGGCTTTGCGCAGCTCTCCGCAAGCCTGGGGAGACTGGCGCAGCTCCCTAGACCTCCGGATAGCAGGCTGTTCTGGGGGCTGGGGTCGGGGGAAGCTCGGGCTTCCCCCGCGCCAGCCCCGTGCCTGGGGGGGAAATAATTTTTTTTCTTTATTTCCCCCCCCAAAAAACTAGGTGCGTCCTATGGGGCGAAAAATACGGTACCCGCCCTTCACCAGAAGGTTTCAGGCTTGCAACAATTTGAAATTCAGAATTAAAAACATTTTGCAGCCGCAGGAATAGGGGAGTCCTGAAAGGACCTGCTCTCCTTTGCCCCTTGTTATATTTGCAAAATATATATATATTGTGCTGTGAACAAAAGCTACTGCCCTGGAAGCCCAACCCACAGAGGTTGTGCAGAGGTTGGAGCAGTTTCTAGAACTGCACTCCTTTTGAGTACTGGTTCAGATTTACAGCGCAATCTTAATACATGTCTTTGTTTAACTGCTGAGTTAAATGGGAACTACACTCAAGGAATTGTCCATGGGAATTCTCCCCCCCCCCTTTTCCTTTTGGACTCATTCCTATTAAGCATGGAGAATGTCGTGTTAGGCCTGGACTCCCCCGTAAGCCGAAGGGAAGGCCAGCAGGATTCTATTATCCTGCTCCTAAGGATGCACAGATTGTCTCTGTGATTCACAGAAAAGGAGCATGTAATCCAACCAGGGCCAAGCAGGTGATCCCAAAAAGTTCACAGAGAGGTCATGGTGGGGATTGCCACCCCTGGAAGCAGGCATTTAAGAGTTTTCCCATCTCTGAATAAAGAGGTTCTGGGCTTTAGCTATCAAGACGAACAACAGCAAAACTTGGGACAGAGTAGCTAAGCGGACATGATCAAAACACAGCTACGTTATTTCCCCCAATTCAAATCAAAGACCCGTATCTGCCAACTTCAGGGCTGGGTGCCAATGCCTTTTGCAGCTAAAACAGCACCACCCATCCGTGAGAGGAAGGCAGCAGCCGGCTCAGGAAAACCCCCGCGGTTTACAGAAGCGCATAAACATTGTTAGAAGGGGGAAAACTTAAAAACAGCCCGACGATGACTGAGAATGCTCGGTGACCGTGGACGGATGAATGACAGTTGCGGGAGGGAACTGGGTGTCAGCCCAGCCATATAGCTGACGAGCGCGTCTCTCTCACTTGGAAGAAGGTCATTGTGGAGCCCGCGTGGATGGTGCCATATTCAATGTTGGTCTGGTCAGCCAAGTCGTCCGCCGACTCAATGGGCACCTCCATCCTCTGCACGGTGAGGAAGGCAGCAAGGTTGGCCGTGTAAGAGGAGATGATGATCAAGGTGAATGCCCACCTGCAGCAACAAGAACAAAATTCACACGCAATTTTCTATGCCACAACAGCAGCAAGAATACTTAGTGCAAAGTATTGGAAGACACAAGATCTACCCACTCTGGAAGAATGGTAGATGAAGGTGATGGACTATATGGAATTGGCAGAAATGACCGGCAGAATCCGAGACCAGGGAGAAGAGTCGGTGGAAGAAAATTGGAAGAAATTTAAAGACTATTTACAGAAATATTGTAAAATTAATGAATGTTAGAATGATGTCAGAATGAAATTAAGTGGTTCTAGCAGCAATGTCATAAAGGTGTATGTAAAAATGGATGGTTAATAGGTGAGAATCTAAAGTTATAATATATTAAGTTAAAGGACTAAGACATAAACAAAGAGGGAAAGGAATTGCTGAATTAACCAATTGAACTGGAATACAAAAAAGGGAGGTGAGAGGAGGTCAGGGAAGCAAGGAAATGAAATGTAAGATACAGAAGGATTAATTTGTTTTTAAGTGTTTTTTTATTTTATTTTTCTGTATTTTGTATGTTTTTTCTCTTTCTTTTTTTTATATATTTTCCCTTGTTTCTTGTTTCTTTTCTCTTTAACTATGTAATTTTTTGTTTTTGAAATTTTAATAAATATCATTAAAAAAAAAAATTCACACGCAATTTTCAGTACCAAAAAACAAAAGCCATTTGGGGGGGCCAATGTATGCATTTCTATGCGTTTGATTTATAGCTCACCCCCCCCAAAAAAACAGCATCCATTTTATCCTCACAACAGCCCTGTGGAGTAGGTTGGGCTAAGAGAAAGTGAGAGGCCCAAGGTCACCCAGTGAGCTTGGTGGCTGAGTGTGGATTTGAACCCTCCTCTCGCAGGTCATAGGGACGCGGGTGGCGCTGTGGATTAAACCACAGAGCCTAGGACTTGCCGATCAGAAGGTCGGCGGTTCAAATCCCCGCGACGGAGTGAGTTCCCATTGCTCGGTCCCTGCTCCTGCCAACCTAGCAGTTTGAAAGCACGTCAAAGTGCAAGTAGATAAATAGGTACTGCTCAGGCGGGAAGGTAAACGGCGTTTCCGTGCACTGCTCTGGTTTGCCAGAAGCAGCTTAGTTATGCTGGCCACATGACCCGGAAGCTGTACGCCGGCTCCCTTGGCCAATAAAGCGAGATGAGCGCCGCAACCCCAGAGTCGGTCATGACTGGACCTAATAGTCAGGGGTCCCTTTACCTTTTTACTCCCAGGTCATAGTGCTGCCATCTAACCACTACGCCACACTGGCTCTCGGGGAAGGGCATTCTGGGCATGCATAAAAGCGCCTTTCCACTTATCCTGCAGAAGCAGAGGAAAACTTCCTAGCTAATGAGATCCCTTCGGGTTTCAAGATCTAATGTCTTGATGCTTCCAGGCTGCAGCTATTTTCGGATGGCATCTAATCACAGGCCAACTCAGGTTGCATATTTATGCAGCAGATTGGGAGGGCTTCCCCGAAAGACTGGACTTCTTTGCAATAAGGAAAGCGATAGGGTGTTGCTTTGGTGTAACATCGCCTAGGCTCCTTACCAGCAAATCAGAATTCACATTGCCACCATTTCTCAGTCGGAAGCTCACAGGGCCCAAATCCTTCTGAGGAGAGGGTGGTAGCAACCCTTTGCGATAGCAGTTAACTTTACAAATATCCAGGTTGAGAACAAAGGAGCAAGCAAACTCCCAAATGGGTAAAGCTACCCTTTAAAGGAAAAAAAAGCCACTTCTTGCCTGCCAGACAGTTTTTTAAGAAAAACCTTGATCGTCTTTCTCCTTCTCTGGCTGCATGCCAACTGCTAAAATATTTCTCCCCAGCCCTCAGCAAAACAGATGGGAGTGTCCCTAGTAGCTAGCAGATACCAGCCATTAAAATTCATCAACACTCACCTAAGCATTGATGCTTATTTAAGTCCTCAACAATACCCACTGAAGATATGCTGTTAGCTTTTAGCCTAGAGAGAAGGTCGTGTCCTCATTTGACACAAACCAACATTATCCTTGTTAATTTAACATGTCCTAGTCACATACACTGAGGTGAAAAGGTCTGTTCCATTACGTTGCTCAGATTAAGACTTTTTAGTAAATTCTGTTTTATATCTTTGTAGAGTAGGCTAAGCAACATTTGGGTAAGGTGCCGAAAAGGTTTGAGTGGGCCCAAACATTGATTTAGATTATAAATCCACACTGCCAATTGGCTAAAGAATTTCTAGAATTCTAGAATCTGCTTTTTAAACAATGGATCAATTAACATTAGATATCATCCAAACTCTGATGTAAGACACTGAATGAAGTGTGACCCCCTACAATTCGGTAAACACAAACGGCAGTTTCGCTTTCAGAAGGAATTGCCTCCTTTATTTTTTTTTTCATTCTCTGCTGCAGTAACATGCAAAAACCAAATCAGCCTTCACAGATAAACAGATGTGCCCTTCAAATGTTGTCGTCACCAAAAATGCCCCCCCAATTAATCAACTAAAACTTGGTAGATTAATCAAAACGTAACCACTATCCCATTTTAAAAATCCAAATTCCTAGAAGCCACCACCAAATGTTTAAGAGGCACCTGGGAAAAAAAATATTTAATATATTTCAGTTGTTTAAACGGCAGCAGAATGCTACTAGGCAGCTGGGAGATGAGGTGGTGTCTGGAATTTTCCAGATTTGAATATACCCCATAGCTGGTCACCCCTCCTGCTACGGACCCCAACTCCACAGAGGCGCCTTTCTCCAAACCTGTCAGGCACATGCCCCACGGATGCTCACCAGACCCCACTGACACAGCGAGTAGAGAGGGCCCGAGGCATGATCTCTGACCCCTGTTGCATGAAGCCGCCAACTGGGAACCAGAGGCTGTTGCCAAGCGTGTACTGGTTTTCCAATATGTTGTGCCGCTCGCGCAGGCAAGGATGGGGGTTGTACCATTCATAAGGGCTCAGCCTGTGAAAAGAAAAGAAAATAAGAGAGAAAAGAGAAAAGCAAGAGAGGAGAGGAGCTGGCTTACTTCTATGTAAACATATTTAGGCTCAGGGTCTTAGGGGGTAGTCTCCGCACCTTCACTAAACTACCAATTTAATTACAGGAAAGCATGAAAGATGAACCAGTTTCAAAGTGACATTTCAGATCTCGCCCTAAATGGCTGCAGCCACGAACATCCATCACAGGATTTGAGCAGTGACATTTCCCACAATCTGCTGCAGCAAAGAAAACAAGAGCTGCCTTAAAGACGGCACACAACTTTTAGTCCGTTTAGCCCAGTGCAAACCGCTCTGGCTTGCAGCAGGCCTCTGTGCTAGAGATCTTTGACATCGTCAGCTACCTGATCCCTTTTTTGACCTGAAGTTGCTGCCAGGGACTGAACCTGGAGTCTACTGCATGTAGATTAGGCACTCTTCCACTGAACTACGGTCCTTTCCCCAAGCATAACATGTGGAAGAAACCTAGCCTGGAATGGCTAGCAGGCAGCCTCTGAATCAGATGCAACACTCAAAGCAATTTCCTCCGGTCCCTGGCAGCCCTCCCCAATTTTATTTGGAATATGGTGGAAGGAATGTTGTAAGAAACTGAAATATTACATACTTCAAGGTGACTCCTCTGCCTTGCTCTTTCTGTGCAATGTGTATGTGTGAATGTACATATCTGCACATACCATTATGTCTGAGTACCTGCTGACAGGCGGTCGTGACTTTATGCAGAGCTCAATTTGTGTGACTAAATCTACCTCCCCCGAGAAAGAATACAGACGCCTGACCACCTCGGCTTCAGGGTGCATTGCAACACACAATGCAACAAGGATGTTTGGTTAGGTTCTTAAAAGCCCATAAGCAAAAATTGGCAGATGCTAATTTATATGTGTGGATGCAGTTTCAGAATTTTAATGCAACAGAATGCAAGCCGACTAATTTCCCAACCAAATCCCCACTTCCAAAAAATACTCGGTTAATTTGTACCACATCCCAGATCACCCCAAACTTCTTTGGCTCAGTTATCCCCCGTTAACCTCCTGCTCCAACCCAATTCACTTTCCCTTCAGTTACACAATTCAACACCCCCAAATAGACTCTTTAGAGAGTAATTTCAAGTTATTCTCTCAAATTAATATCCCAGTAACATGGAGAACACACAGAAGCACAGACTTCTGCTGGATTCATTACCCACCTAGAAACACTAGGGGCACTTAGAATTTTTTTTGTGGGGGAGGCCACAGCAGCGGAGCTGGGAGGGGGGTCACAATGGGTGCCACTCACCCAGGGGGTGGCAGTTACCACAGGGCCTGCAACTTGCCCAAGCCATACATCTCTCCTTTTCGGGTGACGTGGGGCTTGCGTCTGCCACGCGCCTCCCCCTCAGCCACCCTGCAGGCTCCGCCCAGAATGACCTTCCCAGCTCGCCCCGCCCCCATGGATGGCTCAGCCCGGGCGCCCAAGCAGCCAGCTACACCACTGGGAGGCCATGCCCCATAGGCCCATCCCTAGTAGTGCCTGAGTATGGCTCCAGGATAGAGGGCACTAACCTGGCAGCTAGGAAGAGGACGCAGCTGACAGCGAGATAGGCCAGGAGCATGAAAAGCCAAACAGCCGGGGAGAAAGGATCCAGGAAGGAGAAATACCCTGGTTTGCGTCCCTGTAAAAAAAGTAGTAGCAGGAGCACTGAATCACCATGAATATCAATAATTTGTTTTATTTGTACCTCACCCATCTGACTGGATTGCCCTAGCCCATGGGTAGGCAAACTAAGGCCTAGGGGCCGGATCTGGCCCAATCACCTAAATCTGGCCTGCAGACGGTCCGGGAATCAGCGTTTTTACATGAGTAGAATGTGCCCTTTTATTTAAAATGCATCTCTTGGTTATTTGTGGGGCCTGCCTGGTGTTTTTACATGAGTAGAATGTGTGCTTTTATTTAAAATGCAGCTCTGGGTTATTTGTGGGGCAGAGGAATTCATTCATTTCCCCCCTCCAAAAAAAATATAGCCTGGCCCCCCACAAGGTCTGAGGGACAGTGGACCGGCCCCCTGCTGAAAAAGTTTGCTGAGCCCTGAGGGCCTAGCCACTCTGGGTGGCTTCCAACAAATATTCCCTATATTCAGCCCAGCCTAAACCTTGCCTATCCCCAGTGGTGGCTGGTGTGCATTGCGACTGGTAGGGCAGAACACAGGGAGACCAACAGCAGGTGGCGCCAGAGCCAATGACAGAGCCACTTCTAGTTTTGTCCCCATCTTCCTCCCTGCTGCTGCTGCTGCTGCGTTCTACAAGGGCAACGCTGAGACTAAGGGGAAGGAAGCTGACAACCAGCACCATCTCTGACTGGTTGCAAGAAAAGAGGCAGGTAGGTCAGGGCTGGCTGGAGGTAGACGAAGGTTGGTGTGTCAATGTGCCCCAATGGACCAGCCTAAACTTTGCCTATCCCTAAGGTAGGAAGTGAGAGCTGGACCATAAAGAAGGCTGATCTCCAAAGAATTGATGCTTTTGAATTATAGTGCTGGAGGAGACTCTTTGAGAGTCCCATGGACTGCAAGAAGATCAAACCTATCCATTCTGAAGGAAATCAGCCCTGAGTGCTCACTGGAAGGAAAGATCCTGAAGCTGAGGCTCCAATACTTTGGCTACCTCATGAGAAGAGAAGACTCCCTGGAAAAGACCCTTTTGTAGGGAAAGATGGAGGGCACAAGGAGAAGGGGACGACAGAGGACGAGATGGTTGGATAGTGTTATCGAAGCTACCAGCATGAGTTTGACCAAACTGAGGGAGGCAATGGAAGACAGGAGTGCCTGGCGTGCTCTGGTCCATGGGGTCACGAAGAGTCGGACACAACTAAACGACTAAACAACAACAAGGTAGGAAGACTGGGCTGTTTCATGTGGGCTAGCAAACTGCCGTGGTGCATTCCAATTAAAAGCTGCCTCCACGGACGCAGAGCCAGCATTGCTTGCAGTGCTCCTGAAAGCAGACTTAACGGGTCAACTCTGCTAACTGCAGAGATAATGGAGCTTCACAATTAGCTTTAATGCCGTTCTCTTCGCTCTAATGCGCCTTGAAGGAAACCGGCTTGTTGTTGTCATTATATCGGGGATTCTGGAGGCTGTTTCAGAGGTTGTTGACTCAGGGCTGGTACCTTGGTTTCTGCTGATTCATGACAAACCCGGGGCAATTGCAGCTACGCTCCCTTGCTCCATTTAAAGGTCTTTCGCAAATAACAGGGTATTTGTTAGGATAATGTTCCTCTAATGAGCTCAAGGCAGAGGACGTGGCTTCGCTCCTCACGCCCCATTTTATTCTCACAACGGCCTTGTGAGGCCGAGAGATACTGGCCAACCTGAAGTCACTCAATGAATTTCGAGGCTGCAACGAGGGATTGGAACAAGGGTATCGTTGGTGCAATTCCAGCACCGTTGCTTATATTAGCCCCGCTGCACACTTTGCGATCCATCAAGCTGAATGCAGCCAAGGAGACCTTGTTTTGACAACCTTGCAATGTGATAAAAGTTGTCGTTTTTGCTGCCTTCCCAAACTGAAGACAGGAGAGAAGAGTCGTGGGATGGTGTGAAACCACAGCACAACTTTGCACCGTTATCGGAATGGAGGAGAAGATGGAGCGTTCCTTTAACCAGAGTTTCCCATGATAAAGAACTGCTTTAAGAAGGCTGAAGAACATCACCCACAGGGGTCAAAACTCCCACCTATAATTGTGAGGCTGTCTAAAGTCTCAGAATAGGTACAGTGGTACCTTGGTTCTCAAACTTAATCCGTTCCAAAACCAAAGTGTTCCAAAACCAAGGCACGCTTTCCCAGAGAAAGTAATGCAAAACGGATTAATCTGTTCCAGACTTTTAAACACAACCCCTAAAACAGCAATTTAACATGAATTTTACTCTCTAACGAGACCACTGATCCATAAAATGAAAGCAATAAACAATGTACTGCAGTCACACAGTCAATCAATCAGTAGCTGAACTGGATTCCACACAGTCACAATAACAAAAAACAAAGAGCTGCAAAAACAAAAACAAAGGATAAATGGCAAAAACAGACAGACCTCAGCATAAGACTCTAACGGAGCACATCCGGCTACCGAAAACACTTCGCAAACCAGAACGCTTACTTCCAGGTTTGCAGTGTTTGGGTTCCAAGTTGTTTGAGTACCAAGGCGTTTGACAACCAAGGTACCACCGTACTGGGTTGTTTGTGAAATGAGACTCAACAGCCACACTGTTCTGCCCTTAGGTTCACCGGCCCATTTGCTCAACTCTCAGCCGTGGCCCCCCTCCTCCCAGTCCCACAAGACAAAAGCGCACATACCATGTGAACCCGGTACAAGATGCTGATCCCCAGGGTCATAAAAGGCTTGGAAAAGTCGATGACCTTCTCCCGCTCGGCCGTGATGGTGAACGCAGCCACGGCCAGGTCAGCTTTCTGCGGAGCAAAGCACAGTGACCCCTGCCTGTCACTCAGAGAATTGCATGGCCCAACCCACCGCCATGCGCCCTCTTCTGGGTGGGAGCAGGAGCAAAGGAGCGGTGCCTTCTCTTCCTCTTCCCCCTCCACCCGCCAGCCATTCTAAATGCTCAGAGCAAGGGAAAGATCACTTTGGCAACGACATTTTGCAAGCAGGAAAGGAGGTGGCAGGGAACAGCGTGTCAGAGATCCAGAAAGGCCAAGCTAGTGGTCAGGGAGGGTGGGCAGAGAGGGGCGCTGAATTTCACAGGCTGATTTGTGGCAGCAAACTTCCAGCAACTTTATAGAGTTGCTTGCTCATGCAGCAGAAAATCAGGGTGATTTTGCACATTTATTGCATCCCGAGGTTTCCAACCACGTGGTTAGAAAAAAAATTCCCACGCTGAATGCACATTTAATGTATAAATATGTCCCCCAGTAATTGGTTTCTCCAACTTAGTGTTTTTGGACTACAGTCCCCATCATCCCTGACCACTGGTCCTGCTAGCTAGGGATGATGGGAGTCGTGGTCCAAAAACAGCTACAGACCCAAGTTTGGAGAAACGCTGCCCTCGTATATGGGGGGCCAATGTGATGCTCTCTAAATGTTGCCAGACTACAACTCCCATCAGCCCAGACCTTTGACCATGCCGGCTGAAGCTGATGGGCCCTGGAGTCTAGCAACAACTGGGAGGACCCACATTAGCTATCCCTGCCCTTGTGGACTGGTGGTAGCAAACACTCAACTAGCAGCCAGAGGTCTCAGAATCACCCTCTGGTTGGAGACTCCAGAACCACAACTGATAGCAGTTCTTTCCATAGTGCATTATTGTCCATTTTAATCGCACTATCTTTTGTAGCCCTGGAAAAAGAATGAAGTACCCGTTGCTCATTCATTATCTCCACAAATAAGACCGGGCCTGTGCCTGGGGGCTTGTCCACACTTCTGCTTGTCATGTGCTTTGAAAGCAACGAGAGGTTCCTGCCACCCCCGTCTCACTCCTTTCCCAGGGATAAACCCGCTCTTTAGCTGTAAATCGGAACAAACGGCAATCCCCAGAAAACCCGGTTGCAGTTTGCTCCAATTCAGCGCTAAAGAGTGGTTTTCCCTGAAGGAAAGCTGTGGGAAAGCCTTCGGTCAACACATGCAGCAATGTGAGGTGACAGAGTGGTTTTACAGCTTCAGACTTCAGTTGCGGGGATGCCATTCCTGAGCACTCTTTCATGCGAACAAACAGAACAAAGCCATCCCTGCAAGAAAAAAGCTAGGAAAATATTTTAGCCGAGCCCAGTTCCTGTGATGCTAGCTTTCTACTTGCAGGGAGCAAGTACAGGAACGCAGGTGCATTAAAAAAATCTGATCCCCTGTCACCTATCACATTTTGTTCTGTGTCTAGACAGGCCTTCATCTGAGGGCAAAGAACCAAAGAAGCAGTGCTAGGGCCAGAGCTTTCGGAGGAACCAGAAAGACAGTGATAGGGCAGTCATGGTGCCCTGCAGAAGAAGGGCATGCTGTACATGCTCACATGCGCTTGTCCTCTTTCAGCAGCCCACACTTTCGTGCTTCTGGTTCCGACAGGAGATTCCCTGTCAGATGATATACTACCGAGAGATAAGGGGGTTGTGGGTCTTCAGGAAAAGGTCTGGGAGAAAGAGACCCCACTGGGTTCCACCCCAAGGAGCCGTACCCTATTAATGAGCTCTCCCACCATGCCAGTCCAAGATCCATTTGGCTCGGGAGCCCCATAGAGCCCGTCGTCCACCAGCTTAATCTGGAAGCGAAATTTAAGGATGTCGGCGAGTTCGTGGAGCATGTCTACGCAGAAGCCCTCGTACTGCTCTGTGCCGGACAGCTCCTGGAAGTTTGCACGGCGCATCACGTAGGGGTTTTCCTGTAAGAGGGGACAGGGAGACAGTGAGTAACAGCCCCTTGCGTTAGGGAATAAGCTCTAGAAGAAAGTTTGCAAGGAGGTTTCATACCCTCCGACATTCCTCAGATGAAAATAAGGACATTTCTCACTCCTCGCAACTGACTCAACTGATGGCAGGCTGTGTCACCCAGGAGTGGGTGGAGGGCTGGGTGAGGGCAGACCGAGGTTGTGGGCAATGCCCCTTTTCGCCCTCCACTGCGGGCCACCGGCACATCTTGTGGCAGTGAATTCCTCAGGTTAATCATGTGGCGTATTCCGAAACTTTTGTCAGTCTACATCTACAGCTAAGTCAGAATAGCCCTCTACAGAGGAGAGAAATGTTGGCTTATTTCTTTTCAGGAGGAGGAGAGGGGGAAACTACGCAGGTTGGTGAAGCAGTCGCCTTCCCCTGCCTTCTTCAAACGAAACGAAACAAAGCCCCGCTCTCACATTCTCCACAAAGCACTTTATTCTCCTCCCACAAGGCACTGGGGCTGCGCTACGTGTTGACCGCAGCCATAGCTCTGTCTCAGCGCCTTCTGTGAGGAGGAGAATGGCAGCCAGACACCCTGAGGAGCTCTACACAGCAAGGAAGCGCTTGTTAAAAAACGAAAAGAAAGATAATAAAAGGGAGGCATTCACCTCCCCCCACAAAAAACCTCTACTCAGCGCCAAACTGCACTAGTTCAGATCACACCAATCCTGAATCAATCGGCTTACACTCAATTGCTATGAGTTCCAGTGTAATAATCTTTTGATCATGTCTTCTCCTTAGACCAAGGGCAGCCAATGCTGTGGGCTCCATCAGCCCTGACCACAGGCCATGCTGGCTGGGGCTGAAGTCCAATGGCATCTGGAAGGTGCCCCATGGGCTCCTCTTGCCGCAGACCAGGTGTACAGGAGAACAGGTCCTTTAGACCTTTAATCCCAACCTCGCAAGAATTGGGACCAATCAAGCCAAAATGTCGCTCAACGGAGCTGGCCAATACACAGTGCCTTCCCAGTGTTGTTGGACTACAACTCCCATCAGTTCCTGCTAGCATGCGGAATAGATGTGGATGATGGGAGCTGGAGTCCAGCAGAGGATGACACTGGCAATGCACCATGAGCCGTGTAGGGCAGCCCACAAGGGACTCCATACTCCTCCTGTTTTGCTTCCGGCATAAGACTACTGCACAGAAGGGGTGTATTATGTGTAAAAGGTAAAGGGACCCCTGACCATTAGGTCCAGTCATGGCCGACACGGGGGTTGCGGCGCTCATCTCGCTTTATTGGCCGAGGGAGCTGGCATACAGCTTCCGGGTCATGGGGCCAGCATGACTAAGCCGCTTCTGGCGAACCAGAGCAGCGCACGGAAACGCTGTTTACCTTCCCGCCGGAGCAGTACCTATTTATCTACTTGCACTTTGACGTGCTTACGAACTGCTAGGTTGGCAAGAGCAGGGACTGAGCAATGGGAGCTCACCCTGTCGCGGGGATTCAAACCGCCGACCTTCTGATCGACAAGTCCTAGGCTCTGTGGTTTAACCCACAGCGCCACCCGCGTCCCATATTATGTGTGTGACTACAATATATGGCATGCAGGGTTGCCGGGATTAAAGCTGGAGCAGACTGACAGATCATTAGGCTCCCTGTCATCGGGCTGCTCTATGCCTTCTGATCAGTGAGCTGTGCCAGGGCAGCTTTGATAGCCGTGCCAAAGTGGAGGAATCTCAGCAGGGGTTGCGCTCCTCCCTCTTGCGTGACAAACCGAGTTTGCGAAAATTCACTCCCCGATACAAGTTGAGGAGCTCAGTGCTCTGGATCTGGTCACTTGCGTCCCACGTACAAACTCACCGTCTGTCAAGCCCAGAAGACTCTCAACCTGAATTTGATATTAAAGGCCAAGGGAACCCACACTCCCCTCCCTTAACAAAGCCCGGCAAAGGCGGGCAGCGAGCTTACTAAGATGGTGGTGACCGTCAGATTCTTGTTGGCAAGGCTCTCTGAGATGTTGATGTCCAGCGTTGTGGCGTTCATGGCAAGAGTCCTGTTCGAGTACCACACCCCGATCTGCAAATAAGAGGAAGTGTGTTAGAGGGTCTCACTAGAAGAGGCAAGGGGAAGCTTTTCCAGCTCAAGGCTGCCTTCCCTTCTGTGCTGGGCCCCGGGGGTAAACCCAAGCAACGTGGTCCAGGTCTGGTCCCGAATCCAAGGATTCCGCGAGGAGTCAGTCCAACAAGGCCAAGGCAAGTCACAAGGCAGGAAACCTGGCTAGGTCAGGCACAGGGTCTCAGGCAGGTTCCAGCAGCAATGTTGCTCCTGCAACCTGGGGCGGGGTCTGACTGCCTTTTATCTCTGTCAGGGTAATGGCCGGTCCTGACCCCCGGTGACTCACCTCCCTGTCTCACCCGAAGGCGAGCACTCCTCCTGCAAGTACTCAGGTCTCTCCTTCTCTCAGACCTGAGTCTCTGCAGCTCGGGAGGTGTCGGTGGGTTACTAGACCCAGAGGCCGCCTCAGCCTCTCCTGACCCAACTGGTAGTGAGGCAGCTGTAAGTGATTGCCCAGCTGAAGGCAACGAGGTAATCCCCGTATCTGGAGCCAGGGCAGGCTCAGGCCCCTGACTCGGCCCAGCCGGTGCTTGTTGCAAGGGAACCTGTGCAGACTGGGGCTCTTCAGAATCAGGCCCCAGACTCGGTTCAGATGCCGCCTGAGGCAGAGGATCTGGTGCGGACTGAGACTCCTCCGGTTCCGAGTCTGAGCCCAAGTCCCAGGCCATCACACCTTCAGGGAAACTTCCCAGAGATGCCAGGGTGGGCGAGGCTAGAAGGACAGGTGGGCGGAGCAATGAATGCACAGCCATACTTCCCTTGTCCTCAGTTCAGGCGCATAAGAAGCATTACTGGGGTTCCATCACACATTCCAGCCAGGCAAAAATCAACCAAGGAGGGTGTGGCCTGAGGAAAGGGGTGTCACCTGAGGAGTCAGACCAAGTGACCCGGAAGGCTGCATTTGGCCCCCAGGCCCCCAACCCACCCCTGAGCTGGACTGTTTTATCAGCAGTGTTTGAAATTAGCTAGGTGCCAGGCGTGTTTTGTGACTGGCACAAGTTTGATCGCAACCGTGTGGAGATCTCTGGGTGCCGGCTGGCGACTGGGAGAAGCAAAACGTCACTTTGAGAAGGATCTGAAATAACTCCCTTGAAGCTTGAATTAGTTTTATTCCAGATTGTTCTATTTGATGTTTTAATGTGTTGTGAACCTCTTTGAGGTTTGTTCTTTAAAGTATAGAGCAGTATAGAAACGGTGTCAGGGACTGGCTGGATACTGAGGAGTGGATTCTGAGGAGTCGTCAGGGGGAGAAGCAGGGCTGGAGACAGACTTGGTAGAAGGGAAGCAGTGATCTGGAGGCGTCTGTGACAGCCAGGAGACAGAGTCAGAGGCCCGAGAAGCTGCAGGACTGGAGAGTGAAGAACAGTTGCAGGAGGAGGAAGAAAAGAGGCCTTAGAATTCTGCACGTAGAAACTTGAGAAAAAACTGGGCTCCTATCTGGAAACCTGGCCCGATTCATTTCGCTTTCTTGCAAGATGAGCACACAGCGGACTTCAACCTGTAGCCCCTCAAGGCTACAGGAAATGACCGAACAGGAGTAGATGATTTGCAGTTGAGGAACTACAAATGCATATTCTGAACTGCATGATTTGGGTTGCCTTTGCTCAGAACCTGGACTCGGAAGGGAAGGCCAGTTTTAAGGATAACCCCCCACTTACCTCCCGGTGCCCATGGCGGGCTTTTTCCAGGATGCGCAAGGTATAATTGGTTCTCTGGCCCTTGCTGTTGAACTCTACACGCCCTGTCAGCCCGTCATACTCTACCTGGCCAGGGATGGAGAGACAGAAATGGGGGTTGGGAGGGAGAAAAGACAGAGAGGGAGACAGGAAAAGAAGGGAAGACAGTGAGATATGACCAGCCTGCGGTGAAGGGCACAACCAGCTTGAGGTAGCCAGCACTGGATTTTTACACCCCCCTAGATTCATCAATATATGTGAACTGTGGGTTCCTCTCTGCGCATCATTTTAAGGCAGTGTGTGCACATACGGAGGTTATCAAAGATGCAATCTGCAGATTTACTTTTTGAAATTAAATTACTTCCCCCCGTCCCAAGTGAAACTGAGCCTGCTCCAGATTGGCTGAGGAGGTGTGATGTAGGGAAGCCTGGAGAATGAAGTTGCCAGAGCTCTGGCTTTCAATCGACTGATGTGTGCCCTTCCTCCCCATCCATTGGCCGGGGCTGCAGTGACATCATGGAATGTTTGTGAACATTCCAAATTGCTCGGGGGGGGGGATTTTGTAAAACAAAGGGCCTACTTACAGAAGGAACTGTTTAATGATAGCAGGAATAGTTACAGGGAGGCAAGGCCTCGGAGACCTGACTGCTACACACAGGTAGCAGAAAAGGAAGGAGGGCACAGAGTGATGGGAGGAGGAGATAAAAGAGTTTGGTAGGCCATTTTGAGAGACTAGGCTATTAAATCTCAGCTACCCACCAAGGAGCAGTTTGGGTAGTTGAGCAGTATGTATCATTATCTCTGCAGCTGCATTATAATACCCAAGCATGCTCATCCAAGAATATTTATAAAAGGACGAATCCGACCCCCTAAAGGGCCAGAAAACTCACTACCCTCCCAATTAACCATCAAAAGCCAAGGTACCGTATTTTTTGCTCTATAAGATGCACTTTCCCCCTCCTAAAAAGTAAGGGGAAATGTGTATGCGTCTTATGGAGCGAATGCAGGCTGCACAGCTTTCGCGGAAGCCAGGAGAGTAAGAGGGATTGGTGCGCACCGATCCCTCTTGGTCTCCTGGCTTCAGGGATAGCCACGCAAAGCCTCCTGAGCTCAAGAGGCTTTGCATTGCTTTCTTGTTTCTTGTTTTTCTCCTCTAAAAACTAGGTGCATCTTACGGTCGGGTGCATCTTATAGAGCGAAAACTACGGTAAATAGAAATGTTTTACCCAGGCAATTAGAAGTAAACCATGTTGGCACCAGGTGTACTTCCCTGGGGAGAACATTTCGCAAACAAGGAGCCACCACCGAGAAGGCCCACTCTCGCACTGCCCTCTTTTGCACCCCCTCAGAGGAAGCAGACAGAGAAGCATCTCCAATGGCGAGCGCAGTGTCAGAAGAAAAGAAAAGAATAAAGACAAGCAAAGAAGAGAAATCCACCACAGGGCCACAATTTCTATCGGAAAACCTGGATCCCATTCTTATTTTTGGCTCAAACCTAGGCAAACGTTTGTGTCTGGGGCAAATATAATCTGCACAAGGCCTTAATCACCCTCTTCATACTGTGTATGAGCCTCAATATTATAGGAAACACAGCCTGCCCACTATGAGCACAGCCACATCTCACCATGCGCAGGTAGTTCATGAGGCTGGTCCCATGCTGCCAGATGTTAGACGAGGTGCAGGCCAGGGGTTTGACCCCGATCTCCTGGCTGCGGTTCAGCTCTCGCACAGCACTCACCACCACGTGCACCGCATCGAACATCAGTGCCGCCGACAGCTGAAAGGGAGCAAACAGTTCAGCCAGCGTTTAATTATCAAGCAGCTCGGAGGGTGAGGGCACCTGTTATTATTATTAAAGGTAAAGGTAAAGGGGCCCCTGACCATTGTATCCAGTCATGGCCGACTGGGGTTGCGGCGCTCCTCTCGCTTTATTATCCGAGGGAGCTGGCGTACAGCTTCCGGGTCATGTGGCCAGCATGACTAAGCCGCTTCTGGCGAACCAGAGCAGCGCACGGAAATGCCGTTTACCTTCCTGCTGGAGCGGTACCTATTTATCTACTTGCACTTTGACGTGCTTTCGAACTGCTAGGTTGGCAGGAGCAGGGACCGAGCAACGGAACTCACCCCGTCGCGGGGATTCAAACCACCAACCTTCTGATTGGCGAGTCCAAGGCTCTGTGGTTTAACCCACAGAGCCACCCACATCCCATTATTATTATTAGTTTATTATTTAAAGCATTCCCCCCCACACACACACTCTTCAGGCAAAAAAACTTAAGACAATCCTCACCCTCTAAAAGACATGGCACAAAAGGAAAAGGGGCTGATGAGGAGGAGGGGGAAAAGCAAACTTAGGCTCCGGTTCTCAGTTATGAAGTTCTTATATGTGTTCTTCCAAGCATGCCAGGGCAATGAAATCTCCTGCAATTGTTTCTTCCCTGGCTGACAGATGGGAGCCAGGTTGCGCTTCCAGCTGTCAAAATGTTCTTTCTGGGCCTCTAGCCTATCATCTCCGTTCTACTCTTACTTCTGCAACTAGGCTCAAACATCTCTGCCTCTGCAAAGCTGGAGGTGGATGAAATGAGTCATAGTTACTGAGCAAGGCTGGAATTAATGTGTTTCTCAAATGGACAGCCATGTATCTTAACATCAGAATGTAACATTCTGCATTAGGGACAGGCAAAACCCCCACCGAGAAACCTAATTAACCTTAATTGAAATTATTTTCGCTTTCCTAGAAATCACTCAGAAGTTTCGTCAGAGGAGGCATATCCAAACTCTTCTCAGAGTTCACCTTAGGGGAAAAGCCTGTGAAAATGCAAACTAAATCTTTAAATGCAAACTAAAATCTAATTTCATGGGGGAGAAATTCGATTCACTCCACATTTAAAGCTGAATCTATCAAATCTGAAACAACAGGAGAACCGAAACCCAGCCATCCTTTGAAATTAGCACTGATTTGAATTTTGAGAGGCCGCCAACAGATGGACAATTATAAAAAAAAATTCATAGGTTAGGTAAAAGTGAGCCTTAAAAAAATGAACATATCCATGAAAATAACATGCAGAAATCCATTATATCAGGAGAAGTTGCTTGCAAGAAAATGTGTACAGGAGTCAAAACAGCATACACAAATGTGTATTGCGGTAGGAGAAATTTGCACCAACGTTCTGAAGAATTTTCGTGAGGATCTAAATAAATAAATGTGTCACAAATTAGCTGTAGAAACGTGGAGAACCCAATTTAAGATTGGGAAAACGAGAAGCCAGAAGAAATGAAATTGACATGTTCTTCCATCCCTAGTGGCCGGTCATTCTAGTAGAGTCACTTCACAGAATTTGGTAGGATTTCTCCTATGCACAACATTACCCTTGTACTCTGAGTTGCCAGACTTACCGCAGGCCCCGGGTAAGGGCTGAGCTCACAGTTCTCCCGCCACGACATGTTGAGGCTGCGGACAAACTCCATGTAGAAAGGATGGCTGGTGTTAAACATGGAGAAGCCCAGGATGTTGGAGTGCTCATCCACAATCTCATCCAGGTGCAAGATTGGGAAATCCTGTGAGGAACAAGTCAGGAGGCGAAGAGAAGAAGAAGGAGGGGAGATGGTGAGCAGCAGTTTCACAAATCACCGTATTTTTCCATGGATAAGACGCCCCCTATTTTGGGGGGGCTCCAAATTGACGCTGTGGGTTAAACCACAGAGCCTAGGACTTGCCGAACAGAAGGTCGGCGGTTTGAATCCCCGTGACGGGGTGAGCTCCCGTTGCTCGGTCCCTGCTCCTGCTCACCTAGCAGTCTGAAAGCATGTCAAAGTGCAAGTAGATAAATACTTGCGGGAAGGTAAACGGCATTTCAGTGTGCTGCTCTGGTTCGCCAGAAGCAGCACAGTCATGCTGGCCACATGACCTGGAAACTGTACGCCTGCTCCCTTGGCCAATAAAGCGAGATGAGCGCCACAACCCCAGAGTCGGTCATGACTGGACCTAATGGTCAGGGGTCCCTTTACCTTTACCTTTAAGGAGTCTCAAAGCGGCTCACAATCTCCTTTCCCTTCCTCCCCCATGACAAACACTCTGTGAGGTGAGTGAGGCTGAGAGACTTCACAGAAGTGTGACTAGCCCAAGGTCACCCAGCAGCTGCATGTGGAGGAGCAGGGAATCGAACCCTGTTCACCAGATTACGAGTCCGCCGCTATTAACCACTACACCACACTGGCTCTCTGTTGTCTGTCCCCTCACTGGCAGAAGCCACCAATCACCCAACACAACTAAAACAGCAAATCAACACCAGCCATTGCCACAGCCACCAATAACACACCAAATAGCTGCTGACAATCTCCGGGTTATGGCAGCAACCAATCCCACGTCTCCCCTATGTAAGATGACCCCCAATTTCTAACATTTTTAAAAATTAAAAAAAAACCTGGTCTTATGCACAGGAAAGTACCGCATGCAGTCAAGTGTCCTGTGTTTGGGGAAATTGCAGGGGGCAGGGTTTCAGCACACCTGGAGTGCAATGGACTAGCCTCACCTTGGAGAAACCTTCTTCCTGATCAAGAGACAGGAAAAGCAACAATGGTCTTCCTCATGCCATTTTTATTGGATTTTAAAATTACTTTAATCAGGTCATAATATTCTGAATTACTATATTTGCAGACGATGCTCTTTTGTGATTTGCTCATCTAACCTCTCGTTTATAATCTACTGAGTTACAATTATTATTATTATTATTATTATTATTATTATTATTATTATTATTGCTGCCAAGTAGCCTTCACAAGACCACCAAGGGAAATAAAGAGCCAAAATTCATTTGGGTTGGTTGCAGCTTGTTATTTTAACGGCTCAGTTTTACTGACATTTTTTGTGTGCTCTGCAATACTTTATGAGCCATATGCATTCGGTTTTTAAACATCAGGTTTATTTATACTATTCCTGTTTGGAAATTATTACTATTATTAATATCATTTTGCTCTGGATACAAAGAGAAATTCACATTGTTCATTTTAATTGGTGCTATATTTCATGAAAACATTGCTTTGCAGTTTATGCATTACAGTAGCGTGTGTGTGTGTGTGTTTGTGCGTCTCCCAATTTTTTCCATCTGTCCCTCATGCCAGTTCAGCTAGGTCTAATTCTTCAACCTGAGAGTTTATTTCTGTATATCCCCATCATACTTCTTTATCTTTCCAACCCATTCATATTCCACCCTTAAAGAAGCTCACATCACTATAAATGGGTTTTTGTCATTTTAGCTTCACAACAACCCTTTGAGGTAGGATAAGCTGAGAGAGAGCGGGTTAGCCAAGGCTAATATCCAGTGAGCCCCAAGGCAGAGAAAGGACTGAACCAAGGTCTTATTGGTTCAAATGCAACACACTATCCATTAAGCTCCCTAGATACCCAAGATCTTCTTATGCATACAAAGTGGGCACTCTCTTGCAGCCTCTGACTCCAGAGCCTTGGAGTTAAGACAATGGCTAAAGGAAAGCATGCACCTGAGCTGATTTGGCAATGGAAAGGGGAACCAGGGTATTTGCCCAACACCAAGTCACACTACTTTGGGAGAAAAGCAATGACAAACCTAGACAGCATCTTAAAAAGCAGAGACATCACCTTGCCGACAAAGGTCCGTATAGTTAAAGCTATGGTTTTCCCAGTAGGGATGTATGGAAGTGAGAGCTGGACCATAAAGAAGGCTGATCGCTGAAGAATTGATGCTTTTGAATTATGCTGCTGGAGGAGACTCTTTGAGAGTCCCATGGACTGCAAGAAGATCAAACCGATACATTCTCTTAAGGAAATCAGCCCTGAGTGCTCACTGGAAGGACAGATCGTGAAGCTGAGGCTCCAATACTTTGGCCACTTCATGAGAAGAGAAGACTCCCTGGAAAAGACCCTGGTGCTGGGAAAGATGGAGGGCACAAGGAGAAGGGGACGACAGAGGACGAGATAGTTGGACAGTGTTCTCGAAGCTACCAGCATGAGTCTGACCAAACTCCGGGAGGCAGTGGAAGACAGGAGTGCCTGGTATGCTCTAGTCCATGGGGTCACGAGGAGTCGGACACGACTAAACAACAACAACAACAACATTATTATTACAGTCACTGGCAGTGACTCTTGAATTGCAGGTAGGGGTCTCTCTCCTACCCCCACCCAGTGACACCAGGATTTAACCTGGGACCTTCTGCACAAGAAGCATGTGCTCAGAGCCACTGTCCTTCATCAAGAGTGCTCAGGGATGTGTGGAGTGGAGCTAGCTGCTCTGGCACCCGGAGCGGCGAACATGCTGTGCACCCGGGGTGGGGCTAGCTGCCCGCGGGGGCGTCGCAAGCGTCCCAGGGGGGCACCACCTGCGGCAGACATCCGGGGGGGCAGCCCACGGCAATGTCAGCCCCCCAGGGATGACACCTGGGGCGGGCCGCACCCGCCACACCCCCCCTTCCTCCATCAGTGGGGTTGTGTGGAACATGGTTGCAATGAAAATATGATCTAGTTGAGATTCTTGCAGTAAAGGGGTTGGACTACATGACTCTTGGGGGTCCCTTTGAACTCTACGGTTCTATGACTCAATGAAACACTTGGAAACAAACAAAAATACACCCATGTTACTTCACACACCCAATAAAATTCAATTGTTTTACGGTCGATCACTAATCAAAGTTACCAGTGCAGGCAAAACTGCACGGTGTCTATTTGCATATGTTTTGGGAATGTGTGAGAAAATTAAAATCTATTGATGCTCTCCATGTTATTGTAGTTTGAACAAGCCACGGGGTATGAATTCACAGATGGCGCTTTGAGGATTCCGTTAAAGGATTCGGAATGATCTTGATGTGTAGATAATGAGGTAGAAATGGTCATTAATCTGCTCACAGCTGCTAAAATACATTTATAGGGTGGGGAGAGACTCACTCTCTTTCTCTTTCTCTGGTTTTATTTATTTATTTACTTTTCGAATTTGGGATGCAGCCACAGCAGTAAAACGTGCTTATCACATAGATGCCGCAGAAAATGAAATGTATAACGCTAACAACTTTGTAAAGATAATGGATGGTATTCACAATGTTCTGGAACGCTACACTTCCTGATTTTTGTGCAACCACATTTGTTGTTTGCTTTGCTCGAAAGATTAATTTGTATGGAGGCATTTTTCCCTCTCCTTTTTTTCCTTTGGAATGCTGTTCGTTCAAATAACACTAACTTGATCTTCAATTACAACCCTATATCCACTCTGCTGGTAGGAAGCCCCACATAATTCGATGGGACTTGCTTCTGAGACAGAGTTATGCTGCTATATGTTAAAATAATTCTGGTTTTCTTTTTCTTCTGCCACTGTTCTTGTGTTTGTGAGCTGTCGGTGGGCTTGTTACCCGCTAGTGTGTGTCTACGACTATGGATAAATACGCCCGGGATATTTTAATGTTCTGATATAAATATTACTAATGCTACGGATGTTTTTTAATGAATCAGTTTAATGACTATTAAGAGGGAAAGAGATTGATAGTTATCCCAGGAGTGTCTGCTCAGCTTAATGCATCATTGCACTTAGTTTAAAATTAACTTTGCAAATTCTTGTTGCCCCGTAATGCTGGATAATGTTGCCTATGATCTCATAGAAATATTGAAAAAAAGAAAGAAACATGACATATTCACTCTCCTGTTTAGCTAGATATAGCTAACCTCTCAGATTGCCCTTTTCACCCTGTGTTCTTCACCTAGCTTCACCTCTTAGCTCTGTGTTTTCTAACAAGTTTTTGCCAACAAGATCAGATATTTCATCTGCTTTGTTCCTATTTCCAGAAGTGCAAAGGAAGATTTTTAAGAGGAAGCCATTTGGTTATAAGTACACACTGCTAATATTTCTTGCTAGCGTGACAAGACAAACACAGAATGAAAATAGTTTTGGAACTTCAGCACTTAAGGCCGTCAGCATGACCTAAAAACATGTCTTGCTGTGAAACTTCGTAGAAATTCATTGTTTAAGAAATTCTGGGATCGGTAGGTGAAACATCTATGTATATTTTTCTCCCATGCCCTGCACTGTTTGCAAATGTGATAAGAAGCCTGCAAAAATAAGGTACAGTGGAATTTTGGGGAGAGTACATACAGTATCAAGTTCCTCGAAAAAAAATCCTTTTACACACACACACACACACACACACACACACACACACAAATTCACAGCTGAATATTCAGTGCAGAAGAGGGGAAAGTGTGCAGACTGCCTCTACTGCTTACAATTTCCCCCTTCCCTTCGAGAGAAATTGGAATACACCTTTTTGAATTAAAAAATTGGTGGAGTTACTGTACAGGGAGAGAGGGATCTGACTTTTGGGCCATTAATGCTTGGGCAGAATTGCTCATTTCCTAAAATCTGCTGGCAGATTGCTGTCGATTCAGGGCAAGGGGAGCTGGTGAAGGTCCACCACTCGGTTTCTCAGCAAACGTTCCAGCGATGCTCCTTCAGCAGAGCTCATCACAGCCAAGATCCATAATGGCAGCGGTGTCTGCAGGGGAGCAGCAGACTCAGCCAGTTGCTCACACCGAGCACGGCTGAGTTACATTGGGAACATCTGGCGAGCCGTATGCCTCCGGCTGGGATCCCATCAAGTCTGATACAGCAAAAGCAGGGTCAGCCCCGGTCAGGCCCAGAATGGGTGAACAAGTTAATCAGCATTCTTCCCGGCAGCGGCTCTGAGCCACCACCAGGTGGGGCGATTCCAGCTAAACCACTATCACAAACACCACCACAGCTGGCAAAAGGACAGCTGTCCGTCATACTACGGGCGGGTAGGGAGAAGTAGGCACAGCCAAAAATGAGCTAGGTTTAGTTCCCCATAAGTTAGGAGAAAGCAATGGGAAAGCAATACAAGAACGGTATTGCATTTCTATGGTTTGCCCCAAAGTAGGAGAACTTCCCAGCTCTTAACTTGCAATTCCATGCATTCCTGCTCTGCAAAGGTAGGTGGTTTATCCAACCCATAGGAGGGGTAAATTACTCTTCCATATTCCTGATCAGGTCCTATGGGTTGGCCCTACACAAGGGAATTTATTTTATTAAGCTTTTATTTATTTCATAAGATGTAGCCAAGGTTGCATGTGGCCCAAGTCTAGACCTTCCAGGTTCAGGATTAGAATTGTGTGGCCTGAGTAGCTCAGCTTTCATTTTCTGTTTGTTTGTTTGTTTAAAAAAAAGATTTCTAGTCCTCAACGCTATAAAGATAGGTTTGAAAGAATGAGGGCGATCACTACCAAAATCTCAGGAGCTGAGAAGAAGAGAGCCACTGGGCTAGGATTTTAAGCAGTCATGGAGTGAGGGGCTCAGTGCTCTACACACCTGTTTGCATCTTCCCTTTAAGAGCAGAATGATTGGCATCTAAGCAAAGAGGTGCACTTTTGCAGAAGTTGTGCATTTTGCAAAATTCAAGTGGGTTAGGTCGGACGCTACGGCAAAGTACATTATGAAGAGAGACTTTGTCTGTGTGGGCAACCCTGTGTAGAGGAACTGTGCCACTATTTATTGCAGTGCCCGTTATATATAGACCCAAGAGACCGATTCATAAAACCTCTGTTTCCGAATGGAACTCCTGTTTCTGAATGGAATAGTGTGGAAAGGGTGAAATGGCTGCTGAGCGATACCGATGACTTTGTAACTTATAAAGTAGCACTCTATGCGTTGGCAGCTAAGAAGATCAGGAGGAAAGAACTACAGTAGATAAAATAGCGGTCAACTGCAAAGGGAATTCGGATATTTAATTTGTCACCATTTTACTAAAGAATCTTCTGCTATTCTATTTTATGCAACAAACAATCTTAGCAGTTGTGACCGTGGTTCATATTGTATGTGTGGTGCCTAATGATTTTTATGATTATTGTTGTTTTTCCTTTTGTTATTTTTCTGAACGATGCGATGGCCTACGGCTAGCGCAATAAAAGTCGATGATGATGAAGAAGTGGGTTAGGCAGATAATTGGCATTACCTCGGTGAAAAATCTTGACCTTTCCCTCTTTCTTCTTGCAGTATAAGCAGCCCTAAGCACATCTGTGCCCCCATCTTTGAAGGTCAGGTGGATGGCAGGAGGGGACAAGACTCCACCCACCTCTCAGAAATGCAGGGGCGAATCCTGCTTTCGAACATGCCACGTGGTTTTGTTTTCCTGAGACTTTCCCAAGAGATGGCAGGATTGATTGTCATTTTTTTTACTGCTTCTGGCTGTAGCTGTTTCATTTCTGTTGTTTTCAGGTTAATTGGCACTTTATGTTTCGTGCTGATTCTTATTGTCATTGTGCATTTAACGCAGCAGCGTGGCTGGATCTCTACAAAGCACGAAGGGACAGGTTCTTGCCCTGATGAGCTTGAAGCCTACCATATGTTCCGGCGTACAAGATGACTTTTTATCCCTGGAAAATCACCCCAAAAGTCGGGGGTCGTCTTATACGCCGGGCATACGCGTTGGGAAGGAGGAGGGGGAGACGGTGAGCAGAGACGCCCCTTCTGCCGTTGCTCCTCCTCCCTCCCCACAGAAGGGGACGTGGAAAGTCCTTCCAAGCGTGGCGCTCACCTGCCCACCTGCCAAACGCCTCACCTCGTGCTGCTGCTGCAACGGCAGAGGCAGCGGAGGGATGCGCGCTCTGCCCCTGGTGGCGCTCAAACTCTATAACTCTAAAACTCTAAAATTGAACAGCAAAAGTTGGGGGTCGTCTTATACGCCCTGTCGCCTAATATGCCAGAATCTACGGTACATTCCAACACAAGAGGGGCAACAGAGCTGGACTCGTTGAGAGCGCAAGACTCCCTGCAAAGAATCTTGGGAACTGCAGTTCCTCCCGCACAGACTTCCACTTCCAGTACCCTTCATGAACAACATTTCCCAAGATTCTTTAGGAGGTGAAGTCCTGTGGTTTAAGTGTGTGGTGCGTACCCAGCCCCAGATTAACATTTGGCAAAGTGGTTTACAGAAGCTGGCTTGCAAAATGATTCTGTCTGGATCATTGTACTGCCCCGCTCTAAATCTCCAATCTTTTCACCTTCCAACGAAACGGGGACAAAAACCCAAAAAACTGAGACTGAGCATCCCTTCACTGTGAGAAGCAGAATATAAAAAAACCACCAATATACCCTCCAGCTGAATTTCTATGGCAGGGTCACCCTTCGTCAATGCTAAAACAATTGCTGAACCAGATCCAATGTTTCACTACAGCAGGGGACAAGGACTCCCTTTTCTGAAGCAGGGGTCAATTGAGGGAGGAACAAGATGCAAGCTGCAGCCCCAACACAGATTTGCAGCTGGGAAAAAGCTGCCCTCAGATCCAATTACCCCCTTCTCTTCCCCAAACCCCCCAAAAAATGTTCAATTTCTGAAATGAAAAGAGGAAACTGGGCACAGGAAGATGTATACACTCTAGGTGGGAGATAGAGGTAACTTGATAGATCTCCCCCCCTCCCCCGTTTCTTACAGGAGGGTTAATTGGTGCGTTCCTAATGCATAGCTAGCGTGATTTACAGGTACGTTGTAATTTCGCTGTTTTGTCTTGCTTTGATTGATTTATTGCACTGTGATTGTATATTTACTTTGCATTGTATTTTATAGTTGCTGCTTGGGGAGCCTTTGAGCCAAAAAGCGATAATTAAAATAAACCCACGACCATAACGTTTTTGGCAGCATCACATCTATAGCTCTGCCCCTGCTCTCCTGTATTTTATATCAGACAGGTCTGGGTTTTATGGGGCGGAGAGAGGGGCTCTCTGCAAGTACTGACCGGACAAGAGGGTGCCTGCAAGCATGTGCAGAGGTGAAACAGGAAAGGTGGCCGAGAGGGTTGGGGCACGACGATTGCAAGCACTCTTGGATGAAACAAATGATCTTAACCCATTTCGATCTGGGTTTAGACCTGTTTATAGGAATGAACCAGCTTTGGTCTCCCTGATGGATGACGACTTTTATTGGGAGAAGGACACAGGGAAAAATGTGAACCTATTGTTTTTATTTGATCTCTCAATGGCTTTTGATCCCATTGGCCAGTTAGAAAGCACGGGTCCGAGCGGTTTGTAGTTTGCCCCGGAAAACCTGCTCTTTAGCACTGAACGTGAGCAAATGTCCATCTGCACAAAACCTGATTCACAGTTGCTCCAATTCAGCGGTAAAAAACAGGGGTTGGGGGTGAGAACAGGCAAGACAAGCAGAAGTCTGAATGAGCTATATGTGGAATGGGTACTGGAAGCAGAGTTCTACCATATTCCTTGGACTGATTTCTGTTCCGGACATGGAATGGGTGAGAGAATATTGGCAATTTCCACCCCATTATCCTTTTCAGCAGAACTCTCTGACATCCCTACAAACCACCCAGGCTGAAAATATAGAATTGTAGAATTCTAGAGTTGGAAGGGAGACCCCCAAGGTTCATCTAGCCTAACCCCACGCAATGCAGGAATCTCAGCTGATGTGACACTAGTTTATGCTATCGTTCCACTGTCCTGTCCAGCTCTGCGTTTCCTAAACTAGCAGGAAGGAGCTCTTCCAGGGCGAGAGATCTGCGTCACAACACACGTTTAACTGCTGTCGAGCTACGGCTCCTCTCCAGTGAACAAACCAGGGTGGGATTTGAACATGCGCAATCACACACAGACACACAAGAGGCTCCTTTGCCTGCATAGCATGGTCTCAGCACTAACCATCGTAGTCAGGATGTACTTGTAGAACGCGGTCGTCATCCCAAGCTCTGAAGCCTAGAAAAGGAGAAGGAGGAGAATCAGTTTCCTGGAAGGATCCTCGGGTCTCTGAGCTCCCCCACCAATGGTGGACCCTCAATATTCACCAGCTCTGGTTTCGCTGCAGTGCTGGATGAGGCCCTTCCTGTTGTTTCCAGCAACTGGTATTCAGAAGCATGGGTGCCTCTGACCGTGGAGGCAGATCTCAGCTATCATGGCTAGTAGCTTCTCAGAGCCTTATCCCCCATGGATTTTTCTAACCCCCCCTTCTTTTATTAATGTAATTATTAGAAAATGTGAACGGGTTTACACAAACCATAAAATAGACACAGATTTTTCAATAGGACTCAAAAACAAGTTGCCCTAAAAAAAACAACTCAAGTATACGTAAAATCAGTTCAAAATATACATTTGTTTTTAAGAGAAAAATTGCCTCTTAAAATGCATGTGCATCTTATTTTTAAAAAATCTGTTTTTGTTTTTTTTTAATTGTATACTGCTTCTTCTTTTTCGGTCAAACCCTCTAAGCAATTCTTATGGGTCCTAATAAAATCACAAACATTTGTCATGCTATTTAAGCGAAATCTCATTTCGTCATGCTATATAGCGGAATCTCATTTTGTAGCAAAATCTCGTTTAAAGCAAAATCTCGTTTCAACCCCCTTTTAAAGACACCCAGGTGGGCGGACGTGCCTGACTCCTCTGAGAGAACATTCTGTAGTTTAACTACGCTCTGCTAGAAGAAGCTCTTCCTTTTATCTTGCAACTAAAAGAACTACCCCCTTTCTCCAATGCTGAACTACAACTCCCATCAACCCCAGCAAGCATGGCTGATGGCCAGGGATGGTGGGAGTTGTAGTCCAGTAACCTCTGAAGAGCCAAACATTCCCTGTGCTTGCTCTAACCAGTGCTGCATCTTTTCCCTACAAGAAACGGGCTCTGTTGTGTTTAAACCTTCCTGTCATTAAACACCCCACTCCATGTCAATGTAACTGGAGTTTATATGATCCCAGCAATAGTTGTGTTTCCACTTCTGCCATTTTAATTTGGCTGCGGCTGCCTTGCATTCTTATTTCAAAATCTGGTGTTGCTTAAATCCTAACTAAGATGGCTGAACATCCCGCCACCCCATCTCCTGGTTCACCTTACAAACGACAGGCCTTTATTTTATTTTTTGCAAGCGTTTTCACAAACCCTCACGGGCTTTTGCAAACCGCTTTAAAGGAATATTTTAGAAACTCAATCGTTTCCACCGCCACCGTCCACACTTCGAGGCAAAAAGCCACCCTGCCACAGGGGCTTCTCTTTACCTCAAGGGTCTCCTGCACGCGGCAGGCTTTTGCCCACAGCAACCGTTTTCCCACGAGCAGCTCTTCAAAGCTGGGTGGGAAAAGGGGGGGCGCTGATCGGGACGGGGGCGTTTCGAGGATTCTTTTCAAGTATCTGCAAAAGCCCTCGAGCAACTCAGAGGCAACGCTTGCAAAAACCCGACAGAGGCTGAGGCGATCCGTGGGATGCTGAGTGGAGGCCTGCCGCTGCCTTCCGGTTTTGTGGCAGCCTCCTGAACCCCAGAGCCCACACCCATGCCTGCCGCTGCCTTTCCTCACCTTCTTGAGGATGAGATAAGAGATGGAAGCATTGGCGTCGATGATGATGGTGGAGATTTTGTCGTCCCGGATCTCCTTGAGCAGTGGCGTCGGGTCGTTGGTGTCATCGAGCATCCGGATCGACAGCGTCTCCTTGGAGATGAGGAACTGACGCACGAGCTCCTCCAATCGCAGCAGGCCTGGTGGACGCGAAAGGAACAAGGGGTTGCGCCAACATTTCGCCCAAGCCAGAGCCCAGCCCAACCCGCCTGGCTTCAGAGCTTAGGACTTGGCCCGGGAACCATCCGATCAGGACATAAAAGCATTTGAAGACCTCTGCTTTTATATATATATTCTTGTGCCCAGAACTGTAGTATAGGAAGCCCTGCTTTGCATACTAATTTCGAAGGAGGCTAAGGCTTCAGGTAATCCAAGCAGGGTCTTCTCTGTGGTGGTGCCAAAACTATGCAGTGGGATCCCTGACCAAGTCTGCCAGCATTCAGCTTTGAAGGAAGTGAAGGAGCTCCGTTTTCTTCACCTCTAGTCACTGGGGCCAAACTAGGCATGGCACTAAACAAGTACACAGTGGTACCTCAGGTTACAAACGCTTTGGGTTACAAACGCTTTGGGTTACAAACTCCACTAACCCGGAAGTAGTACCCTGGGTTGAGAACTTTGCCCCAGGATGAGAACGGAAATCGCGCGCCGGTGGCGAAGTGGCAGCGGGAGGCCCCATTAGCAAAAGTGCGCCTCAGGTTAAGAACCATTTTGGGTTAAGAACGGACCTCCGGAACGAATTAAGTTTGTAACCCGAGGTACCACTGTATTTTAATTTAAAAACACTTATTTTAAAAAAGATCCCTAATAAAGCCATAGGTATGATGTTTGAGAACGGCTTCCATCCCCATGGCTCACATCTCTGTGAAATCTGATTGGCCACCCGCTCGCCCCGCCCCCACGAGCCCCTCCCACTTCGCCCTCTCTGTTCCCCGCCAAAGAGCTCGGCCACATTTTCTCACACTCAGCCTTGGCGCAGATGAGGCTAGCCGAGGGGTAGTTGAAGGACTTGAGAATACGGGATACGGCCAGGCTGACGTCCTCATTGCTGGGGTAGAGGCTGACGGAGGCGAAGCGCAAGTACTGCAGCTTGGGGGTCTCCTCAGGACCCACCTTCACGTGGGGGATCTAGGGCAGAGAAAGAAACCGTTTGTTTACAGGGCTGACACAAGCCTCACCATGTCCTCCTCTGCAGCCGAGAAGTCAGCACAGAGGCTGTCCTCGTCTAGATCAGCTTCTGCAGAACAGAAAACTCCTGTGACAAGTGTTACATGCAGCAAATTAATTACAGTTCCATAGACTGCTTAAAGCAATCAAAGCCTTTTGGGAAGTCTATTATATACTGGGTGGGCTACCGAACCAGATTTCCTCCCCTTTCTGTCACCGACTGCAGAAAGAGGTTGAGAAAAATTTAAAAAGCAACCAGAGCTTCAAGTAGGAGTTAGGACAGAGATGAAGAGAAGGATGGGGTCTGTAATAAGAACCCCGAAAGTTTTAAGCAGGCTTTCCTAGGCAACCATTAATTCAGAACGGTTGAATTAATTTGAATTAATTCGTTTGTTGTAACCTGCCTTGGGATCCGTCGGTGAAGGGCAGGTAATGATTTTAACAGTAATAATAATGTCATTACAGTATATGTGATTGGTAGCTGAGCTGTGGACCAGGAACATTTCTTTGGCATAAGTTTACTAGGCGGCTGTAGGTAAGCCACTGCCTTTCAGCCTCCGAAGCTGCGATATAATATTGACCAACCTTACAGGGTTGCTTTATGGCTCATGAAGGTGATGAAGATGATGGAGGTGACATTACCTCTTTCTCCCCGCAGATGTGGCTAACAATGGAAGCAGAAGCCGGACTGGAGGCTGGGCCCAGGACAGAAACTACGCCTTTGGGCAGGATCTGACACACTGTAGTGCAGGGGCAAAGAGAACAGGAGAAAGAGGTTATACAGATTTATTATTATTGTACTCTTCAGCTTGTTCTCACACTTGTGCCCAGACCACCTGAGCAAAGCCACATGGCCTTGCACACTTAACCTCATGGAAATTGCATTTTCGCTTCCTCCTGGTCACATGCACACAAACATCCCCACCCGCTGGCTCTCACAGATGGCCATGAGGGTGATTAAGTTGCCTTGGCTGTAATTCTGTCTACCTACCCTGCTGCCCCAGACCTCTGACCGTCCCCCACTCTGCTCTGTATTCACAACCTACATACAGCGCTGTTTCTGTTGGGCTGCAGTTCATCTTCTACCAAAAGCTATCCTCCCCTATTGTGAAATGTGGCACCATCTGGGATTTTCTAGTCTGGAGGAAAAGGTGAAATGGAGCAAGTTTATAAAATGATCTGGGGTGTAGAGGATGTGACTTGGAAAAAGCTATTCTCCCTTTCTCTTAACGCCAGAACTCGTGGATCTCCAGTGAAGCTGAATGGGCCAGACTGAAGAGAGTATTTCTTCGCACAGCACATAGTTAAACTATAGAACTTTCTCCCAGAGGAGGAAGTGACGGCCACTGACTTAGATGGCTTTAAAAGACAAGTTCATGGAGCAGAAAGCTATTGATGGCTACTAAACACGATGGCTATGCTCTTCCAGGTGGAGGGCCTTCTCGGTAGTGGCACCCTCCCTGTGGAATGCCCTCCCATCAGATGCCAAGAAAAGAAACAACTATTTGACTTTTAAAAGACATCTGAAGGCAGCCTTCCAGCAGAGGCCGGAAGGCCAGAGGTAAACAGAGCAAATGTTCCGAATGCCGGAACAGTTTTATCGGGTTTTTAATATTCTGTTGGGAGCCACCCAGAGTGGCTGGGGAAACCAGCCAGATGGGCGGGGTATAAATAATAAATCATTATATTATTATTATTATTATTACTACTACTACTACTACTCCACAACTGGAGGCAGTAATGCTTCTGAAAACTGGAAACCACAGAAGGGGAGAGTTATGAAGGAGGGAGAAACACTTTTCTCTATGCACTTACCCCATGCCACACATAAGTGGACAAACTTCTATCATGTCCCCACTTACTAGCCTTTTCTCTAAACTAAAAAGTCCCAAACGCTGCAAACTTTCCTCATGGGAGAGTCTCTCCATCCTGTTGATCATCTTGGTTGCCATTTTTGGAACCCTCTCCCAACTCTACAATATTCTTTGTGAGGTAAGCCCCTCCCATGCCCCTCATGAGCTTTGTAGATCCTTTCACACTCCAGTGTCGCACACGGACACACACACACAACCTACTGGTGTCGGTGGTCTCGTACTGGCTGTCCCGCTGCAGTTCGAAGATCTCCACCTCGACTCGGGCTTTGGCAGGCACCTCGATGATGCTGTTGATGTGCTCGCGTGCTAAGGCTAAGGCCAGTCGCTCCCCCCGGCCACACACTGTCTGGTCGTCCAAAATGGCGGCTGGTCATGGGGGACAGCAAGGCGGGGGGGGGAGAAAAGCAAGAAGTCAGTCACCGCGGCCCGGCCTGCTCACGGCGGAAAATCTCTCCTCTGCAAACATCATTCATGAGCACCCAAGGGATCCCTAAACAGGGATGGCTTCTGCCCATTGGGACCGGGAGAGTAAAAAGTATGGCACGCTTTCACACCCATCAGGCCTGATGGGATTGGAGGAGCTTAGGGTGTCAGTTTCTCATCTCCAAGGAGACACTATCGACCTGGGTGCCGGATGGCACCAAGGATTCAATACCACTGCTCAGGGAGATTCAAGGGATGGTAAGATTTCAGCCATCATCCTTGTTGCCAGTGCTTCCATCTCTCATCTCATCCTCAAGAAAGTGAGAAACGATGGTGGTTGATGCCCATTGGGTCTGGTAGGGTTGAAAACAGGGAGGCCGAGGGGAGGTGGACCCAACCACCCAACCAGTCAATAATTCTACTTGTAGGCCGCCTTTCCAGAGTCAAAGCCATGCTCAAGGCCGCTTGCAACATATAAAAAAATCGCATAATTACAAGCATACCAAAAGTAGTCATAAACAATAAATAAACAAGTACACAACGAAACTGAACAATTTCCACATAAATCATAAGATCTAAAATAAGGGTACAAAACATAATAATAATGTCAATAACAAAAACAAAAACCCCTAAACAACGTTCCAGCCAGAGCTAATGACAGGCAGTCATCTGATTCTGGGTTTGTCCCCATTTTTCCTCCCTGCTCAATTCTACAAGGGCAAATCTGAAACTACAGTGGAAGAACAGGCAACTGGGCATGTTTTAAGTGAGATGGCAGGCAATGGCTTGCTAAGTGCAGAAGGAGATTGGTGGGGCAGTTTTCCAGTAGCCCCAAAGGACCAGCCCCTGCAACGTCAAAGGCATGCCTGGCTCAAACCTGATTTTTATAGCTGCCCTCCTTTAATGCCCTTGTATTGACTCTGAATCTCACCATGCAATATTTGGTCCTCCATTTGTATTTATTAGCGATAAAAATTTGGTGTGGTGCAAGCGAATTATTCTTCTGAAAGTGTGGCACAGAGGAAAAGTTTGAGAACCACTGGGCTAGAGCGATGGGCTTTGACCAGGAACGGAATTCTTGCGGACTTCTGGATGTTGCTGAACCCCAACTCCCATCAACCCTAGTCATGGGCCATACCGGCAGGGGCTGATGGGCCTTGGAGTCCAACAATATCTCTGGCGTAATGGTTGCCTAAAGCCCGCCAACTAAAACCGCAAAGTCTTTTTAAACTACACCAGCCTTCCTAAGGAGCACAGAGCGCCAGGAAACTACTCCTTAGCCCAAAGCATTCCTTTCCCCCAGAATCAACGTCACTAGCTCCACAGAGAGCAATGACAGCAGATGACACGTTTTGCCAGGACTCCAGTAATGAAGGGGGAGAGCTCTGTCAATGACCATTAACCGTGACAGCTAAGTGGAAGCTCTGGGAGGGCAGGCAGTGTACTTACAACTACAAAGGAAGAAGGAAGGGCAAGCACCTTCACACCTTCCTTGAGAGCATCCTGATGCACCTGTAGCTACTACGGTGCCTCCATTATGGCACTTAGGGTAGCCATATGCAAAAGGGCACAGGGCTCCTGTACCTTTAGTTGTGTCATACCTGCTACCCCTGCTGAAATCTCCCATGTTTGCACCACTATTAAAGGTGCAAAAGCCCTGCCCTATTTTTGCATCTAGCCACTGTACAGTACTGCATGGACATGATACGTGTTTCCTGCAACACAGGGGTAGGGAAATCTCAGGGGCCAAACAGGACTCTCTATCCAGCCCTTGAAAATAGGTTCAGGCCACATACTGGCCCGATTTCACACCCTGAATTTTTATTTTTGCCTGGCTGGAATGCGTTGTTAAATTCTAATAATGTCTCTCGCTTATCTGGGTGGATAGAAAGACGCATGCCGGCGTGTGTAGAAGCTCACTTACTGTACGGTTACAATTTAATGCCTTGCTCTGCCTATTCTAATTCTTGGCCCCACCTGACACTGACATAGAATCATATCATAAAATTTTAGAAGTTGGAAGGAATCTTTTGCCCGATGTGAGGCTCAAACCTATGGCCCTGAGACTAAGAGTCTCACACTCTACCCACTGAGCATGTGGCCCTCTGAGGGTTTGCCAGAACGCACACTGCCAGTGATACCTTTTCAGTGGCAGATTTGGAGGCGCCATTAAATTGGTTTGGTTGGAAGCTGCCATGGGGGCCTCGCATGTCCTGCCCATTCTTCATTTGTCCATTTGTTTCACTTGTCATAGATGCTTTTAGCTGAGATTCTTTGCATTGCAGGGGGGTTGAGCTAGATGACCCCCAAGGTCCCTTCTGGCTCTGCAAACCTGCAATTCTGTTCCCTCTGTGGAGCTCAAGGCAGCGTGCATAAGGTCCTCAGCTCTCCCAGTGACGCGCTGACCAGACCCAGACCAGCTTAGCTTTCAGAGCATGCCGCCTGCACTCTGTGCCAACCTCCCCGTGGCATCTCAGCCCTGCCTCCACCATAGTAGGGTTGCCAGCTGACCAGAAAATAACAGCCACCTGGCTATCATGCAGCAGCAGCAGCAACAACAACAAAAAGCAAGCAGCGTGTGGCTTTTTGATGGTGCAGACTTAAGCACTGTCGCCTCCTAACATCTGCACATGATGCGCTTCAGGAGTGCCTGAAGCCAGTAGAAATGGCTGCTGCTACACAGAAACCAGTCCCACCAGATGTGCTCGCGTTGGAGAAGGCAGCTGATGCCAGGGAACCAGGGGCTGTGACTGACAAGCAGTGGGAAAGCAGAGGCTCATGGGCTGCTACTCACTGGAACATCGGAAGCTGCCCGGTGCCAATCCAGACCTGTTGGGTCCATCTAGCTCAGGACTGTCTACACTGGGCCGGCAGTGGCTTGGCATCGTTCCAGGCAGGAATCTCTTCCAGCCATACCAGGAGATGTCCGGGATTGAACCCAGGGCCTTCTGCTTGAAAGACAGGACTGAGCCATGGCCCTTCGCCTCCCTTCAGGCAGCGGCAGCTGGTGCCTGCTGGAATTGGCAGGGTGGAAGGCAGAGAGGACCACAGCCGCCGGAGCCACAGCCAACGTCTGGCACAGCCAACAGATTTTGGGTTTGTCCCCCACCTTCCTCCCTGATTAGCTCTGCACGGGCAGCAAAGAGTGAGGAGGAGGAAGATGGCAGGCAGGACCGCCCCCATTCCCAGAGCCCACTGCTCCTTTCTCAAATCACAGAGGCAGCCCCCTCCCCACTTTTCTGGCAGAGGATGAAAAACCCAACGATTTCCTCCAGCTTCGGAAGACTTGAACGTACAGCATGCAGCAGCCGCACAGTCAGCAATCCCTAGCTGAGGTTTGTCTGTTATGGATGGATCCTGCCCTCTCTAATCCTGCCCTAAGGGGCCTTTACCCTTTCACCTCTCACCAGAGCAGAACTGCTGGGGAACAGTGATAGGGTGGGCCTTGCTGCCAATTTGTTGGGCATAGATAGATCACTGTTGTTTTATGTTTGGGGGGTGTTGAATGGTGGTGCAGTGTGGGGCCTCAAGGGAGAGGGTCTGGAGTTTATCTCAATCCCTCAGTGAGAGTGAGAGTTGGGGGTGCAGCAGCCTGAATGAGGGTAGGGCTTTTGCCCATGGGACACACATTTATATGCTGGTCATGGGTTGTATCCCGCAGAATGCTAAGCATCCGACAAACACAAGGATTTCTGCTTCTGCAATAGGCTCCCCCTCCACACACACCGCCTTCCCTCACATCCATTGATGAATCGCTTCCCTTTAAAGATCTCGAACCAATTTTGCAACAGAATCATCAGCAACTTCACACAACTTTATACACAAAAACTATTGTGATGAAGAATCAAACAATGCTTTCATATGTAAAAACAATTTTGAATCCAATACATGAGCAAATCAGGACAGCGATCCCTACTGAAAAGGATTGTTGAAAATGGAAGAACTTCAATAAATGCCCAATAGAAAATAGAGGTGGCACCCATCTGACGTGTAGTAGGAGGGTAGGAACTGAACCAATGGATGTTACAAGGAAGGAGTTTCCAACTAAATATACGTAAGAACTTTCTGGTGGTAAGAGCTGTTTAGCAGTGGTACAGACTCCCTCGGAAGGTGGTCGACTCTCCTTCCTTGGAGATTTTAAAGCAGAGGTCAGTTGGCCATCTGTTATGCATGGTCTGCTTGGGATTCCTGCATTGCAAGGGGTTGGACTGGACGACCCTTGAGGTCCCTTCCACCTCTACAATTCTATGATTCTGTGATTTAATGGATTGTGTAGAGCGAAAGACGATTGAGCTGGGGGTGGCAGCAGTGGCAGCGGTTCTGAATGTAATGGTCTTTAGCGTGCTTGTTACAGTTTTGTTGTGTAATTGTTTTTATTGATTATCTGCTAATTATATTTTCTGAGTTGTGCTGTAACTATATAATGTTCTGTCGGTGCTGCTTCTGTTTATTGCTTGTAAGCCACTTTGGGGTTCATTTGAATGGAAAGCGGAGCAGAAAGGCAATCAAATCGGATCAATAGCGGCTTTCACGTGACCCCACGAAATGTCTTTCCATTCCCCACATTTTCCCTGTTCTGATTTATTCCCCCTGCAGCCACCTGGACTCAAGGATGGAGAATGGAGCTGTCAAACGGCTGTCGGATATTTAAAATGCACTCAAACCAACAAGTGATGTTTTGCTAGAAAGGCACATGATAGGAGCTGGAGCTCACAGAGTTTTCCTGTAAGTTTGCTAGAGAGACCTCTGTGAGAGACATTCCCACTGTGCCCTGAAAGGGGGCGTGAGTAGCCATATAACTTCTCCTACCTGCCTGGGCTCATCCTCTTTTCTCTATTGCTCTTACTCTTCCACCTTCATCACCAAGTAGAAATGTGAGAACAACGGCTGAGTCTGAGCTCCAGTGCTCAGACTCCATCTTAAACTAGACTAAAGTTACCGTATTTTTCCGTGTATAAGACTAGGTTATTTTGTAATAAAAAATATATGCAAAAAATTGCGGGTCGTCTTATACACAGATAGTGGAGAGGTAGGACAGGCAATTGGTGGTTGCTGCGAGCAGGAGATTGTTAGTGGTGTTTTTGTTGGTGATTGGCGGTGATGCAAGGTCCGCTGGCTATTGGCTGCTGTGGCAGTTGGGCGGGCAATTGGCTGTGTTGGTGCTGTGTATTTTGGCAATCCCTCCCCCAAAAAATCTCAACAAGTCTGGGCAATCTCCCTCTATTTTCTCAATTTGGAGTCCCCAAAAAGAGGGGGTGTCTTATACACTGGGGCGTGTTATACACAGAAAAATATGGTATGTCTTTGTAGCTGGATTACCATTTTAAGCCTGCCTGAACAAAGCTACTGTATCTGGTACTCTTCAAAAAAGAATTAAGAGCGAGTAAATATTATTTTTACCTTTTACAAGACTGATTATTGTTTTAAGGGGGAAAGACCAGGAAAACCCAGTCTTCCTTAAAGCATCTTGAGTTACTTAAACCAAAAGGCTAAAACTGGTTTATCTAAGCATCCCCTTTAAGCTGCAAAAGGATGGCACTCACAAATATATACCTAACAAATATATCCTTTCCAAGCGTCTATCCACATCTCAGCACCAACCCGACCCGGTCAGATTGCCCTCTGGCATTGTTGCCTCACCCCTAGGATCCAGCCACCCACAGCATCAGCCCTGTAGATCAGCCCCCCATCCCACCCCGTGGGCGTCCCCCACTTACCCATGCGCAGAGACGACAGCACCTCTAGGCTCTTGTGGGCGAAGCCGAGAATCAGCAGCAGCAGCAGCACGGGCAAAGCCGGCATCTTCTACCCCTCCTCATGGAGAAAGTTCGGCCGTGGCCTCCGCGCTGCCACCTGCAGGAGGGGTAGGAGAAACACACCCCGTGAGGCACACCGAGTTTGGCACAGCGACCCCCTTCTGGGCACAGCCATAATGATCCCTTGCAGTATAGCTTGGGCAGAGGGGGCTAGAAAGGTAGCCCATCTGGGAGAAAGAAAACTCTGGTCCTTGCGAAATATCGTCAGGAGAAGAAAAGTCTAAGAAGAAGAAGAAGAAGAAGAGTTTGGATTTGATATCCCGCCTTTCACTCCCTTTAAGGAGTCTCAAAGCGGCTAACATTCTCCTTTCCCTTTCTCCCCCACAACAAACACTCTGTGAGGTGAGTGGGGCTGAGAGACTTCAAGGAAGTGTGACTGGCCCAAGGTCACCCAGCAGCTGCATGTGGAGGAGCGGAGACGCGAACCCGGTTCCCCAGATTACAAGACTACCGCTCTCAACCACTACACCACACTGGCTCTCAGTGTAAGTAAGTAAACTCTATACAAATCTGTAGTGGAGTCCCTAAGGCAGTTGGATGGCTCTTTGTACGCCTCCCTGCAGCAACTCCTGCAGCCAAGCTGGTACCAAACGTCTTGCTCTGCTTTCCTCTGGACCATACCAGCAAGGCCAAGAGGGGGTCTTTTTGTCTGGGCAGCCCCGGAACTCCATACACACTGCTCAGGCTTGCACCTCGGGGTGGTGACTTCGGTGCTGCTAATATAGCAGCCTGACTTCACCCCCAGAGGCGGACTCCACTGTCTCCCGAGACACACGGATGCCAAAAACAGCAGCATAACACCTGCTGTTGAAGAGGCCTTTGAGGGTCCAAACAGAGGCACCACATCCTCCCAGTTAAAAGCACATCAGCCCAGTTAAAATGAGGACTCTAAAATACCGTGGTGCTGAGCCTCTTGCCCTGTTCCTCCGCCGACCCCCTGTCCTCTTCCGCCCACTGCCTGCTGGAGCCAGCAAATCTCCTTTTGCTCCAGAACGTGGAAGGAGAAGGGTGGACCAAAGGTACAGTGGCGGATCGGGGCAGCTGCACGTCTGTGCCTTGGTGCGTTTAAAAAAGGTGAAGGCAGAAGACCTGCAGACGGTGCCAGCATGCAGCAACCTGGGGCCTGGGGATGTTGTTGAAGGTCTGAGCAGCTGAAGCAACGCCATCCCTAATCCACTCTCCCAGCTGCTCTTGCAGAGCTCAGGAGACCAGCAAGGAGGGCAACTAAAAAGAGGTTCCAGAAGCGAGGGAACCAGGAAGTTGGCATATACCACATCAGGCCATTGGTCTATCCAGCTTGGAACTGTCTACACCAGCCTTCTCCAACTTGGCGCCCTCTGGAAGTTTCGGACTACACCTCCAGAGGATACCAGACAGGAGAAGGCTGGTCTACAACCACTGACAGAAGTTCTCGCCGTTTCCATTGGAAGATTCCCAAAACTACTTGGAGATGAAAATAAAGCTGTCCCCTCCAACATCTTTCCGATGAAGATAGGGACGTCCTATTCCATAGCCTCCAATATTTATCTGATGAAAATAGGGATGTCCTATTCCATACCCTCCAACATTTCTCCAGTGAAAATAGGGATGTCTTAAGGAAAAGCCGACAAAGGTCTGTATAGTTAAAGCTATGGTTTTTCCATTAGTGATGTATGGAAGTGAGACCAGGATCATAAAGAAGGCTGATTGCCGAAGAATTGATGCTTTTGAATTATGGTGCTGGAGGAGACTCTTGAGAGTCCCATGGACTGCAAGAAGATCAAACCGATCCATTCTGAAGGAAATCAGCCCTGAGTGCTCTCTGGAAGGACAGATCCTGAAGCTGAGGCTCCAAGACTTTGGCCACCTCCTGAGAAGAGAAGACTCTCTGGAAAAGACCCTGATGTTGGGAAAGACTGAGGGCACAAGGAGGACGACAGAGGACGAGATGGCTGGACAGGGTTCTCAAAGCTACCATCATGAGTTTGACCAAACTGCGGGAGGCAGTGGAAGACAGGAGTGTCTGGCGTGCTCTGGCCCATGGGGTCACGAAGAGTCGGACACGACTAAACGACTAAACAAGAAAGGAAAAGCGGGACATTCCGGGATCAAATAAAAAACTGAGGCGGCTTCTGTAAACCCAGCAATGTCCTTGGAAAAGAGGGAGACTTGGAGAGTATTTTGGCCCCTCGGGGAGCCCGCCGACTGCCAAACCTCCTCTCTGCAGCCCACCGCCCCCTTGTGGCCACCAAGTCCAGCACTCCCCAAGCTCTGGGCATCCATCCAAGGCCTGCTGCTGCAGAGGGACCAGCACATCCTCCTCCCCCTTTGCACTTGACGCTGGTCCTGCTATGAGCTGAGTCAGCAACACTCCCCACCCGACGTCCTCGCACTGCGTTCACCTTGAGCATTAATATTTATTTTCGCTCAGCCTCGGCCGGGCAAACGGCACAGCCGAGGTTCACCGAAGGGGAGACGCGTCAGACTCTGCTGGCCCCTCCCCTTTCTCCCAGGGTGGGGCAGGGAGAGTGCTGTAAGTGGGGGGCTGAGGCGAGGAGGGCAGGGAGAAGGGTCAGTAGCTGGCAAAGGGGTGCTGCACTTCGCAAGCTCATTTTGACGGGGGGGGGGGGAGGAAGATTCCTGAAGATAAGAGCCAGGAGGAGAGGAAAAAATACACCTCCAGCTGAAACAGCAGATTATTTCTAAAACGAGAGGCATGCATGATCAGTGCTCAGAGGCACTGTTACTCTCAGTACCAGTTGCTGGAGGGCAAACAACAGAATGAGGGCTCTGGCCTTCAGGCCTCCTTCTAGGCTTCCCGGAGGCAACTGGCCGATTGCTGCTGGAAGCAAAGCTCTTGTTGCATTCACATGGAAGCGCCCAAGCCCGTGTTGCTGGTTAGCAGAAGAGGGAACATCCCTCACCGCAACGGGACTCAGGTGCCATTTCCCCAGTCGCTGCATACCCTCCAACATTTCTCCGATGAAAATAGGGACGTCCTATTCCATCTTAATTTTTATTATTTATACGCCGCCCATCTAACCGGGTTGCCCCAGCCACTCTGGGCGGCTTCCAACATATATTAAATCATATAATCAAGCATTAAACATTAAATAAAACACTTCCCTATACAGTGGTACCTCAGGTTACATACGCTTCAGGTTACAGACTCCGCTAACCCAGAAATAGTGCTTCAGGGTTAAGAACTTTGCTTCAGGATGAGAACAGAAATCGTGCTCTGGCGGCACGGCAGCAGCAGGAGGCCCCATTAGCTAAAGTGGTGCTTCAAGTTAAGAACAGTTTCAGGTTAAGTACGGACCTCCGGAACAAATTAAGTACTTAACCTGAGGTACCACTGTATAGGGCTGCCTTCAGATATCTTCTAAAGGTTGTATGCAGTGGTACCTCTGGTTGCGAACGGGATCCGTTCCGGAGGCCTGTTCGCAACATGAAAAGAGCGCAACCCGCAGCGGCGCATCTGCGCACGCGCGGGTTGCGATTCACCACTTCTGCGCATGCACGTGATGTCATTTTGCGCTTCTGCACATGCTTGAGCAGTGAAACCCAGAAGTAACCCTTTCCGGTACTTCCGGGTTGCTGCAGGACGTAACCTGAAAGAACGTAACATGAAGTAGACGTAACATGAGGTATGACTGTAGTTACTTATCTCCTTGGCTCGGGGTGTGTGTGTGTGTCGTATAACACCATACCCTTTCTCTGATGAAAATAGAAACGTCCTAAGGGAAAACAGGTCAAATCAGAAGCCAGGACGGCTTCTGTAAATCCGGGGCTGTCCCTGGAAAAGAGGAACACTTGGAGGGTCTGCCACAGTGGTGCCAGGGCAGAAAAAGCAGGAATTCTCCCTTCTCTGCCCCCCTCCAAATTGCAGCAGTCTCTGCAGCAAAACTAGCCACTAGCAAAGGTGGATTTGGGTGTCTCTGCATCATATCCTAAGGTTAAACTTTGTAAAGATGCCATTCAGGGGTATGGAACCTCCAACACACAGGTCACTCTCAGTGTGCCAGGGTGTCCGATTTGGCCCACAATGCCACTTGCCCCAAAGTACAGGCACCTGTCAATCAGCTGGCATTACTGGGTTCAGTCCTGCAGAGTGCTGCTGCTTTGCTAGCACATTCCTTGAAGAAAAAGGACAAGATGGTTTGCATGCTTCCTCATCCCTTCACTCAGGGCTGGAGTTTGGGTTTTGTTTTGTTTTTTTGCTTGTTTAACGGCAAACAGAAATGGAAGAGGGAAGCAAGGAAATGACAGCCCTTCCGGGAACCTGTTGCTCAAAGCTAGAGTGTCATCTTGCCCCTGGCAAACTCCAACTCAAATGAAGGCCTGAGCATTACGCTAGGCCTTTTACACTGCAAGGGAAGATACTATCTTTTCCTTACTCCAAATTAATTAGGGATTAATTTTAGCAAAGGGCTCTGAGCTGAGCCCCAGGACCAACTTTCAGCTGCAGGGTCTTTCTGCATTCAATTTTGTTTTGGTTTTTTTAATGCCCTACATACTTATTGGTATTCCGGAGCCGGCTAGAGAGAAGAGTGCCTGCTTCTAAGGCAAGCCCACATAGCCAGAGGGGTGAGGAGGATTAGCAGGGATGTGGGAAGCTGGAAGAGCACCTTAGAGATCATCCAGTTCAGCCCACTGCTGATGCAGGAAATTAACAATTATAGCACCCTCAAGAGGTGCCCTGTACAGCCTCCATTGCGGAACCTTCAATGATGGATAGCCTGCTACCTTCTGAGGCAGACTTTTTCACTGCTGAACTTTCTCAGGAAGTTCTTCCTCATTTTTAGTTTTAAAAATCTACATTCTTATCATCTGAACACACTGGTTTTAGGTTGTATCCTCCGAAACAACAGAAAACAAAATTGCTCCATTATCTCTGTGACAGCCCTTCAAATAGTTGAAGATGGGGATCATCTCGGAAGAGCCGGAGTGTAAATTTATGTAAGGGACGCGGGTGGCGCTGTGGGTTAAACCACAGAGCCTAGGACTTGCCAATCAGAAGGTTGGCAGTTCGAATCCCCGCGATGGAGTGAGCTCCCGTTGCTCGGTCCCAGCTCCTGCCAACCTAGCAGTTCAAAAGCACGTCAAAGTGCAAGTAGATAAATAGGTACTGCTCCGGCGGGAACGTAAACGACATTTCCGTGCGCTGCTCTGGTTCGCCAGAAGCGGCTTAGTCATGCTGGCCACATGACCCGGAAGCTGTACGCCGGCTCCCTCCGCCAGTAAAGCGAGATGAGCGCCGCAACCCCAGAGTCATCCGCGACTGGACCTAATGGTCAGGAGTCCCTTTACCTTTAATATGTTTAAAGTTGTTTAATTTTATTATTTCTCAGTGAGCTATTGGGTGGTTTGGTTTTTTAAAAAAGGCTGCATATACACTTTCTACTCCCTCTTAAAAACCAAAAGGTCTAGGTTAGAGCAAAGGGGAAGTGAACATGGTGTCCTCCAGTTGCTGCTGCACTACAACTCCCATCACCCTTGACTAGGGCAATTCTGGCTGAGGCTGATGGGAGTTGTAGTCCAACAACATCTTGGCTTTTTTTTTTTTTAATGAGATTGATTTATTCTTCTTTTTAAAATGACAGACAGGCATTCAGGGGAGACCTGTGGAGGAAGCAGAACCCCAGCAGCCAAGGGTGCAAAGGCGCAAGAAGGGTACAGCAGCAAGCGGGCAGATGGGTTGCCTTAACACGATCAGGAACCGGTAGCAGGGACACCCCTAGACAGCACAGCACCCTGCTAGGAAGCGTTGTGGGGGTACTCGCAGCCACCGCCGAGTTTGGCTAAGAGGGCTCTCTCGTGCACCACGTGGCAACCGTTGCCAGGAAACAGGAAGCTGCTAAAAGGATGTTGCGGTTGCTAGGCAGAGCCATCTGCAGCTTGGCTGCCCTCTCTCACCTCCTTGCCCCTCCAAGCAAAGGAGGGAAGTCCGTACCCATCCAAATGTGGCCTGGAGGCATGGCAGCGCTTCTCCTACAAGGCATGCCCTGTGCTTTCTTCCAAATCTGGTGCATCGCATATTGACGCTTTCTAAGGGATGAAAGTCAGCGACGGGCCGGGAGGTGGGGAAAGGGGCAATTTGTTGTGCAATAAATTCTCCTCATTTGTCACGCACGGTCCTTACATTGGTGCAGCTAGGGAGGAGGGGTAATTTTGCTAATGCGGGGGACGGGACTCTGTGGTCCTGAGAGGGTTGGACGAATTCAGGGAGCTATTGATGGCTACAAGCCATGATGGCTGTGCTCTGGTGCCAGTTGCTGGAAACCACAGAGTGCTCTTGAACCCGGGTCCTGCTTGAGGTTTCCCACAAGCCTCCACTGTAATAATAGGAAGCCGGACTAAGATGAGCCGTTGGCCTGATCCTTCTGCCCTAAACATGCCCATTTTCCATCACCAGGCCCTCTTCTGTGGACAATGCAAAGGGACTTCCTTCAAATTAAGAAAGAAAACAGGCAGAGATTCGTAAAACACTAACAGATTTGCTACAGAAAACGTCTTTCACGTGGGATGTAACTGACTGATGTGGCTACGCAGCCCTCCTTCTGGAATAATAAACAGACGTCTCTCTCCCTGAGTAGCAACAGCCAGCCATTTCCCACACACTAAGAATTAAGGGCCAACGGCAGATGCGGGGGACCTTTGACCCGCCAGAGGCTGCTGAACTACAACTCCTATCAGCCCCAGCAAGCACGCCCAATGGTCAGGAACGATGGGAGTTATGGCTCACCAATCTCTAGAGATAGCTTTTCTCAACCTGGGGTCCCCAGATGTTGTTGGACTACAACTCCCATCATCCCTAGCTAGCAGGATCAGTGGTCAGGCAAGGTGTGTATAAACCAGCCTATTATTATTATTATTATTATTATTATTATTATTATTAACATTTGTATACCAACCTATACCTGTAGATCTCAGGGTGCTTCACAACACAAAGTTACAGTATACAAAGCAAAAACTACATAATAAAAATAAACAAAGCACAAAATACTTAATAAAATAAATCAAAACATAAAGGCAGCAAAATGTGGCTTTTCACTCAATGAGCTAACTCCTTCTCCCAAGCCCATTGCAAGTCATCCCCCAGAGAACTCCATATGTCTTTTTGCTGCTGATTCTTGCACTGCTGACATCAATTGTCCGTTCTGTGAAAGGATCTCGTCTCGCACGTGAACCTTCCCACATTTCCCTACTAGGCTGTTTTTCTCTAAGTCAGTGACCCAGATGCTTCCAACATCGAGCACAGGACCTTTATGCCCTTTCCCCTTATACTCCACTCTCCACTTTTCAACATAGTCTTCCAGAGCAGGGAGGTTCCCAAAACTTAGGCCGAGCGCCTCTGTCTTTCCTGGATCTTTGCAGATCAGCCTACTGTACAGAGGTAACGTCCGTATTCATTGCCCTGCCTGCCGCTGGCATGTGGCCCCTGCTAGGCTGGCCAGAAGGGAATGTTGCCCTCTGGCTGCAAAAGGTTCCCTATAGTAGTTGTGGAAAGGGGACTTTCCAACAGGTGTAGTTTGTCACGCAAGCTACACCTGCTGAATTAGGTCTTCTACACATTATAGGTGCTGTCTGTTTTGCATCAGGATTACCTTCGGGCTCTGTTTTTTTTAATAATAATAATAATAATAATATCATTTATACCCCCGTCCATCTGGCTGGGTTTCCCCAGCCACGCTGGGCGGCTCCCAACACAATATTAAAAACACGATAAAACATCAAACATTAAAAACTTCCCAATACGGGGCTGCCTTCAGATGTCTTCTAAAAGTCAGATAGTTGTTTATTTCCTTGACATCTGACGGGAGGGCGTTACACAGGGCAGGTGCCACCACTGAGAAGGCCCTCTGCCTGGTTCCCTGTAACCTTACTTCTTGCAGAGAGGGAACTGCCAGAAGGCCCTCAGAGCTGGATCTCAGTGTCCAGGCTGAACAGTGGGGGTGGAGACACTCCTTCAGGTAGACTGGGCTGAGGCTGTTTAGGGCTTTGAAGGTCACTACAGACACTTTGAATTGTGCTCAGAAACGTACTGGGAGACAATGTAGGTCCTTCAGGACTGGTGTTATATGGTCTTGGCGGCCACTCCCAGTCACTCCCAGTTAGGGCCAAGGTATTTCCCTGCCCTGCTTAATCCACATTTCATGAACACCATCCCCATTTTTTATTTTATTTAAACTTTTAAAGCTTATTGCTTCCAAAAGTATTCCTGCACCACAGCTAAACCTCCACCCCAGAAGGGAGTCTCTCACTCCCAATTCAACTTTTAAAAGGGACAGGAATGCCAGCCTGTCCTCTATATATTGCCTCTGGCCAACCCTTCTTCGCAGACCCGAATTCTTGGATTCTGCACTCAGGTACTGCTTAAGAGAATATTTAATGCCAAGTTCCTCCTCATTGACTTGCATGAGTGTCGTTCATATTCACAGCACATTTGGAAAAGCAATATTTGCATCAAAGTTCAAACGGCAACAGACACACTCTTTTCTCCACCCCACGATACACACAGGCGCTCGGCAGTCGGGAAAATGGAGAGTCTTCACTCAGTGTGTAAAAGCGGTGGCTCCCAATAAGATTTATTATGGGGCAAATAGGAAACACCCTGTTTCTGAATTCTGACACCCCTGGACCTTCCTCTGCCAGCCAGATCATAAAGACAGAACCTGCGCTTGTCTCCCAGGTCAGAATCTCAGGTCCAATCCCTACTCGAAAAACCTAAACATGACCCATACCCCCAATAGCTTTCACAATGTGGTGAAGGAACTCTGGGGTTCCTCAGTAAGAAATTCAGTAACAGCAGGATAAATTCCCCGGAAGTCAGCTTGCTGACCATGGTGCAAAACTGCAGACACAGGGGAGTGTTGCCCTTACATTAGAGGACACTTTCAGTGCCTGTGGGGCAACCCAACAGAGGCACCCATTGCCTCATGGGAACTGAGAACGCTCCCAGAATTCTCTGCAACATCGAACATCAAATTCTCTGCAACATCAACCATGACAGACACACAGGGGCTCCTGGAAGCCACCCAGAGTGGCTGGGACTACCCAGTCAGATGGGCGGGGTACAAATAAATTATTATTATTATTATTATTTTATTACTAGGTAGGTAGGTAAAACTTGTGGGACGCGGGTGGCGCTGTGGGTTAAACCACAGAGCCTAGGACTTGCTGATCAGAAGGTCGACGGTTCGAATCCCCGCGATGGGGTGAGCTCCCGTTGCTCGGTCCCTGCTCCTGCCAACCTAGCAGTTTGAAAGCACGTCAAGTGCAAGTAGATAAATAGGTACCGCTCCGGCGGGAAGGTAAATGGCGTTTCCGTGCACTGCTCTGGTTCGCCAGAAGCGGCTTAGTCATGCTGGCCACATGACCCGGAAGCTGTATGCCGGCTCCCTTGGCCAATAAAGCGAGATGAGCGCCGCAACTCCAGAGTTGGTCATGATTGAACCTAATGGTCAGGGGTCCCTTTACCTTTACCTAGGTAAAACTTATCTAGGAAGAGTTTCTTGAGGGTAAGAGTTTTGACAATGAATGATGCCACCCAGTGGCATGCAGTGAAATTTTTCATTGGGGAACCGTTAGGGCCAGATGGTGGGGGACCGCCATCATGAGCATGGCTTTGTGACGTCCCAATGTCACATGCGTGAGCATCACACGTCCCTCTCTAAGCTAGACAGAAGCTTCCTGGGCTTTGGGAAGGAGGTGCCAGGGCTCTGACAGGATGCTGGAGCCCTCTTGCCTCCTTCCCAAAGCTGGACGGACTTTGGGAAAGTGGTGGGAGGCTTCATGGCCCCATCAGAGCATCACGCTTCCCTCCCTAAGCCAGGCAGACGCTTCCCAGGCTTTGAGAAGGAGGCACAAGGGGAACAATTAGGGGACTAGCCTAGTCTCCCTAGTCCATTGTCCGCACACCGCTGATGCCAACACTATGCGTTGCCTCCAACTAAGTCCTACTCAGAGAAAGCCCATTGAAACGAATGTTTCCAAGTGACATCCTGCCAACCAGGTCTGATATTCCCACATAAATTCAGTGGGCAACGCTTTCTTCACTAACGTCACTGAAAGAAAATGGAGGCGCAATCCACCAGCTCCTCTCCCCAGCACTTAATCTTTAGCTAATCACACGATAAATGAGGTCTTCTCTGAAATCAGGACAAATATTTACACGGAGTACATGCAACAAGCAACAAGTAGTCGGAGCGAAACCTGAGAGAGTGTTTTGAGCCAAAAGTCCTGTCAGACAGCAAAGAAGAAGGCCCGCTATGGCGGCCAAGGAGCTGAAACTGACAAAGAAGGACAAAGTGGTCACAGACTTCTTCCTGTCAGAAATGTCAGCTCAGCTTGACAGACTCTGAACTAATCTAACCACTGGTTGGAAAGATGTTTTTAAAGCCTCTGGAAGATGGAGTTACTATAGTCAAAGGCAGCCTTACCAAGGTGGTTCAGACAGCCATTGAAGCTGTGAATCTAGCTGTCAAACAGGTGGGAAAACTGAAATTGCTAGCGCATAATACTCTCAGCCCGCAATTACACTTAGAGGAGGTGGGAAATGACCGCTACCGCTTGAACCTAAAAGTGAGCAAATTAGCCAAGGGTTCTGGGCGTGAAACTGTAATACCCTTTATGGCAAAATGGCTGACTAAAGTGCCATGTTCAGAGGGAATCACAGAATTCAACACTGATGTGTTGTATAGAATTGGTCCAAAAGGATCGTTGGCCTAGAGACCTAGGGATCTGCTTCAGGAGTCTTGCAACTACAAGAAATATCCATTTGCAAGTGAGTATACAGCCTAGTTTCCGTGCGCTGCTCTGGTTCGCCAGAAGCGGTTTAGTCATGCTGGCCACATGACCCGGAAGCTGTACACCGGCTCCCTCGGCCAATAAAGCAAGATGAGTGCCGCAACCCCAGAGTTGGTCATGGCTGGACCTAATGGTCAGGGGTCCCTTTACCTTTACCTATACAGCCTAGAAAAAGTTATACGGCAAGGCAAACCGCTGTTATTTCTTTACAACTAGTCCCGATACGTTAAGGCACATTGGTGAATTTCACCCCTACACAGAAAAAATGCAAAAGGCAGGCATGAGATATTGGCGGGGTGAGCACCACTACAGGTAGTGTCATGCAATGGGCAATCCACTCATAAGGAGATGAGGAACTTGTTCTATTTACTTAACTCGGAGGCCTCATCCCCTCTCCTTCAACAGTGCAGATCCCATGATGAAGAATCAGACACGGAAGAAGTCTTCGGGAGCAGGGGGGGAAATTAGGCATCAGAAGGCACATGTTAAACTGCAGAGCCTAGGACTTGCCGATCAGAAGGTCGGCGGTTTGAATCCCCGCGACGGGGTGAGCTCCCATTGCTCAGTCCCTGCTCCTGCCAACCTAGCAGTTCAAAAGCACGTCAAAGTGCAAGTAGATAAATAGGTACCACTCCGGTGGGAAGGAAAACAGCGTTTCTCTGTGCTGCTCTGGTTCGCCAGAAGCGGCTTAGTCATGCTGGCAACATGACCCGGAAGCTGTACGCCGGCTCCCTCGGCCTATAGAGCAAGATGAGCTCCGCAACCCTAGAGTCGGCCACGACTGGACCTAATGGTCAGGGGTCCCTTTACCTTTACCTTTAAGAGATTTCTCCTCCAATATATTTCACCTGGTACATTCAAAGCATAAGGGGTAGCAATACTATTTGCTAATTTAACTTTTCTCCTTTAGCATAGCTCAAAGATACGGAGGAATGTTATATTTTTGTGGCGGGCTATCAAGGCAGTAAAAACATAGCATTGTCCCAGCTCCCCTTCTTGGATAAAACTTTTAAAGTGTTGAAAACATTCCAGGGGAGGTGATTTGAATCCAGCAAGGCATTTACAGCACAATAAAAAGGGAAGGCTGATCCAAACAAATGGGAATGCTCAGCAAACAGTAGAAGGTACTTAGAAAGACTTCATCCTAATGTGTGAAATTGCACCTGGTTGTTTTTTTTACCCCTAAAGCTAAAATGTACCGTATTTTTCGCCCTATAGGACGCACTTTTTCCCCTCCAAAAATGAAGGGGAAATGTGTGTGCGTCCTATGGGGCGAATGCAGGCTTTCGCTGAAGCCGGGAGAGCGAGAGGCGTCGGTGCGCACCGACACCTCTCGCTCTCCAGGCTCCAGGAAGCTATCTGCAAGCCTTGCGCACCCGGGGGGGAGTTCCCCCGGGCACGCAAGCCTTGTGGGCGGCAGCCTGCAGCGCGGAGCACGGGGCGCCCTCCAGAGGACGTCCCGTGCTTCGCGCAGGTGTCGGCAAGCCTTGCGCACCCGGGGGATCTGCCCCGGGAGTGCAAGGCTTGTGGGCAGCAGCCTGCAGCGCGGAGCATGGGGCGCCCTCCGGAGGACGCCCCGTGCTTCGCGCAGGTGTCTGCAGCCTGCCGCCCGGCGCATACGGCGCCCTGAAGCAGAGCGCCCCTCACGCCGGGCAGACATCGGCCAGCCCCACAAGCTCGGTGGACAACGGGGAGGCGCAGCGCAGCCATCCCACTGTTCCCTGACCTGGTTTTGGGGGGGGAAATAAAGGGGAAAATTTTTTCCTTTATTCCCCCCCCCAAAAAAAGTAGGTGCGTCCTATGGGACGGAGCGTCCTATGGAACGAAAAATACGGTATACACATGAACAGCTTACATCCTATCATCCCCTGAATGAGTTGAAAAATTAGGCAAAAACTGTCTGCCTGGAAGTGTCAGATTGCGTCCTTGTATGGGTTACTGTCAAACGCCAATCCTGCCCTGCTTGCCTGCTGTTCTGGAGCTGCCTTTCACTACTCCTGCAAAATCAGCTGGAGGTGGGAAGACTGGGTTCATCAATCACAGGGTATTTTGTAGTGAACTCCTGCTGCAACCTTTCATCGGCGACCACTTGGGATGCCATGAAATTGGCCATCAGAGGAGTCTGTATCAGTGGAATGTCAGCCATCAAAATAAGCCACAGAAGCAGAACAAGAATGTCTGGTGAAGGAAATTGGAGAACTGGAACTTAAACATGAAAAAGTACACTTCTTTAAAAACAGGCAGAATTAAGGCTGCAAAAACTCCCACACAACTAATGTATGTTAATCAGAAATATGAATTTGGTAGAATACAGTGGTGCCTTGCAAGACGAAATTAATCTGTTCCGCGAGTCTCTTCGTCTTGCGGTTTTTTCGTCTTGCGAAGCACGGCTATTAGCGGCTTAGCGGCTATTAACGGCTTAGCGGCTTTAAGAAAAAGGAAACAAACTCACAAGAACTCGCAAGACGTTTCGTCTTGCGAAGCAAGCCCATAGGGAAATTTGTCTTGTGGAACGACTAAAAACACGCAAAACCCTTTCGTCTAGCGAGTTTTTCGTCTTGCGGGGCATTCGTCTTGCGGGGCACCACTGTATCTGCAGCTAGCAAAGACGACAGGAAGGATAAGAGGCCAAACGACACAAAAAGTCTATAAGGATTGGAAATTTTTTAAAGAATACTTTAAAAACTACGGTATAAAAGGAAACCTCTTGGCAGAATTAGACTGAACCTTGCACGGTACAAATATAGTTTGTAGGGAAGTTAACAGAAACTAGATATGAAATATGTAACTGTGCGGTACAAGATAATCAACAGATAAAGTACAGTGAGACTAATTGGAAGTCATTTTTAATTTCTTGTTTTGTAAGTTCTATAATTGTTCACATCATTGGGAGTATAAATGATGTCAGTTATAATAATTGTGTTGTTTCATATATTGTTATTGTTTGTTTGTTAATTTATTGTTTGTCTATTTGACTGTATGTTTGTTTGTTGGTTGGTTGGTTTCTTTGCTTTCATTGCATAAATGTATCTATTTTAAAACAATAAAGATATACAATTGAAAAAAGGGGGGGGAGAAATACGAATTTCGCGAAAAATTTCTAAATTACTTGCAAATCAAACTGAAAAGAAACCAAGATCTTCTCATACCAACCGCTCAATATTCTCAGTAGAGAGGTTACATTAAGTAATATGTCTGAATGTTGAATGTGTATGTCTAGAGACAAGGGATAAAACAAACACAATTAGCTGTACTGCTGGATAACTGCTGGCTAGTTATTGTATATTAGTATTTGTTTAAAAACCAATAAAAATTGTGTGTTTTTTAAATAAAACAAACAAAATAGTAGAAAAATTGGTTCTGTACAGAACCAGAACAGGAAGCTTTGCTTTGCCCATAGTGAAATGAGCAACATTTTTGCGGACTTCTATACAACTCTATGTTCACCCAAAGAGCAAATGGTGGAGCTGTAAAGATATTTTACTACAAACAACTGGTATTCCACCATTGGCTAAAAAGGATAAAGTATATCTAAACCAAAATATCTCAAGCAAAGAAGTGATTGAAGCCAACAAGAAATTAAAGACTCATAAATCCTCAGGTACTGATGGCTTTAGAGCTAACTTTTATAAAAGAAATTGGGGGGGGTGACCAGCCCCCCCTCATCTTGTCAACTTATTTACTGACCTCATGTAACAAGGTTCTATACCTCCTTCATGGTTCTATTCTAAGATTGTGTTACCCCCCAAACCAAGGAAGAATGCCAAATTACAGAATCATATCAGTCCATCCAGTAGAAGCCAATGAGGTGGCCAATTCAACACTCCCATCGTCACACCCTCACTGGGACAATCTCCTTGAGCCTCGCTCCTTGCCCTCTTTGTAAGCTCCAGTTGTCCACACCTTGTTGTTTAGTCGTGTCCAACTCTTTGTGACCCCATGGACCAGAGAATGCCAGGCACTCCTGTCTTCCACTGCCTCCTGCAGTTTGGTCAAACTCATGCTGGTAGCTTCGAGAACACTGTCCAACCATCTCGTCCTCTGTCGTCCCCTTCTCCAATCTTTCCCAACATCAGGGTCTTTTCCAGGGAGTCTTCTCTTCTCAGGAGGTAGCCAAAGTATTGGAGCCTCAGCTTCACGATCTGTCCTTCCAGTGAGCACTCAGGGCTGATTTCCTTAAGAATGGAGAGGTTTGATCTTCTTGCAGTCCATGGGACTCTCAAGAGTCTCCTCCAGCACCATAATTCAAAAGCGTTGTCCACACTAGAATTAGTTGATTCAATTACAAAACATATTCTACCGGACCAAGTAGACTACATGCGAGGGTGGCAAATACCTCACAGTATTCGCAGGCTCCTTAAATGCACTTTAGCAAGCAATCACAAAACTCCCGGCTATTCTTTCTTTAGACTGCTGCAAAGGCTTTGACAAGGCCAGCTGCGATTTCCTGAAGACACTAAAGACCAAAATAAACATGGGTGATGCCTTCATAAGGGCTGCAATGCTCATTCTGTGGCTAGGATCAGAGTAAATTCTGTTGTTCTTAATCAAGTTTCATCACTGGACCACTGAAGTGTGGGTGCTTGCTGACCTCAGAATCTTAGCATTCGCCGTGGAATCCCAAGAGCACTTGGGATCCACACCACTGTGAATTTAGGACTATTTGGGAATCAGCATGTTACTCTATCATGTCTCAGAGAGACCGGGAGCATGGGCTGCCTTTGCATTCTGGGTAAATTGCAAGGGATTGGCCGGTGGTGCATCCTTCTGGGACCCCAGGATCTACTTGATAATTGCACAGCACCAAAACCTTCCTTCCTTGCCTGGGGGAAATAGGCCAGAGTCTCCCAAGGGGGTGGCAGCAGTAGCTGGCTCCCTACAGTGGTGTTGGACAGCTGGACACAAGGAAGAGGTGCAAGAGGTTTTCCTGAGTTCCCCTTCTCTACGAAAATGTCTTAATATTTGGCAAAACATGCTTCTTTCCTTTATACATGGGAAGGGCGGAAATTAGGATTGGAAACAAGATCCAGTATGTGGAGGTCTGGAAATCCCTCACCTACAATTTATTTTGAAGAATTTCAACTTAAGCACTTTATAATCCACAACCGAAAGGATAAGCTGGGATGGTGCTGCTACTTCCCTCCCATTCCTCCTGAAAAAGACACGTCTCTAACCCTTAACTCAAGATCGGGGATGTCCTGGTTTAAGAAACCATCACCACCTCCATCTCCATTGCTACTGCTTGCTAATAAAAACAAAGGTAAAAGGTAAAGGACCCCTGGATGGTTAAGTCCAGTCAAAGGCGACTATGGGGTGCGGTGCTCACCTTGCTTCAGGCCCACAGACAGTTTTCTGGGTCACGTGGAGAGCATGACTAAGCCACTTCTGGTGCAAAGAGACAGCGTGACGAGTGCCAGAGAACATAGAAACACCATTTACCTTCATGCCACAGCAGTACCTATTTATCTACTCGCACTGGTGTGCTTTCGAACTGCTAGGTTGGCAGAAGCTGGGACAGAGCAATGGCAGCTCAGCCCATCATGCAGATTTGAACTGCCGACCTTCTGATCAGCAAGCCCAAGAGGCTCAGTGGTTATCATCCCCATTTAAAATATAAGGATTTTAATTGCCCACCTTGGGGCAATTAAATAAGTGAATGGGCACCAAGTGTGACTTTAGATTACTTGCACTGTGCTGCACAAGTGACCCAAAATTTTACTGCTTTTGAGACACACGCTAAATGCTGTCAATGACACCCTCCGCAAAAAAAAAATAGTTTCTAAAACATGCAAGTTTGCACTTGTATAACGTTTGGGTTTGTTAACAAGGCACCAAAATAATGTGGAACCGTGAATTAATTTTTGTCACCACTGGTGAGAAATGGGCTGCCACGGGAATGAAAAGGCCACAATGCTAGAATCACAAACAGCACAAGATCTGAATGTTGGAGACTGGGTAGAGAAATTGGCACCTACCTTCACATGAGGTAGCACTGCCCAATAGTACAGGTATCCTAGGTAATTGTATTTGATGAAATGATGTGGTAATTGGCCAGTCCTTCACTATGCCACCAGCACTGGAATTATTAAACTTATTGGAGAACATAAGCCATAATATTTTGTTTAAAGACCTAATATTACTTCTCTTAGCAGCTTGTTGATTGCAAATAGCACGTAAGTGGCAGGTCCTAGAAAGACTTTCAATGAATTATTGGTACAGCAGGGTTAGGGCATACAAAAAATGATGTATTTTCTATAACTTGGTATCCTTTAGCTAGTTATATCAGCACACATGGATTGGAAAGACTCACCAAACAATTTACTGTTTATACAGTGAATTATACCTGTACTGGATCCATACCATCCTTTGTAGTACCCCACATTTGTACCTGTGTTCATGACTGCCTTGATTGCATTATTCTGATTATTATTCTGATTATTATTATTATTATTTTCAAAGAAACCTTAACACCATGCTGGTTGGGAAAAGCTTATCTTATTAATATTTCTGTTTACAGTCGTACCTCGGGTTACATACGCTTCAGGTTACATACGCTTCAGGTTACAGACTCCACTAACCGAGAAATAGTACCTTGGGTTAAGAACTTTGCTTCGGGATGAGAACAGAAATTGCGCAACGGCTGCACGGCAGCAGCGGAAGGCCCCATTAGCTAAAGTGGTGCTTCAGGTTAAGAACAGTTTCAGGTTAAGAACAGACTTCCGGAATGAATTAAGTACTTAACCCGAGGTACCACTGTATTATTATCATTAAATTTATTATCCATCCATCACCAGCAGGTTCCAGGGCAGGTTACAACAATTTAAAATTCAGAATTAAAAACAGTTAAATCAGATGACAGTCATGGGAACAGGGTGAAAACACACACCTCAGGCGTCAAAAACCATGGGTCAAAAGGAGTGCATCTTCTGCATTACCCGAAAACTTTAAGAAGCCTAATGCACCTCTGAGTTCCACAACTTAGGGGCTGCCACAAAGAATGCCTTTTCATCCACCGCCTACAAACTTCTGAGGAAGGTAGAACGACCAAGAGGATGCCCTCTGCTGATTTTGGCACTGGGCACGGTCTGGAGAAAAGGAAGCAGTCCTTTTCAGGCTCCTGTTAAAAAGGTGCAGGAGCAGAGAGCCTGGTACAAACGATGGCGTCCCAACGAATCTGGAGTACAAGCATCCAAATTTGCAATCTGGGGACTGCTTCTCTCTTTAGAGCTGCCAACACAAATGGTGAGGCTTGAGCCCGAGGCGTCCTCAGCCGCCGCCGCCGCCACTGAGCAGCAACAAGGGGGAGAGTTGGAGAAGCACGTCCTTGCCTGAGGGAGATGGGAAGCAGCCGCCAAGGAAGGAGGCAGTGCTGTCAGTGCTGTCGTATGGACGCATAGCTGCCCACTGCTCAGCTTTGCCCTATGCTGCCCGGTGGTATCCGTGACCCCTGCGTTTGTCAGTGAAGGGCATAGCTCACCAACCGAACCAGCAGCTACCCATCTCCACAGCGCAGACAGAAACTGGCCTGTTCGTGTCCACCTTGTGCCTAGGAGAAATTAAGTTCAGTTCTGTTATGTACTGAGTTGAATAGGATCCAAAATGCAGCAGTCTGATTGATCCTAGAACAATAGCATTCAGAATGCAGCAGTCTGATTGGTCCTAGAACAATAGCATTCAGAATGCAGCAGTCTGATTGGTCCTAGAACATGCAGCAGTATGATTGGTCCGCAGGAGCCACCCAATCTGGCTCCAGGTGGAAGTGAATCCACAACCTGATTGGCCTACAGGAGAATCCCGGAATTAGCCAATCACGTGCAGCCCATTGTGTAAATAATGTATATAAAGCAGATATTGTGGGGGAACTTCCATTCCTCCTCACCACTATGAGCTGAATAAAGAGCATGAAATCCACTCTCGACTCCAAGTATATTTCAAGTTCACATTGAAAAGGCGAGGCTTCCTCGTTCACCCTTTCCAAAATGGCTTCGCCCCAAAGAATTCTGGGATCTGTGGTTTGCCGAGAGCTGCTAGGAGATCCCTGTTCTGCTCCTAGAGTCACAGTTTCTAGAGTTCCCTGTGAAGAGCGATTGACTGCTAAGCCACTCTGAGAACTGTAGCTCCTAGCAACTCTCAGCACCCTTAACAAACTACAGCTCCCAGAATTCTTTGGGGGAAGCCATGCCTGTTTAAAATGCTCTAATGTATAATATGAATGTAGCCTTAGTTAGACGGTGCCGCTACAGGCGGGCTGGTGGGCTGATAAACAGATAACCCCAGCGGAGCCAGTAAAAAGATTAATATGGGATGGCGGTGGAGGCAGAATCAGGTCTGCTGTTGTTGTATTAATCATATCACTGCCTTTGTGTTCCTTCACAACAGGGTTGGCCTAGTGGGAAAGGCTGGATTGTTTGTTTTCTTGACCTAGGCAGCTTTCATTGTGATGTAAATTGATACGCCAGCCTTAAAGGGCTTTAAATTACCGCATTTCATCCCTTTTTATAAAAAACAAAACAAACAAGCTACAGTTTAAAGTGCTGTTAGAAAATCTAGCAAGAAGGCTCCCCGGGAGACATCCAAGCCGAGGCTGTGAAGACGGACGAGGAGTATAGGTTTGCTGGGTTCATTGCAGGACACCAGGACAGCACTGAAGGAATAGCAGGTGGGCCTGCAAGGTTGCCAACTTTACTTCTGGCAGGGCTCCTGCGACTTTGGCAGCTGTGGGGCGAACAAAACATTCAACAAGCGAAGCTTCGACTGGCAGGGACAGGCCGCGGCGAGAAAAGCCTTCACGCTTAACTCTTTGCTGGTTATACAGGTGTTGAAATGCACAAGAGCTCTGCCAGAATGTCGTCCGCAGGAGGGAAATAATCCAGACTCAGGGCCAGACCCAAGACATTTTGTCACCTGACGCAAAGAGCAAGATGGCTTCCTTCCCCATTCTACGTACGGAAGTCAAATCTTATTCAGGACTGATGATGGGATAGCATCCTTTGCCACACCTGAGGCGGCCAGCTAGTTTTGTGCCTCAGGACATAGGTAGGCTCGGCCCTCCAGATGTTTTTGGGACTACAACTCCCATCATCCTTGACCACTGGTCCTGTTAGCTAGGGATGATGGGAATTGTAGTCCCAAAACAGCTGGAGGGCTGAGTTTGCCTATGCCTTCTGTAAGATATACCTTTATTACTGTTTCTTTACTCAGTTTATATCCCGCCTTTCTTCCTGAAAGAACCCAGGGCAGCCAAAACATCAATAACAATTTTAAAACCAAATAAAAATAAAAACCTGTTAAAAACATTCTAAAGACAGCTAAAAACAGTCAGTGTTCTCTAGTAGCCAGGAACAGGGTCTTTTGGCCACAGAATACCTAGGTAAAAAATGTTTTTGGGTTTCTACTGAAAGTCAATAGAGAGGAAACAGAACCACATCGCCAGGCAGGTCATTCCATGAATGGGGAAGCGCCACTGAAAAAGCCCTGTCACATATCCTCCAACAGTTCTCTGATAAAAATACGACATTCCTAACACAACCCTTCTGTCCAGCCTGTTGTCTTCTGGAAAAGGTGGGAGACAGAGGGGGATAAGCTGGGTTTATGCCCACTGAGCATCCACCCACCCCCCCAAAAAAACCCAAAAAAGATTACGCTGTTCCTCCCCCTGGCTCTCCCCCGAGGCAACCAGCACAACTTTCAGCATCTCGTTGATTAAAGTTTTACACAGCACTTTTAACGCGCAAATCGCTTTCCGCAATATTTAATTTGTCCTCCCACAACCCCGTGAATTTTCTATATTTGTTCCCACTTAAGCAGGTAACTGAGGTTGAAGAACTCCAGGCCTAAATATAGAGATTTAGTCATGTAGGGACTGAGCGTTCGATTGCTCAGGTTCAGGGTGTAAATTCAGAAAGCCCCAAGTGGTCCAATTTATACCAGGACAAGTGGCAGGTAAGGGATATTACAATACTCCATCCCCCCCCCTTTAAAAAATAAAAACAAAAGTCTCTACATATATGCAAAACGAGCATGTTAGGCAGAAAGGTTAGATTTAGCTTCTCCGTGACCTGCTAGGGAGGATTCTTCCCGCCCATGAGGGATTACCGTATTTTTCGCTCTATAAGACGCACCAGACCATAAGACGCACCTAGCTTTTGGAGGAGGAAAACAAGAAAAAAATATTCTGAATCTCAGAAGCCAGAACAGCAAGAGGGATTGCTGCGCAGCGAAAGAAGCAATCCCTCTTGCTGTTCTGGCTTCTGGGATAGCTGCACAGCCTGCATTCGCTCCATAAGACGCACACACATTTCCCCTTACTTTTTGGGAGGGAAAAGGTGAGTCTTATAGAGCAAAAAATACGGTATTTAAAAATGGACCCCAACCCCAGACATAACAGCACACTTGCAGCCCAAAATAGTACAGTTCAAAGGAAGCTTTACCTCTTGGTTATATTAAATGGCCCCCAGGAGGGCAGAACAGATATACACACACATACACAGAGAGATAAATATGTGGTACATAAAGATTTTGTTGCCCACAAGGAGGTTTTCGTAGGAGACAAGATAACAGACCTTCAGCTTACGAACGAGATAAAGGAGGGGAGATAGAGCAATAAATAAAGCGAGGAGCTGCTATTTAATGTGAGTAGGTGGGAATGAATTAGGGTTCTCTGACATTTTTTTCTATTTATAATACACGGCTTAAATTCTCCTTCTATTGTTCACCCACATTCCTCTCTGCCCTCGCCCCCAATCAACTCTTTCTATGTCTTTCTATCTATTTCTGCTTTGGATGCCCAGGTCTTCCCAAGGCAGGTCACGAAAAGAGGGGGAAACCATACAAGACGTCCCTGCATAATTAACGAACAGGAAAATAAAGCAACAACAAAGAGACGACCAAAAAAAACCAAACCCAAACCCACAGCTGACAGAGAACTTCTAAAGCTGCTTCAAAAGGTTAACAAACAAACAAACCGAAACCCTGGAAGAATTAGAAAGCTCTCTGCCTGGCAACAAAATAATTTCAGCATAAACAACAGGCTAGCAAAACTCCGGGAGCAGAGTGTTCCAAAGAAGGTGTAAAAATAGGATTTTACTCCACAGATTCTTTGAATAAAGGCCGTATATCAACAATTTATAATATTTTGGTCCAGAACCTTTCCACATTCAGCTTCATCTGGATGTCCATGATTTCTAGAGCTATAAGAGAAGAATTCCCTCCCTCTATTTTTCGACTCCTCTGTTTCACGAATAATTTTTATAAACTTTCTGTCATGTGTCTATTATTGCACCCAGGTCGTAAAACCCAAACTTAATGGAAATTTGGTTCCTCTGCAATTATTGGACCGGGTGCTCATGGAAAAATTAACCCACAAACCAAAAGAACAAAGAAATACTGTAAGTCCGACAAGTTTTATGCTGTTTGGCTCTGTTTCATTAGATATGCCTTGACAAAACATGCCAGCATCTCACAGCTATCTATGGAAAGTCACTTAAATGTGATGGGCATTTTGATTGGAGTTGCTTTCAATACAGACATGATATATTGCACTCATCTGTGGGGGTGGGAGTTGTTTATGTTGCTTATACTTGAAATTTAATATTAAAAAACCTTTATTTTTATTTTTTTAACCATCCTGAAGAGGCACCCCAACCCAAAAGACATTATCCACAATTTGAGAGAGCCTTCAGAGACTTAGGATGCACACACAATACCTTTAGAGTACATTCAAAGCAAATGATTTCCCTCACAGATTTTTGAACATTATGGTTTGCTAAAAGCTGCTGGGAATTCTAACTCTGTGAGGGGGGAAACTACATTGCCCAGAATTCTTTGAGGGAATGAACGTCCTTTGAATGTGCTTTAAATGAATAGTGCATACACGGCCTGGAATATGCCTCTCTCCTTTGGTAGAATACTGGTTTTTCAGAATATCAACTTTCATGGAAGTTTTTCCACATTGATCTGTCTGCTGAAGAAACTGCACTATTGAGGATTCTGGGACACATTCTGAGGCCCAAGGCATTCTGCTGCCTGAGACAAAATATAAAATAGTGCACCCCCACGTTCCCCCATACAACTCTTAAAAGTGCAGGAACCCCATCCTTTTCTTTTCTTTTTTCACATCTGACTACTTTAACAACCACACAGCGAAGTAGGTCAAACTGAAAGAAAGCCACTGGCCCTGCCCAGCTGCCCAGTGAGCTTCACAGCAAAGTACAAATTTGAACTCAGGTCCCAATCTGACAAGAAGCAGCTGTATGTGGAAGGTGACTGTTATGTACTGAAGTTCTCACCCTGGGCCAGCAGGGGGATACTGTAGATAGTTTTCATTCAGGTCCACATATGCAAATAAGGGATTGAAAGTGACATTCAGTGATTGGATAGTTACAGAAAATGGTTACTGTTGCGTTCTAGTGGAGCTGACAAAAAAAAGTTTTCTGGGATCTGTTGTTTTTTTTAAAAGAGTAATTGTTTTAAAAATGATTTTAAGTTATTCTAAGTGTATCCACGCCCACACCCACACAAACACACATTTATGTCCCACCTTTTCTCCAAAGAGATCACGGTGGCTTACACACTTCTCCCCCAGTCCATTTTTGTGCTCACAGCAACCCTGTGAGGTAGGTCAGGCTGGGAGACAGCGACTGGCCCAAAGTCACTCAGTGGGATTCAGGGCTGGGTGGAGATTTGAACCCTGGTTTCCCAGGTCCTAGTTCAATAGTCCTGCACTCAAACCTCTACTCCGCACTGATACACATATATTTCATACTCACACATACATATACACACGCACGTACATATTTAAATGGTTAATCTAACCAATTAATCCGCCTGCTTCTGCAGGTTGAACTGGCTTCACACAGAGCTTGCATGCAAGTAGGGCTGCCAAAAGTCCAGGTTTTCCCGGACACATCTGGGAATCAGGTTGCAAAACGGTACCCGGGAGGACTTCTGCTGAATTGGCAAAAATGTCCAGGAAAACCCAGACGTATGGCAAGTAGGGTGATTTTTCTTTATGGCAACCCTTCATGCAGAGGGAGATTAGTTAATGGGGGTCAGTAAAACTTGTCTGCCATTACTGATCTTGTCCCTGAGGAACCCCCAGTATGAACCCAGGGATTTCCCCGAACTCCATTTGAGAAAACCACTGGGGTGGAACGTCTTATTACCTCAGCTGTGCCCACAAAACAAGACAAGGCATAAATCTGGGAGTCTGCTCTTTATGGGTGCCCACAGAGCACATAATTCAGACACAAGCTAGAGGGCATCTTATTTGTGGCTATAGCTGTGCTGTTGCGACCAGCTTGGGGCTTCAGCAGTCGGTCATCGTGTTTGTGAGATAATCCTCATGTGTGCCCAGAACCGTTTTTCAGAGACATAGAGGCAGCATGATAGAAGAATTGCTGCCTGCGGATGCACAAATTCATTTTCCTCCCGGTCCCACTGCGATCCCCGGTCAAAGGAGCTTCGAATATCTCTTCCCTTACTTTCTATAATTCATTCTGCTTCTAGACACAGAACAGCAAGACACGGAAGCTCTGCTCAAGTCCTCCTCTGTTGGAAACCCTACCGAATTCCTTTTTGGCTTTACAAATGCCACACAATATATCGCTCACAAGTTTTCGAGCCAACTTTCATAACCATAAGGCATGTGTGGGGAACCTGTGGGGAACATCCTGAAGTTGCTGGACTACAATTCCCATCAGCTCCAGCAAGCATGGTCAGGGATGATGGGAGTTGTAGTCCAACAGCGTCCAAAGGGCTTAGGTTCTCCATCTGTGGGCTAGAGACTAGGACTGGGCAATATAGTGATATATCATCCAAAACCGGTTTTAAGTCCATATTGTGATATCGGTTTCATAATTTTTGACCTGGCAATAGATTGCGAATCATGGTGTGTGTGTGTGTGTGTGTGTGTGTGTGCTATGCAAAAATCACAATGGGAGAAAAACCGTGACGCTTGCCAATGTCTCTATGTAGCTCCATCCTTATTTCAGACACTGTGATATATAGGTATACAATGGAACCTCGGTTGTCGAACGCTTCGGAAGTCAAAAGTCTCGGCTTTCGAACACCGATAACCCAGAATTGGATGATTCCGTTTTCAAACATGCCTCAGAAGTGGATCGGCTTCCGAGGTACATTTCTCCATTTTCTCAAATGCAATTGGCAACTGGCAATTGTGCCTCGGTTGTCAAACGTTTCAGAAGTCAAACGGTCCTCTGGAATGGATTACGTTTGACAACCGAGATTCCACTGTATTGTGATGTTTAGCCGGTGATATATCACGATATTGAAAACCACATATTGCTCAGCCCTACTAGAGACCTAATCTTTTTAAAAGAAAAAAATCCAAAGTAAAAATATCTAAAAACTTATTTATGAAATTGCAACTTTTGTACAGTCCTAGCCACCCTGACTGGTGTATTTACACTGGAGGAGCAGGCTATGAATTCTCCAGTTAATCAATAGGTAAAGGTAAAGGGACCCCTGACCGTTGGGTCCAGTCGTGGCTGACTCTGGGGTTGCAGCGCTCATCTCGCTCTATAGGCCGAGGGAGCCAGCATTTGTCCGCAGACAGCTTCCGGGTCACGTGGCCAGCATGACTAAGCCACTTCTGGCGAACTGGAGCAGCACACGGAAACGCCGTTTACCTTCCTGCTGGAGCAGTACCTATTTATCTACTTGCCCTTTTTGGTGTGCTTTCGAACTGCTAGGTTGGCAGGAGCTGGGACCGAGCAATGGGAGCTCACCCCGTCGTGGTGATTTGAACCACCGACCTTCCAACCGGCAAGCCCTAGGCTCTGTGGTTTAGACCAGAGCGCCACCCGCGTCCCAGTTAATCAATACATTACTTAAATAAAAAGAAATGGTTGCTACTTATCATTCCAGGGAAGGGGGCAGCTCAGTAACACAGCATCAGCATGCAGGAGGTCAAGGTTCATTCCAGGTAGGGCTGAGAGAGACCCCTCCCCAAAAGAAATGGAATCCTAAAGAGCCACAGCCGGCCAAGCGTAGACAATGTGTTGGATCCGTGGTCCACTGCAGGTCCCTATGCTCTCCTGCAATAAGTGAGCTCAGCCTGTTGCTCCTCACACCAAGGCATGGGCATAGCCAAGATCTGAAGGAGCGTCTCCACCCCCATCGTTCTGCCCGGACACTGAGGTCCAGCACCGAGGGGCTTCTGGCGGTTCCCTCACTGCGAGAAGCCAAGTTACAGGGAACCAGGCAGAGGGCCTTCTCGGTAGTGGCACCCGCCCTGTGGAACGCCCTCCCACCAGATGTCAAAGAGAACAACAACTACCAGACTTTTAGAAGACATCTGAAGGCAGCCCTGTTTAGGGAAGCTTTTAATGTTTGGGGCGTTACTGTATTTTAATATTTTGTTGGAAGCTGCCCAGAGTAGCTGGGGAAGCCCAGCCAGATGGGCGGGGTATAAATAATAAATTATTATATTATTATTATTATTATTTATGTGGGGGGGGGACACCCACATGTCATCACCCTCTCTCTGGCTCTGTCTATCTCTCAGTCGGATTGCCAGTTGCATCGCTAGAATGCAGCGCAGCACCACCCAAGAGACCTCTGTGAACATTTCATTTTCAAATATTCTGATCATTTCTACTTTTAGTGAAGTATTTGTATTTATTTACTTGGTTTACGGGGGCGAGGGGGGGTGCTGCCCAAATATGCCCATGCACCAAGGAGAAGGTTCAAGTACCCTTTACCTATATCACACTTGGGGGGGGGCAGGAAGTAAGTGATATGCATAAAAAGCATGGGTGGGGTTATACTGATACGGGGAACTGGACTGAGCCCCTGGAACATTGCTGATTCCTTATGCTACTGGTGTGAGGGACCGTTTCACTACATTAGCGCATGGCAGCTGCAGAGAGAGAGGGTGTGTGTGCAAAACGTAACCACATCAGTTCAGCCCCTGGCAAGTCACAGCTGTGGGTCGTGTGCTAGATTCCTTTTTTCCAACAATCTAGAAGGCTTTCCTCACAGCCCTGCCCAGCCCATACTGAGCTGGTGGCGAGAAAAAGAGACCCTAAACCTGGCTCGTTTCCTCCGTCAAATGTTCGGAGGTAAGTTGTATTACAGCGGTTCTTAGCAGGAAGTCCCCGATTAGCTGTGGGCAAAGCCCTGGTAAGAGTTTAATGGGATCAAAGGCCTCCTGCGCTCCCAGCTGCAATCCTAGCAAGGAGAAGGCTGTGGAGATAATCAGCTTACGGAGATGCTGTAGTGGCTTCGTCCCCCTGCGCAGATTCATTCCCTAGACCTGTGGCCTTTACCCTTCCCAGACCCAACAAGCATCTTTAACCTTCACCCTGCAACATAGGGGCTTTACTTATGTACAGCCTCAACAGACAGATCATTGAACTCAGCATGTGTATATCTACATATAATTGTTTATAAAGATTTCCCAGCCCTAGGAGTTCAGTTATCAAGGGACAGCTGAGACCTCTTTGCCCATGCTGCTCTCCTCAGCTCCTGCACTTACAGAAGGGCTGAAGTCTTGCAAATGATCAAAGCAGACTAATATCCCAACTCCTGTAAAACATGCTTTTCTTGAAGACATCCCCCCACCCTTTACCACTTCAGTTTGGAACTGGGGTTCACAATCTACAGAAGCTGTCTTACATTAAGTCAGATAAAGTGTTGGCAGCCATCTGTCTTGAGAGACAATGGAGAAGGAGGAGGAGGAGGAGGAGGAGAAGAAGAAGAAGAAGAAGAAGAGGAGGAGGAGGAGGAGGAGGAGGAGGAGGAGGAGGAGGAGGAGTTGTTTGGATTTGATATCCCGCTTTATCACTGCCCTAAGGAGTCTCAAAGCGGCTAACATTCTCCTTTCCCTTCCTCCCCCACAACAAACACTCTGTGAGGTGAGTGGGGCTGAGAGACTTCAAAGAAGTGTGACTAGCCCAAGATCACCCAGCAGCTGCATGTGGAGGAGCAGGGAAGCGAACCCGGTTCACCAGATTACGAGTCCACTGCTCTTAACCACTACACCACACTGGCCTCTGGGGGTGAAGTTGAACCTCTGTGTTAGCAATGCTAAAGTGACCTCCTCAGGGTGCAAGCTTGGGCAGTGTGCATGGAGGTCCTGGGTTGCCCAGATGACAAGACTCACTGATGTGGTCCAAAGGAAAGCTGAGCAATACATTTGGCCCCAGCTTGGCTGCAGGAGTTGCCGGAAGGAGGCGCACAAGGTGCCATCCAACCGTCTTAGGGACTAAGCTCCCAATTTGGGCAGGGTTTATTCCTTAGGCATTTATTCTCCTGAAGATATCCTGCAAGGTAGCAGAGGTTTAGGACCAGTTTTCCTTCTCCTGGCGTGAACCTGGGCCTGGAAAGAACAGGGGGAAAGGCAAGTGTGGGTAAGCCCTTGGTCCTCACTTCCATTCTGAAGTGCTACAGCCAAGACACAGGTATGCCACCTCAATGGCAATGAAACTCCTGTTGTAAACAACAGCAGTTTCTACCCTGTCACTGGACCAAGGAGCCTGAAAGCCAAATCCTTGAGGTCAGCTCTGCATATACGACTTGGGCCTAGGCTACCTGAAAGATCCTATCTCCTTATATGAACCTGCCCTGGTGCTAAGATGCCCAGATGAGCACCTCCCCTCGGTCCCATCAACATCAGAAGCCCGGTTGGTGATGACATGAGAAGGAGCCTTTTCGGTGGCTGTTCCCATATTGCGGCATTCGCTCCCAAGAGAGGTTAGACTGGCTCCCTCTTTGTTATCCTTCCTGTTCAGACAGACCTTTGGAAACTAAGGATCAGGGCTGCTCTAGAGGCAAGCTGGATTTCAATTGCTGGTTCTAAATGTGTTCTGATGTGTTTTGAGTTTTGTTTCTAACCAGTTTGCATTTTTGTAATTCATATATACATTTTTAAATGTGGTAAGCCGCCTGGAATCCCAGCTCGGAAGAAATGCAAGACATAAATATATTACATAAATGAATGAATGAACGAAGCACTCTAGCCTAGTAGCCACATGCATGCAAGCTCACAGAGGAGGGACAGAGCATTCCTATCGACTGATATGTTGGGCACAGAGGACAAAGTGGCCAAAAGAGGGAAAATCTGAAAGTTCAGATGTGCTTCGACTGTGGCCAGTTTGCAGGGAGAGGCCATTCTGCACATGCTCTGAAGCTCTCTCTTTAAACAAATATTCCAGTCAGTCCAAGCACGGACGCCTGGTATTAAAAAACTAGCCCTGTTGCAAGTCAAGTTGGCACCCTAAACATGCCAGTACTGGAGAAATGCAATCTGATTTCCTCTGCCACAGATACAGTATTTGAAAAGGAAACCCAGAGCTCTCTATGACAACTCCCTTCTCCGGGAGCTTCGCAGCATCAAGGCGGCAGCACCCATCAATTCCACTACATCCAGCCGCTGCCCCCGAGGGGGAAAAAATGTTAGAAACCAAGAAATCACACGCAAGTCTTCAAGCAAGCATCAACGCATGATCTTATCCAGTCTGCATGCACAGCTCAATATGCCATCTGAGCACAATCCTGTTTTACAGTCTGCATCTTGGCAAATCGGGCAGTAAGAACTATCCCAAAATGACCAGCCGGCCCTCTCGTTTTCCATGGTATACCGCAAGCCACCACTGCAGGAAGTAAACATGTCCCTTAAACCCTCCACTATTTCCAATCCACCGTCTAATAGCTAATGGGGGGGGGGGGGGCACATGAAGTTTGACAGGGATTTCACCTCCCTAGTGATAAAGAACTTACTTTCTTTCCCTTCCTTCCTTTATATTTTATTAAGTTTCAACATTTTTAGCATATACAGCCAAAACACAATTTCATCTTTTCTCTTATTTTTGTCAACTTTCCACCCCTTTTCCCATGGCCTTGTTGTTTCTCCCCTCCTGCTGCACCCCGTCTATCAAATCATAACCACGATTTTATAGAAAGAAAATACTTTCTGTGCCCTTCCGTTCTGTATTTTCTGTACTGGAGTTCAGCAGCATACAGTTCATTATATTACCGGTACTTGCTTATTGCATTTCTATATCACCTTTTTCTTCAAGGAAGCTCAAAGTGGCCTACATGGTACTCCCCTTCAGTTAATTAATTAATTGATTGCTTAATCAGTCAATGGATGGATGGATAGATGGGCCTTTTGCTGACCAAACTACCAGGAAGGTCAGTTCAATTGTATGTTAAATATCTAATGGAGGATAAAATCCCAACAGTATCACTGGCAGAGGTGTTGCTTACTATCTGCAGCAGTGAGAAGAAGTAAGCAAATCCATGCCTGAACCTGGAAGAACAATCTTCAGGGCCTCACTCAACATTATCGAAGCTTTATACAGTGGTACCTCGGGTTAAGAACTTAATTTGTTCTGAAACTGAAACTGTTCTTAACCTGAGGTACCACTTTAGCTAATGGGGCCTCCCGTTGTTGCCACCTCGCTGCCACCACCACGCAATTTCTGTTCTCATCCTGAAGCAAAGTTCTTAACCCGAGGTACTATTTCTGGGTTAGCGGAGTCTGTAACCTGAAGCATCTGTAACCCGAGGTACCACTGTAGTACCTCGGGTTAAGAATTTTATAGGTACCACTGTACTTAAAACGTGGTGCTGTACATGGTTTTGTTGATTTTGCTTTTGTGTGGTTGTTGTTTGTTGTTAACTAAATTTGTATGCCACCCTTCATCCAAAGTTCACAACATAAGAATACAAAATGAAAACACAAAATACATAATAAAACAACAGTGAAACAAGCCAATAAACCCCCTCTCAGTCACATTAAAAGGACGACAGAATGTTAATTCGGCCAAAGGCCTGGTTGAAGAGGAACGTTTTTACCTGGCGCCTAAGGATATGTAATGAAGGCGCCAGGCAAGCTTCCCTGAGGAGAGTATTCCACGAATGGGGAGCCACCACAGAAAAGGCCCCTTCCTGTGTTTGGTTGCCTGTGGGGTGAGGGGAAGTGGTAGTGGAAAAGGAGATGGCGATTTACAGTGGTACCTCAGGTTAAGAACTTAATTCGTTCTGGAGGTCCGTTCTTAACCTGAAACTGTTCTTAACCTGAAGTACCACTTTAGCTAATGGGGCCTCCCGCTGCCGCCACACGATTTCTGTTTTCATCCTGAAGCAAAGTTCTCAACCCGAGGTACTATTTCTGAGTTAGCGGAGTCTGTAACCTGAAGCGTCTGTAACCCGAGGTACCACTGTACAACTGTTTTCAACCTGTGCTGCTGTGAGATTTCCCTGCACAGCATACTTTTTAAAGTGTTTGGTGTACTGCCTGCAATAAATTGATGGGTTGTTCTGTTCAGTATCAGAGGTCTTCCACCAGTGGGTCAGGAACCACAGGGAGGAAGTGAGGCCATCCCAGATGGGTCGTGACAATGCTGACGCTGCCATGTTGGACTCCAAGCTAAGGCTGACCAAACCAAAGGAGAATTTCATGCAGTTTCTGGGGTAGAGCATCTTCTTCGGATAAGGCACTCATTTTCGCGATGGGTCAAGAGATAGCCAAGAGCCCTTTTCCCCCAATAAAAACAGGATTTCTGGCCAACCACATGCCCCACCTTCCTAGAGCTATGTCTTTAGTGAGGGAGCTTTTCAATGGAACAACGGAAACGCTGCTTGCTTTCCAGTCTGTCTCGACGGCTTTCTAGACTTCTCCCAGAATGGAAGTACTTTGGGGACTGGAATGCCAAAGTGCAGGTAGCTTGGTTGCCCAGCAGTTGACATCATGGCAGCAACAAGGGGACCCAGGAAGTGACGGCAGAAGTCTAGCTACAGGATATGAGAGTTTACAGACCCTCCAAGTGCCCCTATTTTCCAGGGACAGACCCAGATTTACAGAAGCCATCCGAATTTCTGAATTGATCCCAGAACATCCGACTTTTCTTTAGGACATCCCTATTTTCATTGGAGAAATGTTGGAGGGCATGGAGTTATGCAACCTCTGAGCCAAGGAGATACAATCTGTAGAATATATCTGAAGGCAGCCCAACAACAACAACAACTGAATAGGATGTCCCTATTTTCATCGGAGAAATGTTGGAGGGTAGAAAAAGCAGGGATAAAAACATCAGCCTCACTCCACTTCCTGCAGTAGGGTTGGAATCAGGGGGAAGTTAATTTCTTGCTGGTTTTCATTTAGTAGTAATGCTAAGATACCACTGTGTCCACTGCTCTGTGAATTGCCATTTCAAAATTCAATAATATGCCTCATTAGCATATTATAGTAAGTATAGATCAAAAGAGAATGTGGGAAAGCGGGTCCCACATTGCAGGTTAGGAATCAGAGGTGGGCCTCGGTTCTGGAGAAGCTGAAGATCACCGCTCTAGATTTTCCACTTGTTAAGTCTGAATTTTTTATCAGTGCATAGAAATGTTACATTTCTGAACTCCTACTCAGCCTTCCCCAACTTCTGAGAGTTTGGGGCTACAACTCTCAGCTACGCCGGCAACGAACGATGGGAGTTCTGGCCCAAAAGCTTTGGAAGACACCAGGTTGGGGAAAACTTATCTTACGTCTTTTGAACTGTTAAGGCTTATTATGAACAATCTGATGTTTTGCTTTAGGGGGGGGGTTTTGGGGGGGTTGATAGGGATTTTCCCACCATTTAGGGAAGCAATTGCTCCCTGCAGCCTGTGAAGTGGTACAGTCCTCTCCCATTCAAGGACTCTGCCACCTCATTCCCAACACATTTTACTGCACGTGTAGAAGAAAAAGAGTTGGGCTTATTCTCAGTAGGACAAAACCAGAGTACGACTGCATGCCTCAAACTCTTTCAAGTTAAGGGGAACAACTGGGGATGTTGTGCCCAAGGATCTCCCCGGCCCCCCCCCCCAAGCTTACGGTGCTAACACAGGGAAAAAGCAATGGCAGAATTAAACAAAAATAAAACAGGTCTGCAACCAATGAATTCGCCAAAGGCAGGGAACCAATGAAAAGCAGTCCCCATGCACCCAAATTGTAATGGTATTATTATTATTATTATTATTATTATTATTCCGCCTCTCTAGAACCATCAATGTACTTGAGGACAGGAGGCAAATCAGTCTGTGCCCCAAGCAACTTACAGTCTAAACGTTGGCTGTGGGAGACAAAACAAAAGGAGAGGGGCAAGAATAACAAGGGATAAATAGAGCCCCATGCAGATGTCAGTGCTGGGACTTTGGTATTTTTGCGATGGGGGCTGAGGGGTATACTTCTTGGATAAAAACCTGTGGTCTGGGAATAGGGATTCAGAAGGAGGTGGTCGAGAAAGAAATGGACACCACGTAGCGTTCCAGGGAGATGTTCTGGATCGTTTTCACAGCACAGAGCACATGTTGATCTCCTATTGTGGTGGGTCCTAAAATCGCCACCAGTCTCCAAAGTCACTAGCATCCCTGTGCCCACCATCTGTGCCTGCTGAACACGACCCATCAAGCTGAATTGCAGCCCCCGCCCCTGATTTATTGCAGCCGCAAAATGCTCAACAACACTGCCCCATCTTTGCCATCTCGGGCAGAAAGCAAAGCAGAGATGTTTCTCCACTACTGGTGAACTGTAGGGTCACAAAACCCACAGGCCCAGCCTAGACCCACGGAAAAAACTGAGGAATGCTGTGGCCTCGCAGATGGCATTAGCCACGACGGCTGGGGATGATGGGAGTTGTAGTCCAGCAGCATCTCTGGAGAGCCAGACTTTCCACACTCCAGTCCTACACTGGGGGGAAGACTTATCTCCATTAAGGATTCCAACTCTTGAAGCATGGTCACACCAAACATTTTAACCACCGTGATACCACTTTAAACAGTTGTGGCTCCCCCTCCCAATGAATTCTGGGAGCTGTAGTTTGTTAAGGGTGCTAAGAGTTGTCAGGAGACCGCACTACCCAGCTAACAGAACTACAATCCCCAGAGTTCCCTGGGAAGAGGGAATGATCATTATTCCACTCTGGGACCTGCAGCTCCCAGAATTCTTTGGGGGAAGCCATGAAAGTTTATAGTGCTTCAAACGGAGCATGTGAATGCAGTCACGGAGACACGCCAGACCACGAAACATGCACATTTCCTAAGCAGGTGCCACAACAGACTGCAAACAAGCAGCCAAGTTGTTGCTGAGGACCCAGAGCTCAACGCTGGCACCCTCCAGCCTCAGACGCTTGCATTTTCCTTGCAACTTCCCATCCCTTCTTCCCCAGGAAAAACTCCCCCTGAATAAAACAGCTCCTTTTCTTCCCAGCAAACAGAGCAAGGAGAGCTTGGATAAAGAAACAAGACCTTTTTGAGCTCCCTGGCACCCAGAAACGCCACTGTCCTTTCCCTTTCGCTTCCTGAGCCACACAGAGAGATGTTCAACAGAGAGAGAGAGACAAAGCCATGCACCTCCCTGGCCCCCCACCCCATTTCCTCTCCCCCCACCACCACACTCCACCAAAGCCCCAGGAAGGCTGCGACACCCAGACCTCGGCAAATCTGCTGTGGCTGTCACAGCAATTGGGTCCCTGTCTCGGATCCGTTTCCGTCTCTTGCCACAGAGCTTGGTGAAGCTGCCAGGGGGATGGGGAGATGCTAACTGGGGCTGGCAGGGGCAGAGCTCTACCCCTCTCCTCACCAACCGCCACCCGCGGCCTCAACAGCTGCTCGCCAAGGCTGCTGCGCACCCAAGACAGAAAGGGGCAGGGAGGAAAGGGGTGGAAATAGGGCACAGGGGTTCCAAAATTCCCAGCTGGTCAGGAAAGGAGAAGGAGGCGGGCACTGGAGAGAAGGAAAAGAGGGAAGTTAGCGGGCACAGGGCACCGTGTGGAAGCCGGATGAGATCCGAATAAGAAAGCTTCCTCGGTTGACTTTTAGGGCCCACCAAGGTGGGCGCCAACTAAGTCGTTAACAATTTGCTGCTCTTCCCGCCACCCTCCACCAAATAAATTTGCTACCTGAGTCGGGCCACTTCACCCTGCTAAGCAATGGCAGAGCCGGCTCTTAATGGAAAGCAAAGGGTGTTGGGTGTGAGATTCAAAGGAAGGGAGGGAGTCAGGCGAGAGAGGTCACATCATCCCACAGAGAGAGAGAGAGGCAAGGGTTACATCCAAGGAGCAAACAAGGAGGATGGAAGTATGTTGGGGGGAGAGCAAAGGGCACCACAGGAGGAGGAGATAGTGGCTTGCCTAAGGGCAGGGGCAGATTGGGGATGGGAGAATGGAGGCAGGATGGGATGACAACAAAGAACCAACCAAGCAGGTTGGGTTAGGAGCAAGGAGGTGCATCCAGGATAAAGGAAACACGGCCATGGCTGGAGGAGGAAGCAGGGAGCTTATGCAGGAGGTTGCAATAGTGAGATACAAGGCAGGTGTGCAAGGTAACTGATGGCAGGAGAGGTCACTGGGGGTGCTTCCTAATGGTTCGGTTTGGGGAGAGGTGCAGGTGGGAGACTGGGAAGAAAGGGGGCCCCTATTAGGATGGACAGAGGAGGAGAAGGTTCCCAACTATACCTACAGCAGTTGTGCAAGACTCTTTGTGCAAGTTGTTTCCCTCTTCCACACAGTCGTTAATGATGCTCCATCCTTGGTCATTGCTGCTTCCAGACATGTAGGTAGGTTTGTAAGGAACAATGCAAGAATATCCCTGCAGGATCAGGCATTCTGTCCTCACAGTGGCCTACCAGGTGTCCCAGTGGGAAGCCTGCATTAAGGGACCCAACCACAACAGGGAGATCAATGCTGGATGGGAGCTTGAGGGTGGGACCATAACTCAGTGCTCTACAGGAACAAGGTCCAGGGGTTCAATCCCTCGTATCTCCAGTTAGAAAGGGATCAGGAAAGACCTCTGCCTGAGATGCGAGAGTGAGACTGCCAGTCAGAGAAGGCAGCACTGGGTTAGGTGGACAAATAATCTGGCTGAGTCCTCTTCCTAAGTCTCAAAAGCCTTCCTCTGTTTTGCAGGGGGAAGATTCAGAGAGGAAGGTGGGGTTGTGGGAGCCTGGGGAGGGGGAGCTGTAGATACCAGGGAGAATATCCGGTGTTATGGAATGGGGGGGGGTTTGAACCCGAGAGCTGCCCAAGCAGGTGTCCTGGGCAGAAGGATTGGGACTGTGGCGAAGAGGCTCAAGAGGATGCAAAAGAAGATGTCAGAAGAATGGAGAGACCTCAGGAGACCTTCTGAGGGAGGAAGGAAACAAGGAGTGAATTGCATTGTGGGGTGAAGGAGCTGGAAACAGAGCAGGGAATGTATGTGGAGCTAAAGTCTAACTTGAGAACAATGGACCTAGAAATTATAGCAACAGAGGCCTACCTGCCAGGGCTGTTGTGAGGATTACCAGAGCAATGCATTGTGGGCGAAGCTGGGAAGCTTCTGATGGTTTTGTTCTGACACACAGAGAATTGCAGAAGAGCCAGGAAAGGGGACAGAACGAGAGAAGTGTTTCTTAAAAATTACACAGGGAGTGAAGGAGACTTGCGCAGGCAGGCAGACTTTGTGTAGCCCGTGGCAACTAAGAATGGCCTAGAGGCAACGGAGCCTTTGTATCCTGAAACAGAGTTGGCCCTTTCTTTCTTTCTTTCTTTCTTTCTTTCTTTCTTTCTTTCCACCCCTTAGACCACCAATATGCCACAAAAGACTGGTGCAGCAGCCAGTTGTGAGCAAGTGCACTAATGAACACACACAAACAATGTGGGCTAGAAACTTGTGCAGGCTTAAACCCATCTCCGAGACATGTATTCCTTAGCTATCCCCAGATCTCTGCTCTCCAACCAAGAGTCTGTTGGCCTTGCCTACAGGGCTGGAAAAGCCCCTGGATTTGTCCGATGCCACCCACCTGCACCATCCCCTCCATTAACAAGGAGGAGGGAGGGCTGTGGCCTGGGCTGATGGGCCTGGCTAACAGAAACAACCTAGGCCAACTGGGAGACCAAGAGAGCTCTCTGGCCTAGATTGAGGGAGCCAGAAAGCCTAGGAAGGCGAGGGAGAGGCAGTGGGGAGGGGGAAGCCCTGGGGTATTCGGCTGCTGTAAATAAGTCTTTTTCTAAAGCAGCAGTGAGCGTGCGGCTCAAATGTAATAATTCATTGGGGGGTTTTTTGTGGGGAGATGGGATGTGAGGCGAGATTAGGAGGGGAAAGACATGATCTATGGCAAGCGGTGGATGGTGCAGGAGGGTGGGCAGATGGGAAGATAAACCGCATCTTCGTGTGGCATCTCCCCACCCTCTCCACGACCCCCACCCACTCACCCCAAAAACCCATTTCACCCAGTTCCGCCACCCTCTACAGCGTACGTCTCCGTCGAGCCACCCAACCACTCAGCCCAAACACAGCAATCTGAAAGGCAACCCACCCACCCTCCAGCCTCAAATCCAAACACCCCCTTCTGATCCCTGCCCCCCAAGACCCACCAATTCCCCCCCATCACCCTCACATATGCCTGTAGGGCCCTTGGACGGAGGCCACATCCGAGGGAGCGAGGAAAGGGGGACAACAAACACAGAGGCACCCTCTTTCGCCCACCCCACATCCCCCCCCAGAAGAAATGTAAGAGCTAAGTGCTCCCCACTTACGGAATCCGTGAACTGCGCCCCCCGGCCTCTGTCTCCTTGCAGCTCCCCCTCTTCGAGAGTGGGGAGGCCCACTTTCCTCTGTGGTCTTCCTTGGGGAGAGGCCGGTCTCCCCCACCCCTTTCTTTTATATATATATATATTTCTCTGGAAAATAAAAGCGTACACTCTCCGGATCTCGGCTCCCTCAGAATCTCCCTTCCTCGGAGTATCCTTGGAGAACTCTCGGATCACCTCTCCATCCAGAAAACAGCCCCAGTACCGCAAGAGAAGAAAATGGTTGGGGGGGGGAGAGAGTGAGACAAGAGGGGTCCTTTGCTCCCAGGGGGCCTGGCCCCCCCAGCCCCTTGCAGCCAAACCGTGGTGCACAGCAAGTTCAGGGTCGTGTGGGGTTGTTGGAGGAAGGGGGGGCTAATCAGATGTCTCAGGAGTCAAAGCCTCGCAGGCCCCCTCCTGTCCAGGGGGGGAGAACTGCCCATAAAATAGGAAACTCCCCATGTCCGTCTCTCCAGGATGCAGCACCCCCCTTTTCGGGGGGTGGGGGTAGGACCCCCTTCCCGGACCCCCCTCCTCTGTAATCAAACGCTGTCTTCTTCTGGCTCACCCCCCCCCCAATTCCGGATTCTGGGAGCAAACGTCGAGCCTCCTTCTGCAAATTGGGTGGGAGAGACGCAGCGCCCCCCCCCCTTCTCTCTCTCTCTCTCTCTCTCTCTCTCTCTACGATTCTTCAATCATTCGGCGGCGGCGGAGGCAAGCGAAGTGGAGGGGCGAAGATCCGCGGTCCACGTCTGGATGGTCCTCCCGGGGGGTGGTGATGGGGAGGAACGAGATCTCTCCGGTTGGCCCCCCCTCCTCCTCCTCCCCCCGTTACCACCCACCCCCCAAAGCCAGGCGGGGGAGGCCAGAGGCTGCGATCTGTTGGCTGCCAAAGCCGCAGCAGCCAAAACGCTCCTTCCTTCTCCCTTCTTCTTCCGCCCTCCCGTTATCCAGCTACACCCCCGTGGAGAGAGGGGGTGGGCGATGCGCGGAAGCGGAGGTGGCTGGGCTGGGGGGGGGTGTCCCTTTGGGGGTGTCGAGGCTGGGAGGGGCGTTGGCCGGCGGCAGCACTGCCTTTTTCTCTCCCACTGCTGGGAGGGGGTGGTTGACTTGGGGAGGGGAGCGCGGCGTCGGCGTCGGAGGAGGGAGAGGAGAGAGGCGCATTGGCATGCGCTGCATCGCTTCGCCGGCGCGCACAGAATCTTGATGAGGCTCGCTGCAATCCGGACTCACTCCGGCGGCCCGCGAGGAGCGGGATTGCGCGCGCGCATCTGTGAACCTAAGATGCGATGTGTACCCAGACACCTGTTCCCCCCCCCAACACACACACCGACGCTCAGCTTTAGGGCGGTAAGGACTGCACATAGCAAGAGTGCCTCTGAGCAAGTGCAAACTGCCTCTCCTTTTACCACCGCCTTGCATCAACAACATCTTTTTTTTTCTAGGTTGGGAGTTACCGGCACTAAACAATTATGTTTAGAATCCAAAGAAGGTTGCGAGGTTTCTTAATGGATAGCGTTTTTCATTTTAGTTGGGACCCCTCGCGCCAAAGATTGTGTAAAGTCACGCCCAAGTCACATTCTGGTCCGCCATCTTGGTTCAAAATGGCAGCTGGCATCCAGCGTTGATGAGTTCCGCTGCCCCCACCGCAGGAACCCTGACGCCATGTTTGGCAGCAATATCTCCAGAAGTGGCTGGAACCTACAGTGGTACCTTGGGTTAAGTACTTAATTTGTTCCAGAGGTCCGTTCTTAACCTGAAACTGTTCTTAACCTGAAGCACCACTTTAGCTAATGGGGCCTCCTGCTGCCGCCGCGCCACCGGAGCACAATTTCTGTTCTCATCCTGAAGCAAAGTTCTTAACCCGAGGTAATATTTCTGGGTTAGCAGAGTCTGTAACCTGAAGCATATGTAGCCTGAGGTACCACTGTATAGGGAACAAATGGACAGACCCTTTTCCAAACTAGATAGTAGGTTTTTATTTTTCATTAGATGTCCTGAACAGACCATTGCCAAGAGAGTCCCACGCAAATCGCATTTGTCTTCAAAAAGAGGAAAGTCAAGAGGATCACATCTCTCCAGAAGAAGAAGAAGAAGAAGAAGAAGAGGAGGAGTTTGGATTTGATATCCCGCTTTATCACTACCCAAAGGAGTCTCAAAGCGGCTCACATTCTCCTTTCCCTTCCTCCCCCACAACAAACACTCTGTGAGGTGAGTGGGGCTGAGAGACTTCAAAGAAGTGTGACGAGCCCAAGGTCACCCAGCAGCTGTATGTGGAGGAGTGGAGATGCGAACCCGGTTCCCCAGATTACGAGTCCACCGCTCTTAACCACTACACCACACTGGCGTGGCTTGGCATGATTCAAAACCACAACAATAAGAGAAGCTCTTCTAGAAGGTATCCAAATGGGCCAAGAGGATGCCAGTGTGGTTAAGCAGCAGAGTCAAGAAAGCTACTAGAGGCAAGACAACAGAAGTCTTATCCAAATGAGGAGACAGAAAAGAAAACACAACTTGGTAAAAGGAATGCAGGCAGACACTGGTTGTCACATCATGGTCACACACACCCCCAACTATGTCATAGCATGGTGAGGAATCTTTGTCAGCTTGAGGGCCACAATCCCTTATGGGCAACTTTCCAGGGGCCATGTGCCAGTGGTGGGCAAAGCCAGAGGCAACTGGGGATTAGAGCTACGAATGCAAATATTACCTTTGTACAGGAAGCTGCTTTCTTTGCATTCTCGCACCTGTATCCTCCATCCTAGGTCACACCCACACTATACATTTAAAGCATGTGGCTTCCCTCCAAGTAGTTTGTTAAGGACGCTGGGAACTGTGGCTCCGTGAGGGATAAACTGCAGCCTGCCATTCCAGATGTGGTCGGCCCACACCGCTTACCATTCCTGCCCACTGGCCGTTCCAGCTGGGATTTGTTGGGAATTGGGATGCCAACAGGACCGAGAGGCTCACCGCTCACAGCTTCCTCATCCTTGGCAATAAAGCCTTTCTCCCATTGTGTGCTGTCATGAACTTAAGCGTTTCCACTTAGCCATTATGCCTTATGGCCACTGACTGGCAAACAGATGGTTCGCCATGAATTTGTGCAACTGAAAGGCATTTGCCATTGCAGTACCTTGGTGGCGCTGTGCGTTAAACCACAGAGCCTAGGACTTGCCGATCAGAAGGTCGGCGGTTCGAATCCCCGCGACGGGGTGAGCTCCCGTTGCTCGGTCCCAGCTCCTGCCAACCTAGCAGTTCGAAAGCTCGTCAAAGTGCTAGTAGATAAATAGGTACTGCTCCGGCGGGAAGGTAAACGGTGGTTCCGTGTGCTGCTCTGGTTCGCCAGAAGCGGCTTAGTCATGTTGGCCACATGACCCGGAAGCTGTACGCTGGCTCCCTCAGCCAATAAAGTGAGATGAGCGCCGCAACCCGAGTCGGTCAGGACTGGACCTAATGGTCAGGGGTCCCTTTACCTTTACCTTATGGCAGAGTGGTCCATAAATCAACAGGTCTCTCTGGGGTCCAGCTATGATGCTTCTGGCTGCTGAGAGTAGGTGGGTTATAGGCTCTTTATAGTGTGAATGAGCATTCCTGCCTTGGAAAATATTCAGTAGGGCCAGTACATTTTTCATGTTCACATTTTACAAATATTTTAAGCAAAAATCCCAACAAAGTTAGCCTACATTTCTTTCAACTTCCCTCCCCTCCTTTCTCCACTTACTTAGTTTATATCTTTTTTACTACAGCTTTTCCAGTTCAAACCTGTTTATGAAGTTTCCCTTATGTTCTCATTTTATTATTTCTTACTGCATGAGTCTAGGTCTTCCTGGACACATCCAGGAATTGGGCTGCAAAATGGTGTCTGGGCAGCTGAAGAAACTGGGAAAACCGTGATTTGTTTTTGTTTTTTTAATGGTTAAAAAAAAATCAAGAAAAACCCAAAAATGTATTTTGGGAGGGAGATGTTCCCCAAAAAAGCTCAACACCTTTGTCTGGATTTTCACTTTTGAGAATATGGCAATCCTAATGTCAGTCCTGCTAATATTTTAAATTGTTCACAATGTATTTTCAATTAATCAATAAAATTTCCCATTCTGTTTTAAAAAGTCTATCTTCTTGCTTTCTTATTCTTCCCATAAGCTTCACCATCTCTGCGTATTCCATCAATTTTGTTTGCCAGTCCTCCTTTGTCGGAACTGTTTCTTCTTTCCATCTCTGGGCATAAATCATTCAGGCATCTTTAGTAGCATACATAAATATTTTTTTTCTGTTCTTTAGGTACCTCTCCACCATGTCTTCCTAAAATAAATGCTTCTGGGGTTTTTTAAAAAACAAAGGTTATCTTCAACATTTTTTCCCAATTCATTATAAATCATTTTCCAGAAAGCTTTTGCTACTTTACATGACCACCACATATGGAATAAAAATTACCCTCCTTCTCTTTACATTTCCAACAGGTATCCGATTCTGACTTATATATTTTTGCTAATTTACTAGGAGTCAGATACCATCTATACACCATTTTCATATAATTGTCTTTTATCACATTACACGGTGTAAATTCCAAATCAACGTTCCATAACCTTTCCCATGCTACCAATTCAATATTATGTCCTGTATCCATTGCCCAGTGTATCACTAATGATTTCACCTGTTAGTTCTGGAGTGGCTTCCAATACCTGTGTAGTTATTTTGCATATTTCTTGTAGGACTGCCGTCCAAAAGGGTTGGAGTTTTGTAGATCCTCCCTGCCCCTGCCTGGAATTCCCATGAGACACCTGTACATTTAAACAGGCAAGGAGAGGGCTTGCAAAGCCATCAGTTAGTTAGGAGAAAGAGGAGGGTGGAATGTGAGATAAATGGGAGGAAGAAAGAGGGAAAGAAAGGGGTCGTGCCCATAGTTGGCATGTGGCCTCCAACAGATTGTCCCCATGGCGAAGCGGTCCTCAACAGGGGTAAAAGTTTCCCCACTCTCACTGTAGGGTATATAAGAATGGAATAGGATGAATCAAAATTGCAAAAACATCAATCGCAGCAAGAGAGAATTTCTGTAACTGGCAGACTCTTACATATCTGAAGATGCTTATCCCACTGTCTTAATCTCTCTTCTCCCCCCCCCCCCCCCAACTAAATGTACCTCTCTCTTTTTCCCTTCACTCTCTTCTAGCCTGCTCTGCATTCCAAACCCTTTATCATCTTTGCTTCTACTGGTCTCTCCCCATTTCCTTCTACATACACGCGTCACTTTCACTAGGGACCAGAAATGAAATCAGCGATTCCTCAATGGAGCGTCCGCCTCCTTCGATAAATTCTCTACTGAAATGTTCAACCAGAATTGCTTGCAGCTTGAAAGCTTGATTCCGGTCTGGTGGTCTCGTGTGTGTGTGTGTGTGTGAGAGAGAGAGAGAGAGACAGAGAGAGAGAATGCTTTAATTTATTTATTTTGTGCTGCCTTTCTACAAATTGCACTCAAGGTGGCTTGACAAACAGTAGCACATCATAAAAATATAATGCGAGATAAAAATGCAAGTGACAAAACGTATAGCAGCAGCCAAACTCAGGCTAGCAGAATGAAAGAACAAGAG